ATCCCAACTGGTATCCCAGGGGCGTCGTTCCCCGGAACCCAGTTCTCGACTCTGCCAGTCGTTGGTACTATTGGTACTGTATTGCAACAAACTGCTATTCCCGATCCGGTCACATCGTATATCACGATCCCAACTGGTATCCCAGGGGCGTCGTTCCCCGGAACCCAGTTTTCGACTCTGCCAGTTGTTGGTACTATCGGTACCGTATTGCAACAAACTGCTATTCCCAATCCAGTTACGTCGTACGTCACAATTCCGACTGGTATCTTAGGGGCGTCGTTCCTCGGGACACAGTTCTCAACTCTGCCAGTCGTTGGCACCATTGGCACCGTGCTGCAGCAGACTGCCATTCCCAACCCCGTCACCTCCTACACAACCATCTTCAGCGGAGTCCAGGGAGCAAGCTTCCTTGGAAGTCAAATCTCCACTCTCCCTGTCGTTGGCACGATCGGAACCGTGTTGGTCGAGACCGCAATCCCCGACCCAGTTACCTCATATACAACAATCCTTACCGGCGTCAGCGACGTCTTTGCCGGAACACGGGCAACCACACTACCGGTGTCCGGCACCGTCGGAACCGTGCTTCTGGAGACGGCCTTACCACAAGCGCCAGTCACTTCGTACACCACAGTTCTCACCGGTGTGCAAGGAACGTTCCTCGGCCTTCAGACCACGACTCTGCCGGTCTCGGGCACGCTCGGAACCGTCCTGGTTCAGTCGGCTTTGCCTCTTGTTACCTCGTACACCACCGTGTTCAGCGGTGTCACCGGCCTCGCTGCCCCTCTCACCTCTACGCTCCCAGTCACCGGCACTATTGGGACTGTGGTTGTTCAGACTGCCCTCCCCGTCGTTACATCTTACACCACAATCTTCAGCGGCGTCACGGGTCTTACTGGACCTGTCACCAGCACGATTCCAGCTGTCAGCGGAAACCTTGCGACCGTCGTCATTCAGACCGCCCTCCCCGTTGTCACTTCGTACACCACTGTCTTCAGTGGTGTTACTGGTCTTTCTGGGCCTGTCACAAGCACGATACCGGTCGTGGGAGGAGGAAACGTCGTAACTGTTCTCGTCCAGACTGCCCTTCCCATCGTTACATCATACACTACTGTTTTCCAAGGCGTTACTGGTCTTACCGGACCAGTCACCAGCACGATTCCAGCAGTTGGCGGAGGAAGCATTGCAACTGTCCTTGTGCAGACCGCCCTGCCCGTCGTCACGTCATACACCACTGTTTTCAGTGGCGTTACTGGTTTACTGAACCCAGTGACGAGCACGATTCCCGGAATCGGAAGCATTGCGACTGTTGTGGTCCAGACTGCTCTCCCTGTTGTGACATCGTACACTACAATCTTCCAAGGCGTGACTGGTCTTGCCGGACCAGTCACAAGTACGATCCCGGCAGTCGGAGGGGCAAACCTTGCAACCGTTGTTATCCAGACTGCCCTTCCGATCGTCACCTCTTACACGACTGTCTTCAGTGGCGTTACTGGCTTACTGAACCCCGTAACCAGCACTATACCTGGGACTGACAGTGTGGCAACTGTAGTTATCCAGACTGCCCTCCCGGTCGTCACCTCCTACACAACCGTCTTCAGCGGTGTCACTGGGTTACTGAACCCAGTGACGAGCACGATCCCGGCAATTGGAGGAGGAAGCCTTGCAACTGTTGTCATCCAGACGGCCTTGCCTGTTGCTACATCCTACACAACTGTCTTCAGTGGTGTCACCGGTTTACTCAACCCAGTGACAAGCACCATACCTGGGACTGACAGTGTGGCAACTGTTGTTATCCAGACTGCCCTCCCGGTCGTCACCTCCTACACAACCGTCTTCACCGGTGTTACTGGTTTGCTCAATCCAGTGACGAGTACCATACCCGGGGCTGGAAGCGTTGCTACAGTTGTGATCCAGACTGCCTTGCCTGTTGCTACGTCTTACACAACTATCTTCAGTGGTGTAACTGGTTTATTGAACCCAGTGACGAGCACTATACCTGGGGCTGGCAGCGTTGCCACAGTTGTCATCCAGACAGCCCTTCCAGTCGTCACCTCCTACACAACTGTTTTCAGTGGTGTCACTGGCTTACTGAATCCCGTAACAAGCACCGTCCCTGGGGCTGGCAGTGTTGCCACTGTTGTCATCCAGACTGCTTTGCCCGTGGTTACTTCATATACCACTGTTTTCAGCGGCGTTGCTGGACTTGCGGCACCTGTCACAAGCACCATCCCAGGGGTTGGAAGCATCGCAACTGTGGTTGTCCAGACTGCTTTGCCTGTGGTTACTTCATATACCACTGTTTTCAGCGGCGTTACTGGTCTCGCGGCACCTGTCACAAGCACTATCCCAGGGGTTGGAAGCATCGCAACTGTGGTTGTCCAGACTGCTCTGCCCGTTGTCACCTCGTATACAACAGTGTATACTGGCGTGGCAGGTCTCGCAGCACCCGTCACAAGCACCATCCCCGGCGCTGGCAGTGTTGCAACGGTCCTTGTTCAAACCGCTCTGCCTGTTGTGACCTCCTATCTAACAGTGTTCAGCGGCGTGACGGGCCTCGCTGCGCCGGTCACAAGCACCGTCCCTGGCGCCGGAAGCGTCGTGACTGTGGTTGTTCAGACTGCTTTGCCTGTCCTAAACCCAGTCTACACGACCGTTCCCACCGGAGTCACGGGCACCTTTGCCGGAGTTTCGCTCGTCACCCTCTCCGGCGTCGGGTCCACCAGGACAGTCCTCGCCCAAACAGCTCTGCCGTCGAGTACGTCGTACACCACCGTCAAGACGGGCATCATCGGCACGTTCACCGGAACCCGGGTCACCACCGTCGGTAACACGGTCCTCCAGGAGACGGCCTTGGCGCGCACCACGCAGACGTACCAGCCATCGGGATGTATCCCGACGCCGTCCCCCGCCGCCTCTACGGGCGGTGTCTGCCTTTCGAGCCTTGCGAACCCGGCTTTGCCAACCGCTTGCGCGGGTCTCACTGGAGGCTTATTTTCCACCGTCACCCAGGCCCAACTGAACCTCTGCCAAACCGCCCTGGGAACGACGGCCAATTTTCCTGGCGTCAGTCAATGTCTTACCGTCGGCCTACTTGACAGCGTCTTGGGAGGCAACTATAAGCAGTGTATTCTCAACGCCTTGGATAAGGTGTGTCTCCCGCAACTTCCCACCGCTTGCGCCGGCCTCGCCACGGCTGTTGGGTCGACCGCTGTCCAGGCCCAAGCGAGCGTTTGTTCCCAAGCCCTCGGCGTCTTCAACCAGGTCGCAGGTGTGGCGTCAGGCGCCTCGAACTGTGTCAACACCGCCTTCAGCAGTGGCCTCGCCGCCCTCAATTGTTTCGAAGGCAAACTCGGCCTTCCGGCCAACTCAACGGTCGCCGGACTTACGGGCACAGTCCTTTGTCCCACGCCAGGCAAGGCCTGTGCTCAACCTCCCGCGGCTTGTGGCTCGCTTCTGGACATCTCGCTGAACTCGACCCAGATCGGGACTCAGCTCAACCTCTGCCAGCTTGGGCTCAACAACCTGCTCTCGTCTGTAGGACAGACAGTAAGCACCACCACAAATGCATTAGGTTGTACTCTTGGTGATATTACCGGCCTTGTGGGCAGCCTCCTTGGAGCGCAGACACAGTCGTACGCCCAGTGTATACAACAGCAGGCTGCGGCAAGCTGCATCACCAGCCTACCCTCGACTTGTCTGAACCTGGGAGTCAATGTAAGCGGCGGCGTGAATGTTGGCCTCGTCAGCTCGCCAGACCTGCTGCAGTGTATCACCAGTCTCGGCCCGCTCCTGTCCAGCGGCGTCGCCTCCCAGTGTCTGAACCTGTCACTGTCGGGCGACGGCATCGTCAACTGCCTGAACTTGCGCCTGTTCGGCATCGCCACGGTGAACGTCTCGAGTTAATCCCTCTTCTAACTCAGAAACCCCTCTTTTATTTTCTTTTGGTCTGTTTTTTTCTTTCGTCCTGACCTCACGGCGTTGAGGGGAAAATGAAACTGTTGGATACGGCTATAATCTCACCTTTATCCATTCCTTGGTCGGAGACCCGCAGGCTTATTATGCGCGAGGCGCACCGCGGGCTGTTTCTTAAGCAAACACGAGACTGATAATCATGTAATACATAATATCAATATACCTTCCTTTGTTCATTCCATTCCGTTCCAGGTTTAAAGCCAATGGTTTGCTGGTGACACCTGCGTATCGGTCCTCGAATCGGGTGCTCTCTCCCCTGACGATGATGACCAACCAACATCACCACCTGTTTTTTCGGCGGCCCGATCTCATCTCTTCCCGGGGGTTGAACACGGGGGCCGTAAGCCCTGGTGTAAATCCAGGTGTTGATCCTAGTATGAATTTCCCCTTGCTGCCAACATACCTATCATTATCTAGACGCGACGCCCCCCCTGACAGTCCAGGAAGGGTGACGCACATGCAGGGTTTAATGAGGGCCGTTTTCGCTTTTCACTGCTACCTATCCGTACAGTAGCTTGGTCTACGGTTACATACGATTCGATGGCCCAAGGAACCCTGGTTTGCTTGCGGGGTTCCTGACAGGAGGATTTCGTTCACCATACAAACTAATGCAGCAAGCGACCGGCTATTGTTTTTTTAGGTTTTTTTATTTATGAGATATATGTTTTGAGACACTAAGCCGGCTGGCTGAGCTCAGCAAGCAAACCATCAATCATATCCCCCCCGTGGTCAATATGTGTGTTCTTTGGAAATACCCGCTCCCACCTCCCCTTGCGGCTGCTTACCTTTTGCTCCTCTGCTTGCTTTCGTTCCAATCGGATAAACTGGTCGTCGCCCTGTCCGTACTGTTTTCGACAAGGGGGGGGGATTTCCATCTTGTTGCGTCCGCTCATTTTCTAAATTCTGACTTCATCTGATCGCTCTCTAGGGGGGAAGGGTTCCCGTAGGTAGACAGCCGCGATCCGAGCATCTCCCCGCCGACCCCCCTCTTCCTCATTCGCTACGAACCTCCTATTTATCTAGGTATCATGCTTCCATTCTCGAATCAGCGTCGTCGCTCCCAGGATGATGCCGGCGAGCCCGACCCAGAAGCGGACCACCTCATCCCCACGCGGAAACGCCGGCACCGCGTCCGCGTCCAAGGCCGACTCGCCGTCGTCCGCAGCGTGTCCACAGCGAACCTGCGGCCCGCAACGTCCGTGGCCCCGGCGCTCCCATCCCCGGTCGCAGCAGCCGCGAGCGGAACGACGACCCCGGCGACGCCCCGGTTCGAGTCAGGCGTCGCCGGCACCACGGACGCGCCCCTGCGGAGGAGGAAAAGCCTCGACGACGCGAGCAGCGACTGCACCGAGGAGGACGACGCGAAAGAAACGGCGGTGCGGGACCGCCAGCTCAGGGGGTACGGGATCGGCGGCGCCGGGAATATCAGTGAGTTTCTTGCCCCGTTTTCCCTGGGCTCCGGCAGCGGCAGCATCGAAAACAGAGACTGACGGTGTGCTTATCGCAGGACGTCCGACCGAAGTCTACGGCTCGGCCAAATCCAGGTCGTCACTATCGAGGTTTTCCCCGTTCAGCCCGTCCAGCCCGGCGGGCGAGACGGAAAAGAAACAATGGAGCTTCAAGGAATTGTTCGTCCGGACAGCCGGACGCAAAGGAAAAGGGGTCTGCTGATCCCGGCCCGCCCAGCACTCTTTACTTGAATTACTATGGCTACAGGCAGCAGCACCGCGTTTCTTGGACGCGCCGCTGACATTGTGGAATGGCGCTTTTTTTGTGTGGTGGCGAGGATTCAACATTATTGGGCATCAAACACCAGACTAGTCCGACTCGGCTCCTCGGGGATAGTGTGACGACCGCCAGGGAACGAACGCTAGTTAGTACCTAGGCCCAGTTGATCCTCCTTTAACTGTGTCGGACATGGCGCTGATGGGCTGGCCGCAAGTAAGCTCAAAAGATCCTCATCGCTGCTTTCATTCGCGCATACGAGCTTTGTCCGGAGGGGGGTATCGATCCTGAATCCGCCACGCCAATGAGATTTGATAGCACCCGTCAGGCTTCGGAGACGATCCATTCGAACCCTTCCACGCGAACATGTGCGACGGTGCACGCTGGCTGGCATGGACTAAAATCTCCCGTCAGACTCCTCGGATACGGCAAACCAACGCAGGTTCGGTCTGTTCCCACCGGAGGCGGCTTATGTCGACGCCTTTGTATGTTGAATCAGGCTGTGAGTCTGCCAGTCGGCATCAGACATGTTCACAGGTATATAAATAAGCCCGATGATAGTGCTGCCCGTGGTTTGGGATGACTGTGTTGTGCTGGTCCATCCACGCCATCTCAGTAGTTCATGCACTTGGAGTTCTCGACAACTTGGCGATATCAATACCTTGAAACTAAGCCATGACGATGTCAGACGACGCCATCGCCCGCATCGAGGCGGCGGCCAACGACGGCGTCAGTGACGGCAGCAAGAAGCGACCCTACCTCGTCTTCTGCTCGGCGCCCGCCTCGGGCCACACGTACCCCATACTACAGATCGCCGCAGAGATGATCCAGCGAGGGTTCGAGGCGACCTACCTCGCCGGCGAGGAGTTCCAGCCGCAGGTTAAGCGGATGGGTGCCGAGTTCGTCGCGCTGCCGTCCCTCATAACTCCGGCTTTCCTCGAGGAACGCAGCAAGGTCCCTCCTGGCGAGGCTCGGATGTTGTGGGACGTGAGCAACATCTTCATCTCGTTGGTGCCCTTGAACTTCCCCGTGATAATGCGGACCCTCGAGAAGATCCGCGCGGAACGTCCCGGCCAGCAGGTCATCATCGTCCACGAAACCTGCTTCATGGGTCTCCTCCCGATGGTGTCGGGGGCCCCGTTGCCAAAGGGTTATACTACCAGACCCCCCGTCATCAATGTCAACGTGATCCCCGTTGCCGCCGCGAGCATCGACACCGGCCCATTCGGACCCGGCCTCCCACCCGACTCGACCGAGTCTGGCCGCGCGAGGAACGCGCTTCTCATCGGCCTGTTCTTTAAACCCGGAGGGCCGTACGACCAGTTGCGACAAGAGTATAACGCCGTCGTCAAATCGCTCGGGGCAACGCAAGAGGCCCCGATCGACCTTATTCGGTCGTGGCAGTCGAGCTACGACATCACGCTGCAAATGACCCCGCCGAGTCTCGAATATCCCAGATCCGACATCCCTGACGTCATCAAGTACGCCGGGTGCCTCCCGCCGAAGCCCATCGACCCCAACTTCAGATACCCGGAGTGGTGGAGCGAGATCACGGCCGGCACCAAGAAGATCGTCGGAGTCACGCAGGGCACCGTTGCCATGGAGTACACGGACCTCATCATCCCCACGTTGCAGGGCCTTGCCCATCGCGACGACATCATCGTTGTCGCCATCCTGGGTGCCAAGGACGCCGCCTTGCCAGGAGAAGTTGCGGTTCCGGCCAATGCGAGAGTCATAGACTACATTCCCTATGACGCCCTGCTCAAACACGCCGACGTTTGGGTCATGAACGCCGGGTTTGGCGGTTTCACGCACGGCATCACCAACGGGGTGCCCATGGTCCTCGCCGGCGATACCGAGGACAAGCCCGAGGTCGCGATGCGAGGGCAGTGGGCGGGCGTGGCGTACAACCTCAGGGCGGGCAACCCGACGCCACAGCAGGTCGCCGACGGTGTCGAAGAGATTCTCGCCAACGGCAGGTACAAAAAGCGCGTGATGGAGGTCAAGAAGGAAAGCGATGAGCTGAAGGTTCTGGATGTCGTGGAGAAGCAGATCTGGGAATATGCGGAATCTTCGTAGGTTGAATCGAATAGACAACAAGTCGGTTCGTTCCGCAACGCTGCTGGTGCGACATCGCTACACGATGACAAGGCTTGCTGGGCCGAGTCGCCCTTGGGAAAAGCTGCAGATTTTGCTAAACTTAGCGCGCTCAATCGATATGGTCTTGCTGTCCACTCCGATCTACAACGCTTTCCCTTCCGTGAATCAACCTCATTATATACGCAGGTCTCCTCCTCCATCAAAGGAGGGACCATCGTGTTTAGGGAATTACATGGGGGCCCGCGTTGAGCCAAAAAAAAAAAAAAAAAAAAAAAAAAAGTCTTGTCGAGCCCCTTTCCACATTCATTAGTCCTCGACGAGCTGCTGTTGCAAAATTTCGTCCACGCCCTTCCGTTACCTCCCTCCATATGCAGCGCGGTCCCCTCCCCTTGACTTCAGGCCCTCCTCGGAAAAACTGATGCCATTGATTGTGATTAAATGTCCCCGGTGAAACCGTGGGCCGTGAACCGTTGCTGATAGTCACGCAAGTGAGCCCAGTTGCGCATTTCCTCTTCCTCGTCCTGCGGCGTCATGTTCTCTCCTGCCATGCTGTTGCCACTTGGGCCTGTGCCTTCCAGTTTCAGGAGGACATCGATGAGCTTTACCAATGCCTCCTCCGACTTCATGGCGACCGGACCCTTGCGCTCGGGGGCATCGTTTAGTAGGGTCGACGCGACCTGGCGGATCTTGTTGATCAAGGAGCCGCCGTTGGGTTCGAGATTACGCTGCGAGATGGAGCCGAGGACGTGGAGCAGGTTCTGGACAATCAACTCCCTCTCGGCCGTCATCAGCTCAAAGACACGTGCCTCCTCGGCGTCCTCGGCGTCCTTCTCGTCGGGCCCTTTGAGCGGCTGGTCGTCCTTGTTCGGATTGGCCAAGTGCACGTCTCGCAGGTTGAAGTACAGCTCGACGTAAAAGGAGCGAGTCGCCAGTTGAGAAATGTAAATGTTCGCCTTTTGGATCTCGTACTGGAGCTGCCGGCGGCGCTGCGGGTGGTTCTTGATGACGTTCCGAACGTCGTTGGATGGCTGGTTGTTGGGGTAGGCGGGGGGCACGTATTGAAGATGGGCATCGTCCAAAGCGCCAAAACCGCTCGACTGCTCATAGGACGCGCTCAGCTGGAGCTCGGGCGGCAAACGGTCGAGAACGTCCTTGGCGGCGATGAGGGCATCCCGCAACAAAGCCATCTGATCGAGCCAAGGCAGCGTGCTCATACCATAAACGAGCTCTACGCTGACAATGGCGTTCATGGTGGTGTAGATATCGATGGCGAACCGGTAGCCGGTCAGCAGGGTGACGGAGCTCTCGGGCGGGTACACGATCTCGTTGGCCATGATGTAGAGATCGTCGACATCCTCGGGCAAGGCGGGATAGGGCAGTCCCGGGGTCGACGGGGCGATGACCATGTCCGCATGGGAGGAGCCCAGCTGTGAGAAGGACCTGCGGGACGTCAGTATCGCCAATCATCCACTTCAGATGCACCTGGACGGCTCACCTCACGCCCAGCAAGAGACACCAGAAGATGCGCTTGCCGATCTGGTCTTTGATGTGGTGAAAGGGTAAAGGGTCGGAGGAGCAATGGTCATTGCCAAAAGTAGGGAGCTCGTTCGGGTGCTTGGGGCGGTGGAAGCCCAGCTCGCGGATGAGCGACAGGCACTCGGCGTGGAAATAGCGATACCTGCTCGTTTGGAAGGTGTAGCCGGCTGCGAGACCTAGGAAGTAACTGGTGGCGGCGTCGTCCAGCGTCTTGGGTTGCTTCAAGGGCCAGCGGGCGCCCCTCGTATCGAGGGCAATGTCACGACATCTCTCAATCATGACGATGGCCCTGGGGAACAGGTGGGTGCTGTGCTGGGTTTTGAGATGTTGGCGGGCACTGCGGGGGAAGGAAGCGACAAGGGCGGCAACCATGGAGGCCAGCAAGCCGAGGAACTCGGGGTTTGTGCGGTCCTCCCTGTTGGCAAACGAGTGCCGAAAGGTGGGCTCGTGGGGGAAGGGGGCAAGAGGGTGTATGTAAGTGAAGAAGTCGTCGATGAGGAGCTCGAGGATGGGCAAGGGGGCGATGGACTCCGCGTCGAGGCGGGCGGGACCCTCTGCTATGGAAACGAGGGCCTGGGCAGCGTTGTGAGGAGAGGGCGAAGGGGTGACGGCGGCGGCGTACGAGGTGAAGGCGGCGGCGGCGGCAGCGGTGGGAGACATGCCGGGCTCGATCCTCTGCCTCCGAGCGGCCCTGGCAGCCTCGGCATGCTTGTTCGGGGGGCCTCGTCTCTTCAATTGGCGGTTGAAGGTGCATTCGACGTTAAGCTCGGCACATGGGCGACAGGGAGGGCCGGCCTCGTCACATTTGACCTTTCGCTGGGAGCACATGTCGCAAGCCCGTCTAAGACGGGTCAGCTTGGGATTGACGGTCGGGTCACGCGGCATGTGAGGCATGGGCGCAAAGGCCTGAGGGAAAGTAGGCATGGAGCCGTGCGACACGGCAGCGAGGGAGTCGTCGGCATCGAGAGGAGAGGTCGAGGTCGGTGCAGCTGTCGGGGTATGCGGGCCATGCTGGTGCAGTTGCTGATGAGGCGGCTGAGCGGGATGAGGAGGGGGAGGGAGATGCTGCTGTTGCTGTTGCTGTTGCTGTTGGTGTACTTGCTCGTGATCGGCCATGGACGAGGGCATCGGGAGGTGCTGCTGGTCAACGGGTTGTTGTTCGGTTTGTTGCTGCTGCTGCTGCTGCTGCTGCTCATCGGCGACGGCGGCGGCAGCGGCAGCGGTGGTCAGATGATGCTGGACATTCTGGATGGCGGCAGCGGCTGCTGCATCAGATGCTGCCTGGAGGACCTGGAGGCTATTGCTGGCGTAGGCGTGAGCGGTGGCGTGCTGAGATGCAGTGGGCGAGAGCGAGACGGAGACGGGGTGATCGGGCTGTTGGTCGTCGTGATCGTGCTGATCCTGCGGCGGCGATTGCTGGTCTTGGTCGGCCAGAGACGATGACATCTCGAGGGGGAAAAAAAAAAGACCCAGGGCCGAAGATGGGCGCCCTCGGGGGTCCTTGACTCTCTCGAATGGGATGGGCGGTGCTGGGTCGAATGGCTGATTGTCGGAGAAGCTCCGGCTGCGGCAGAACGCGGCTCGCTTCTGTCTGTCTATCTGTCTGTCTGTCCGTCTGAGCGGAGGTTTGTCGAGCCGGCGTCCCGTCCCGCGCGTCTCTCTGCTTGTTTGCTTTGTTTGTTTAGGATTAGACCAAGGTGGGCGGTCAGAGAGAGGCTTGCCATGTTCACACTGTAAAGGTAAGCATGTAGTCACGTGCAGCTGGCGCTGGTCCTGATAGCATACAGTACATGTCGATCACGTGACTGCACTGTGTGGCAGAACCCGGCTGGAAACGGGATTAGTCAGCCGCCTCCGGATATCGCCCCATCTTTTTCCGTCTGTACTCGAGTTGATGATGGGAAGGCGCTGGGAAGAAGTCAGCCATCTGCCTTATTCCTGTTTTCATCGACTCGCTTAGAAACGGAAAGGAAGGAAAGGCGCAAGCACAGTTACTACATAGGTAGTCTGTAATTAGGTAATCACTAACAAACTACCTATAGGTACGAGTCCACTATCATCACCTGACTTGCTAGTAGTATAATACTATACCTACACTGCTCGCCTCTCTCTCTTTCTCTCTCTGACGATCAAAAGTTGATTCAATCCTGCATCAGGGCCGAGCGACCGGGCAGGATCTCAAAAGTTGCAAACCGAAACGTCTTCTTTGCTCTGCGCCTGTTGTTGACTTTGGTCCTTCGTTTCGTCTTGTTCTCGATATACCTCCTGACCTCCGTCGCCGTGGCAGGGAATGCCTTCTCTCTGGACCTCGACCAGGATATCTCGAGGCTAAAGAACCTTCCCCGAACTTTGACTGTCGCCTAGTAATTCAAAATATGCCTTGCCACCGGTATCTTTCCCCGGAACATATAGCCCCGACCCTGCTTAGGGTGTGCTCGGCCGCTGGTCATGATTAGTGATTAGTGGCCAGGAGGGACTTTTCGTTACTTGTGCTACCCCAACTTTATGCTCGTTGTACCGCCGAAGTGGGTTAGCCCGTGGCCAGCTCACCGCCTGCTCGAATAGTCGAAGGTTCGTGATGTTATATCATCGTGAAAGTTAAGGCCGAGGGGTAGTTGCAAGGGAAGAAGTTGAAGTCTACATTTCTTATCATTAGATTTATAGCTAAAATAACCACTTGTTGATGCTTACTATGACGTCTTTACTTAAAGAGCCTTGTATAGTTAATAGTGATAGAAGTAGTAACATGCAACAGTCCAAGTTATCCCTAGCGCCATCACTACCTCCACTAGTACAACTACCGCCACCACTACTGCCGCCATTAACAAGGCCACTGACGAAGAAGCAAAAGCAGCCTAGTAGCCAAGTGCAAGCTATATAGGACTATAGCTATATACTGCTCTTTCTTTAGCTCTACCAGCAGCAAGTTAACAACAAGGTGTTAGTAGGTATAAGAGGGCCAGTTGTAAGGCAAGCAATAGCAAATATCCTACCAAAAATAAACAAAGTTAACCTATAGTTATCTATACCTACCTTATATACAAAGTATTGCCACCTGTTAGCCGCCTTCCGTAAAGTCAAGACCCTTATTCGCTCGGGGGTTGGGTACGATAATAACAGCGGTATTATCACAACGTCGGACGAGAGCTAGGAGGCTTTTAAGAGGCGATTTCCTGGCCTAAAATCCATTCGCCACAAGGGCTTCCCATATATGGATAAGATGGGTGACTTGTGGCCAGAGGAAGTAGCAACCAGGCAGTATATCGCAGAGGCCAGCGAGGCAAATAATTTACAAGTGGTTAGAGAAGATAAACCTGAAGAAGACAATGAGTCAGTAGTTGAATATAGGAGGAGGAGGGATAAGTATAATCCAGATGCAAACCCTATCTCTTCATCGCCACCGATGTCTGATTTGGTGGGGGACTTATAGCAACTGCTACAGCGAAAAATGACAAGAGTAGGAAAGGAAAGGCATAAAACCCTTATATCCTTCAGCAAGTCCATTAAGCAAGGCCTTGGTGGGTTAAGTGAGGCCATAACGATAGCAATACCACAAGAGCCTAGATCTGACGATATAACCAAGGCAATTAACGACTATTAGCAGCTCTTTAAAGGCAAGTTAGATAGTTGGGTTGTAGTAAAAGTTGTGTTGTTTTTTGCAAAGTTGCCCTATACGGCTGTTGCTTGGTTGGCAATAAAGTCAGTTAATAGTAAAGAAGAATTTCTTTAAGAAGTTGGTATTATTGGATAGTTAATTATCACGTGCTGCTAGATAACTTGCCCGATTTTCCTATGCCCGTATAGCAGTATTATAGCGAATTTCTATACTAGATTTCTTGCCAACTATACTATTTACCTACCTACTTGCCTCTGCTAACAACAACAACTGCTGCTTATTAAGCTCTTTACTATCACCTTTGTTGCCTTTGCTAATAAAGTTATAAAGGGCAGTTGTTGCGTATACGAATCGGATTTAGTTAGCGAAGCTATACTTAGGGGTAGCTGCCCATAAAATCTTCTACCTCTGCTTAAGCTTGCCAAATACCTTCTCAACAATAACCTAAAGTCTTAAGTGGTATATATTATATAACTCCTTCCTTGTTACTGGCCTAACACTGCCCTTAGCAAACTCTTTAAGGTAATACCTTTTGCCTAGGTACAGAGTCACTATCCCGTTGCTACAAGCAAATCTAGTATTGCTAAGGTAATAACGGCCCTCTAGTACTGCAAACGATCTACTAATTGCTTACTTTATTAGGGACACGTTGTTTATTAACCCTTTGGCTCCTGCTAAGACGTATACGAATAACCCATTGAACCTAACTGCGGTAAGGACGTTTTATGATACATAGCCCTTACAGCAGAAGAATCGCTTCTGGTTATCCAGTGGTATATAGGCCTTAATAAGCGTACCATCTACTGCTCTAATACACCCAGTAAAGCAGTAGTCCCAAGGCAACAGCTCTATCAATGGAGATACGTACAGCTAGCCAGGTTAGGTAACAACTTCAGTATAGAGGGCGACTATTGCTAGAAGGATTCTCTAAATAATAGTACATATAGTACTATGCGCCATTTGGAAGAGATAGGCAGCGTTTTGCTAGGTTTGTCCTTGACCAAGCATATACAAAAACACTATAAGTTTCTACTTAACTAACTAATAGATAGTATCTTTTACCTATTTGCCGTTACGTAACCACTTTGCCAGTCAATAAAAGTTATACTTGCCCATGCAAAAAAGGGCAATGAATTACTCATTGGACCCGTTGATGAAGTACTCAGCTATTTGCCTTGCGTACTCAACACCACCAGGATGGATATATCCTTGCGGTTGCCGTATATCACTAGGGGTATTGTTAACAATAACAACAGCAGCAGCTGATACTGCTGTTACAACACCTGCTGCTACTGCTGTAATATGGTAATAATTCATTCTTGTTGTTGCTGTTGTAAGTATTGCCTAACTTCACGCATTCAGGCTGGCCACTAATCACGCTGGCCACCGATTTCTCAATGCCAGGATTAACGGCAGAAAAGCCTAATTTGAACAACGCTTTCCTTCTTTTGGTGGTGGGTTGCGATGGATTCAGAAAGATACATTGCACAAATCTGACTTTCTAGTTGCAGCAAGCATCCGGGCTCGGATACCCCTCGGAAGCAGTTATGCACGCCGGAAACCCCTCCTGGCCACTAATCACTAATCATGACCAGCGGCCGAGCACACCCTTAGCTGGGTCCTGGACCAGACGTCCTTGGTAAAGCTACATAGGTCCTGGAGAAGAGTCATGTTAGAGTCTGACCCCCGTACCTTGCGATGGATGGCCGCACACTTCTGTTTGCCGACAAGCTAAGCTGCGGACTGCATGCAGCCAGGATATGGCGTTGTGAGGCTCGACAGTTCTCTTGAATGACTAATTACCGTAATCATGCAACACACCTGGCCTTCAGTCGCCAGGCCTTGCCGGTCGAATATCTCTGACCTCGGTTCTATATGCCTTCTACCCCGTGCCATCCTCAGAGCTTCGCCGGAATGCCCGTCTTCTTTGGAATGCGCTCAGAAATATCCAGGGAGGATACGGAATCTGACATTCCGGGAGACCGGCGTTCCAGACGGCCATCGGGCTGTTGCGGTAAATGTGGAACATGACAGCTTCGCTGTTTGTCATCCTTCGCCCGGTCCAGCACTGGCAAGACGACGTCGGCTTTTCATCCTTTACGTCTTATTGTTCCACGGGTGGCTCACCTGGACAACTCCAATATCAGACAGCCAATCGTCCTTTTATTGACGTTGGATCAAGGTCGTATGCCCGCCGATTACCCCACCTCTGCCTGCCAATGTGTTTGCTTGGCACACTACTCCAACCTGTTCCTCGCGGCTGGTCGAGTCCCTGGGCGTGAGCTACATTAACTACCGGCTTTCCGTGACAATTTACCCCGGACTAGGGTGTCATCCGGAATCAAGTACGGCAAATGGAGCTGCTCACGGCGCAACGTCGTCTTGGCCTTGATGCGCCCCTGCTTATGTGATGGTCACTTTGACGTGCTCTGATGGTGAGCTGCATCTCCAGCCACTGAACAGAAGCAGGTCGTAGCCTTTATTGAAAAGAAAAGTTAACGGCTAACGGGAGATGATTTCTTTTCATGTTGAGTAGGACTACGTAGGATCGTCATCTCCATTGATACGCTTACATTGTTCTTTTAGCTCGCCAAGGAGACAGAATGTCATCCCTGGACCAGGGGAAAATTCCAGTCACGGCAGGGCAACGATGACACCTGAGAGTGTCCCATGCCGCGGCGGCGCACATAGAGCCATATAATATAAAATCGTCATAACTTTGATGAAACTCTAGACTCCTCGGACGCGACTCTAGTACCCCTCACCTACCGGGATAAATGAATGCTATATTGGTTCCTACGAATGGCTACCTGCGGCCTGCCTTTGTTACGGGGTGACCACACAAAACCCATGTGCTGTCTGGTGATGGTTGGGCGTCCCAAACCCGCAGCAAATCTGGTTGATTAATTATTTGGAACGATATCTGCTAGTTCCTTGTCTACGGATGTCGCTCTCCGCGGGCCAGAAATTGGCGATCCCACCGTTCGTGGCAATATCGAGACTGGGGGGACGCTTCGCTATGAGGAACACTGGGAGGGAAACAAGTGATGAACGTACAAGAACATCAACATGAACGGAACCTAGACCTCCTTGGTCCTTTTTGTATTTACGAAGATTGAAATTGAGAGTATATAAAGATGATAAACGGCCAGAGGTAAAGTTCCGATTATCATACTCCAGTCCATCACTCGAACATCATTTGATATCTGAACATACATCGCACCATGATCTCCATCCCAGTCCTCCTTGCGACCGTCGCGGCCGTCTCGGCGCAGCAGGTTGGCACGCAGCAGTCCGAAACCCACCCCAAGCTGACTTGGCAGAGGTGCACCTCGTCCGGCTGCACCTCCGTCAACGGCGAGGTCGTCATCGACGCCAACTGGCGCTGGCTCCACGAGACCTCGGGCACCGCCAACTGCTACGACGGCAACAAATGGACGGGCAAGTGCACCACCGCCACCGACTGCGCGTCTAAATGCGCCCTCGACGGCGCCGATTACTCCGGCACCTACGGTGCCACCACCTCGGGCAACGCTCTCAGCCTCAAGTTCGTCACCCAGCACGCCTACGGCAAGAACATCGGATCCCGCCTCTACCTCATGAATAGCGTCTCCAAGTATGAGATGTTCACGTTGACAGGCAACGAGCTGGCTTTCGACGTCGACCTGTCGCAGCTTGACTGCGGTCTCAACGGTGCCTTGTATTTTGTCCAGGTCGGTGCACCCGTCACCCCCGTTCGCAATGGCTCTCCCGCGAAGCAAGGAGGCAGCACAGTCCCACCTTACCGGGCGATGTAGCAACAAGCGACCGAACTCAGATACTGACTGGGCACAGATGGACGAGGACGGCGGTATGGCCAAGTACCCCACCAACAAGGCGGGTGCCAAGTACGGCACCGGGTACTGCGATGCTCAGTGTGCCCGCGACCTCAAGTTCGTCGGCGGAAAGGCCAACGTCGAGGGCTGGGTACCGTCATCCAACGATGCCAATTCCGGTGTCGGCCCATACGGTGCTTGCTGCGCCGAGATGGACGTTTGGGGTAATTACGCCTCGTGTTGCTGGCTCCCTCATGAAGCGACCATCGCTGACCATCGTTTAGAATCCAATGCCCATGCTTTCGCCGTGACCCCTCACCCGTGCCAGAACAACGCGTACCACGTCTGTGAGAAGTCGGGCTGCGGTGGAACCTACTCGGACGACCGCTTCGCCGGCGACTGCGACGCCAACGGCTGCGACTTCAACCCCTACCGTATGGGCGTCACCGACTTCTACGGCAAGGGCAAGACGGTCGACACCTCAAAGAAGTTCACGTGAGTATAAAAAGCCGGGTATCGAGCGGAGGGAGGGGGCGCGAGACGTGACGTTTAAAAAAATAAACACGCATACTGGAACCGATGTTCACTAACCTCGAAACGTGTGTCAGCGTCGTCACCCAGTTCTCCAGCAACAAGTTGCAGCAATACTTTGTCCAGAACGGCGCCAAGATCAACATGCCCAACTCGACCGTCAGCGGCGTCTCGGGCAACGCCGTGACCCCCGACTTCTGCACCAACCAGTTCAAGGTCTTCGGCGACCGCGACCGCTTCTCCGAGGTTGGTGGCTGGTCCAAGTTGAACTCGGCCTTCGACGGAAAATGGGTGCTCGTCATGTCCCTCTGGGACGACCACCACGCCAACATGCTCTGGCTCGACTCTACCTACCCTCCCGAGAAGGCCGGTCAGCTTGGAGCCGCTCGCGGCGACTGCCCCACCACCTCCGGCGTCCCGGCCGATGTTGAGTCTCGCCTGGCTAGCGTAAGTTGTAGCCTCTGATCGTTCAAATGCCCGATGCAATGGTTTGTCGGCGGTGCATAGCTAATGCACGTCATTCCAGGCTACGGTCACGTACTCCAACATCCGATTCGGGCCCATTGGTTCGACGGTCAAATAAACGCGCAAAGAGCGTGTCACTGCTGCAGTTGTGGCGATGAGCTCCCGGACCTTCAAATTCCGCCAGGGATTCCATATAGCAGGTGTGCGGCCGCTCCCGAACACCATGTAGTGCTCGTAAAGTACAGGCCCGGGGCCGGTATAAAAAGCAGCAGGAGACATACGAAGAACGTGAAAGTGTTCTATTCTCTTCAGGTATCGTTAGTTCTTAGCAAGAGGTTGATAGCAAATCCTACCTATGTTGGTTTACCGACCGGGGCGAAACTTCTTTGATTTTGTCTGCCTTTCTGTTATGGTCAGTAATCCGACAGTAGGGTTTCCGCTAATTGGTAGCTGAGGTCTATGCTCGGTAACAGTCAGGTAGGCTTGCTGGCTTGTTGGTCACTCGGTGATCAGTCGGGTGGTCAATAGTCGTAAGGGTAGCTCGTATAGCTTCTTGTCAATGAATCTCCAAGGTCGGATACTGAAAGGTAGTCAGCGAATGTATCACAAAGTTGATTGCTGAAGAGCTATGGAAGCCTGTTCTTGAGTGCGTCCAAGTCCATTCTATACATAATACAGGTCCACGATTCTGTCGGTGTGCCATGGAGCGACGGCCGTCCGTCGGTCCTCTACCGTGGAGCGGTCGGCCCTTCATATTATTATCACGTGACCCGTACCATAGTCCTCCCTCTCGAGGAGTCATCCGTGTAACGACCCGGTCGTCCTGTCGTACAAAGATCTTGCCGCCCGCGCTCTCAGCTTGGTGGGGCTAACATCGCCTGTAACTTGTTGGGTCGTAACACTTTCCTCGTTCCGTCCTGGACTAACCGAATGCTTTTCCAGACGGTCGTTCCATTTAGAAAGAGGGTGAGAGGCAGACGATGATGTGTATTGAGCACACTCTATGCGTGTCACGTTTTGTACGAATAGCCCAAGTATAGCGGCTTAGCACGAGATCAGTTTTCTGGTTGTTGTGGCGCCTTTCCTATTGCTATTTGACAGTGATGAACCCGCATACTTTAGGCGAGTCGCCTATCTACCCAAGGAACATCCGGATGAGATAGGATACGCAAACTGATGTTCATATCCAAGGCGGTGCCGCTTCAGGATGCACCGGTACACAATAATACTCTTAACACAGTCGAAGAAACACAGTATAGGCATTATGCCTAATACACAGCATAATAGAAGGTTTCTAGAAAAAAGACAATACCATGCATGGGGTTATCCAATCGCCCTATTGACTGAGTTTGCAGCTAACAAACAAAGTTTGACCTTGACTGTAGACTGTAGATCAATAGCCCCTTCTAAGACAGTACGGTGCTTTAAACTTGACGTTCTGTAAAACCCAATTTGTTAGGACAAAACGATACGTTGGAATTGAGAAAACAAAAAACCCAATGATAACGCAGAAGGGAGGAAAATCCTCCTTTGGCGCTGTGTTTTCAGTGCTGATATGATGGATCCCCGTGTTGTCATTGTCATCGTATACCAAACTCTAGTGGGCAAGGCGAGAAAGTTCCATGAAATTAACACACTGTTCACAACACTATGTCGCCGAAAAAGGGGCGTCCAATGAGACGGTGTTACGCTGGAAGTTCCGGTAACTTTGCAGACCGCCAATCAACTTGAACGCACACACCGGAAGCGCTCCGTTGTCCGCTAGCCAATTAGGAAAAAGACGTGGTCTCAAACAACCTCCCGCGGAAAAGCTGTTCAACATGATGGCGCATGCATGACGCACAGGGGCTGAATCACATACGAGCATGTATCCCTGGCCTTTGCGAGGGCCGTTGAATGGGTTACTTGCATAATAAGAGGTGCGTGTGTTGTGTGCGTGCGTGTGTGTGGTAGATGTCAGGAGAGTACAACCGGCCAAGGGCAGACAGAGCAGCTGTGATAGGCCAAGAGAACACCCAGGCCTCAGTTAGAAATAGCGATGGTCCCCCATGGCAGAGCTCAAGTCATCTCCCCGGGAATAAGAGGAGGTCTATGAAGCAAATGTCTTGTTCACCCACCTCAAATCGAGCAGTACATCCCTTGTCAGGAGAGGTCTTGCACACTTAGACCCAGGGTTGTTGATTGACATGGCTCCAGCCTGGTGATCTGGGCCGAGGATGACGAGTTACGCGAGAACCGGCCACGAATGAAGCCCACCCCGTTGCGGCTCCTAGAAACCCCGTAGGGAAGAGAGGCCAGAACAATCCCACCACTTGGTCCGTTAGACTTGTGCTCTTTTCTTATGCCAAAGATATGGACTAGTCTCAAGAACTAGCATCAGTTGCTCCGCGTTGCTCCGCAGAAACATGGCTATTCGACTTGGCGGCCAACAAACCTGCCATATCAACTTGGTATTGGGTAACATGGGACTATGGTTACATACAGAAGCAAGCCTCCCTGACGCAAACCACCGTTAGTGCATCCTCCTGGTGGCGATGCCTGCGGGACCGAGCTTGTAGGAACCCCTCAGTTATATTGAGACCAAGTTCAGCCAGGCCACTGACGGACCATGTAAGAGTCAACTGAATAATACGTGATTTCCACGGGGTAAATCTGGCTCAAACATTCATTCTTGATCCATCCAACCTGCCCAATAACCTTAGACCTGATCTCAAATCACTGTCTACCTCGTCACGTATCGCTTACACACCTGTAATACTGGCTGGGGGGTTGATCCGCTGGTCTTCTTAGTTTTGGTTTACCGGACTCCAAGCATGAGCCCCAATTAATAGAACAGGCACTCGGTTCGCGATGATCGGTTTGTCGTAGAGGGTCAGCCGAACTTTGCGCCCATGACCAGCTTTCTACACATAATGCCTGCTATTATCGTGGATTCCTTCACAAGCCAAGGCCCAGATGGTGGCCACAGAGCGGTCGGCAATACACTCGGCAATACACTCGGCATTGAGTTCCTTCGGGTTACCTGCGATGCCGGAAGCAAAAAGTAAAGGTAACATCTCGTGTATCGACTGGTTTGGGCCCCTGACCTTTGCGTTCTGCTGGCTCAGCAGCCTCCAAGATTTCCCTGTCGCACGGCAGATACGGTAGCCATACCATGCCAGGGGGGGTCTCTTTCTTGCCGCACGTGCGGGAAATCAATGCGTTTCCCCGGCCTACACTATCTGGCTGAATAGGCAGCTTACCACCCGCAACCCACCTGGTAAGCTGCGAAACTGACATCCATGACGCTCTCAACGGTGGTCAGGCAAACACTCGTCTTGCGGACGCTGTTTGAAGCAAGAAACTGAATGCGAATGGGACACGGATCCAGGCACATCACGAAGCGTGCCCATCCACAGACGCAAGGAGGAACTCGAACGCGAAAACGAAGACCTGCACGAAACCCTCTGTCTCCTTTACCTGTGACCCAGGCAACAGGTCTTCGAGACCTTCAAGTGGCTGCTAATGTTCGGCAATGCGCTATAGATACTCGACATTGCAAACACCGGCGACCTATCGCTGCAGAGATTACGTGTCGACCGAAACGCCAGCTCTCCCAAAACCATGCAGACCAACCTTGATTCTGTTTACAAGGGTACACGCCAATAGTCGCTTGTGCCCTAATCGAGAGACAAACCGATGCAATGGTGAATAATTCCAATTACCAGAATCTACAGGAGATTGATACCGCAACCGGGCTGGTTGTATTTTTCAGCACAGAATTGGATAATACCGTCATAGTGGCCATCTTTTTTCGTCACCCGAGTGCCCTGCGTGTTGAATAACGGCACGGATACCAACCAGGATGTGGTATATAGAACCATAAGTGATGCGATTAGACAGCTGCTTGACCATAAATGTCTCTGGAGATAAGTTTGAAGCCCAAGCAACCCCTCCCTGTGATGGATTGTTTAGGGCAAACGGACCTTGTGGCTAAGATTCGTCTCGCCTCAGCCTGCGAACAAAGGCGTGGTGGTCACATCCCGTATGGCGCTAATCTTATTGCTCCCTATTAGGGCTGAGACCTCAGCACCTGGTGATTAGATGCCACAAGGATTTGCGTCCGTTTTTGGGACGCATCACTTGAGGTGATGTGAAGGCGGATCCTGTTATTCCATGGCTACCCGGACTTCTTGGTTGGGATTCGCTCGTTGCTCACTAGGTCGAGTTGTTGAGTGAGTGGGACTAATAGCGCTCGGTTTTGGAAAAGGGTGAAAACGTCTCCCAGACTGCTAACTATTTCCGAAGCCGCCCGGTCTTGGCCCGTAGATTGCAGGGCCTGTCTGTCTATGCTCGAGAAAAGATAACACAACTCCAATTACGCCGCGAGCATGCATTCTCCCTGCCGATATCCCCCTTTGATGATTCTGCTGAAGGCTGTGATGTATACCATTATCGGTACGGGAGGTTTGTGTACTCCCTGATGACATGAGAAGGCGATAGATGGCAAATCTACGGGGGCTCCAAGTTTCCGCTTGTCCACATTAGCGTTAGGAGGCATTGGGCGACCTGTATTTTGGTCAGAGGGCGGGCAGCATTTCTGCCGACAGACGTTCCGGAATAAAAGCTCCGGCTCAGGATTACATGCGCAAGAACGCAAGTCCGTAAGTCACTCAGAGTATTAAAGCAAACCATAGCCCTCTTAAATGCCATGCACGTATTGCGCATCGCGAAGGTCATTTTGAGGCCGGTTGATGCTGGGGAGTATGTGATCACATGTCGTGCGAGCAAGGATGATGATGATGATGTTCGAGTGTAACTCTTCAGCCTCGAAACACAAGTAGCACACAGACAACCAGGCCTGTCTGGTTGAGTGGGTTGCTCCTTATCTGGAAATATGTATGATGGCGAAGGGGAGCATCCGCCACATGGTTTGGCACTGGCCATTAAGACAACAGGGATGGCAACTGACCTGCGGGGGCGCGGCGCGGCCAGACGCACACAACCCATGGGCTTACCTACGGTTGGACACAACGGCTTCATCTATCAGGTATAAAACACGCAATCTAGATGCGAGTCCGCACTCGTCACACGACGACTCCGAACCGAGCTTTCTTCTCCTCTATCTCACTCCGAACATGAAACCGAGGGAGGGAGACAACTCGAGGGACGCCCTGGCCCCCGAGGTATCCAGCCCAGCAACAGGCTTCCGGCGCATCCTACCGGCTAGCACGAGCCCTCGAGTCATCTCATCGAGCGACCGTCCCCGTAGACGTGCGAGACAGGCAGTGCCGGCAGCATGCCTGGAGTGCCGCAAAAGAAAAGTAAAGGTAATATGACCATGTTGAGCTTTTGAAATGAAGCAGAGAGCTTTCCGTTTTCGCCTGTTGACGAAACTGGCTTTCGTCACGGCGTTACGGCACTGGGCAAATAGCAATGGCCTTCGGCATCACCCTCCGTGCAAGTGGGGCGAGGTGGTTAGAAGGGTATGAACCAGTGCGTATCAAATCATACATAGCTTAGACAACTAAGCACCAGAACCTTGCCCCCCCTTCGATCCTCCTCAACACAGCACCGCCTATTCTGATGATTAACTCCCAGGATCTATCCAGCTGATAGTCTGTCTCTTTATCCCTTAGTGTAGCGGAACCCGGCCCGCTTGCCATCGTTGTTCAACCGGTGGGTTCGAGTGCGAATGGGACACGGAGCCCGAAACGACGCGCCGCCAGGCTCTTCTCAACCGGGCAGAAGACCTCGAGAAGGAGAATGAGGACCTCCACGAGCTGATCCGCTATCTGTATTCACGGCCCGAGTCAGAGGCGCTCGAGATCTTCCACCGGCTGCGAGCAACAGGCGATGCGTTCCACGTTTTGGACCTAGTCCGGATGGGCGATGTGCTTCTGAACAACCTACCAAACGAAAAGCTAGACTCGGACCAAATGGGAAACACGAGACAATCCAGTACGGGGTCCTCGAAACCAGGCTCAAGCCGGGACAACGCGAAGGAGGACCCCGACGAACTCGAGGATTGACTCGAAAAAACTGGAAACGAAACGCTTCCGGCACGACCAAATGCTTGTACAAAGGCACATTGTCTTATACACCGATTGAAACCATCCATCAAAATAGCATCTGGAGAAGTGACTTCAGATTAACGATCAATCAATCTCCGTACTCCAGATAATATTGGGGGATTGGCGCGTCATTTCGAACTGGTAGGACTCCAACTCGTACCGCGTCGCCGTGGCTCTGGGAGGAGCGCGACAGTGCTAACGCGAGCGCAAAGCATCAAAGATGACCTTCCAGACGTTTTTGGGATTTCGAGTCCATTGGAAAAAAACAGCGAAACTCGAGTTTCCTCGCCAACTGTCGCAGTTGAGCGACTTTTTGAAACGCAAAAGCAGTAATTAATGCTTAGCCGCGCCCCCTCTAGTCGACGGAAACCTTTCCCTGGATATCGCAGAAAGAATAGACTCTCAATCGCACCTCGAGGGCATTTCAAACCAACACTTGCATGCAGAAAAACAAAAGCTAGGCTTTCCGACGATAGTACTGGGGCATCTATTCAAGTTCTGGTGGAAACGTGCGTAGAGTGGACGGGTTTGTTCCCTTTCTGTGTTAATGGATATCGCAGCCGAGAATAACAAGTTGCATACCATAGCCGGGCGCCTTTGTAGCGATTCCATTGCAAGAATATCGAAGACACTTGATACGGCCTCGGTGCTTGACCGGCGACCGGCGACCGAACCTTCAACACGAAATACGATGCCGCAACGGCGAGGCTCGAAGTCAATGGCGACGTCGCTACAACAATCTACAGCGTGATTAAAGTACGACGGGAGACAATCCCAATAGCACTTGTGAACCGGGTAAAAAAGCCCCTCCAGCACACGGATGGCATAATCGATCCGAATCTACAAAACGGGGAATGTCCGTCATAAGAGATACTGCCTCTGGGGAGAGTGGGCAAAAACAGGATTTTGTAGCCCAGGCGAACTCTACATCCAATTGCGCAAAAGCTTTGGGAACCTGTTCGTCATCGAGCTTTTGGAGCAAATAATGACTTGATTAAGCCAGCGAAACCCCAAACCGCGTTTCACGCCGGCCGCATCCGTCTGTCCTTTAGCCATGCTGCAATGTCGTCGCAAGCTATCTGTCGGTGTCGTCGGGCTGACCAAAGATTCTGGTATCTCTGACTGTGCCTACGAAATTCGACTGTAGGTATGGTCTCGCCTTTCCTTACTGATGTGCATTCGTGTGTTTTATCCCGGGAGTTTGACCTAGCTGGCCAGTAGCCTCCACGGTCAACGATCAAGTCTATCACAGGGTTTTGTTCATGCTATGGTCGTCGAAACCATTTTCGTGATTTGTGTCTGTTGTTTTATTTCAGCGCCTGAATATCACTAATCTCTTTCTTAATGCCCAGGGTCCCCTTATTCATGGCCGTTATAGATCCCTAGTAACCAATCGAATTGCACGAACCATGCTGATCTTGGCCGCGATGGACGGGCCTCCTTCATGTACCATTGAAGTCGATTATCGAAATTCGTAAGGAGAAGACCATATGCGCGTGGCGATCGAAGTCGTTTCCTCCGGTTGAATTGTTCCATGCAAAAAGTGCCCTGTCTCCTTGAGCAGTCTGGTGCCATGGGGCCTGGGTTCTCGAACACAATCGTAACACAATACGCACACGCGAGTATCGTCCGCGATTGATCATACCAAACAATCGGGTCCGGATCTGGAGAATTTAAAGAATTGTCGACTTGGAGGGAGAAGCCTACGACATTTGTCCTGGAAGCTATGCGCGCCCACATTGGCGAAACTTGGCAAGCTGCCTAAGCATCTTCATCTACGAGCGACAAACCCCTACCAACCCATTTATACGTTGCGGTCACGTTCAGGGTATGGGACATGTCTGAAATATGGCGTGCAGAATATCATAGACATCGTGATGTGACAGAAAGCCAGATCGTTGGAGGTGTGTACTTGCGAAACACATGGGGCACTTTACTCAGAACCAGACCATACTCCAACACGAACCTTGTTGCTTCGTGTACCTACTACTTGGCGACAAATGGAGTCAGGTACCTTGATCAATAAGTGAAACCCGTTTTCTTCCCCCAACAGACTCTCGCGGGAACATTTGTTCCGGAAATCGATAAGCCGAAGGTAGCATATTACAATCCAAGCCGCGCTGGATTATCTCCCCACCAGGCAGACGACCTTTTGCAACACAGTCTCAAACAAGACCCTTTCAGGCCAATGGTGCCCAAAGGCTTATATCCCTCCTCAAGATACCATTGACAACTCTATAAACAATTTCAGTCCACGGGAGATATATGGCTTATTACACAGCGTTTCGGCAGACTTCGAGTGGCCAAGGGATAAGGACGAGCACAGCCTAGTCTTTCCTTCACTGCTTGAGACCTGGAGGCAGCCTCCGGGGCGCGGAAGATTACGCCGGAAAAAGCCTGCCAAACAGGCATTTATTATGTCTCATCAGCCATCGAAATGACGGATTGTTTTGACTTATTCCAGGCCCGGCGACGGTGTCCATCGACCACGAGACATCCAACAACATCCAATTTTACGATTAAAGTATGTCTTAGCCGACGGCCCGCATTATCTGACGCGGATAAGGAATCTATAGACCCTTCCCCTGTCCATCGAGCGTCGTTTGCCACGAATGAACTCGATGCGACAAGATTGATACTGATGCCTGCTCTCGCCGGACTATCACTGTTTGCCTGTCACTAACTCCAATGCCACGACAGATCTGCTTATCTTTCTGCGACGACTGGATGCCATGGGGCAGCTGAAGGGTTCCTCCAGCATGTCAGTGAACTGCGCATCCCAGAACTGCTTGTCTTCGACTTTGATCGCGGACCCTACGAGGCACGACTTTAGGAATGCTTAGCATGGGTCGCATTGGCCAGGCGATCGCGCCGTTGAGACCCGCTCGGACTTATCGTCATCTACTGTACACCAGCAATATCCCGGGTCGTTGCCAGTTGAGCTTGTCCGTGGGCTTCCTTCGGCGATTTTCCCGATCCGGCGATATTGTCTTAACACATGTTCCATTCTCAGCTGCAGCAAAGAGTCCGGTTACAGCCATGGGGTTTTACCAGATATAGTCTGGCGCTAACTATCTTCACCAACATCGCCTGATGCGCCTTCATTGAAGAGAGAGGAGCAATGCCGCAGCTCTGAACGATGACCCCACAGCCGCTGAAGGTTTGGATGTATGCGAGAAAATACCCCATGATTGACTGGCGACTCGTCAATAATGAACAAGCGTTACCTGTACCGCATCTAGGCACATGCACTGTCGAGACCAGAGGCAGTTGAACAAATCAGGACCCCGCATTCCCTCGTGGGGTGATCCAAATAACTATCTGGCGCGCTTAGTTTGCTGTATGTGTTTGTTTACCCGCACCGGAAGGTCGCAAGAACCCGAGTTGGTGCATTTCAACGTCCATCCAACTTCAAAGTGATCTTGGTGTGAGAATAGATGGCATGGCTGGACAAGGAATCAAGAAGACTACCCGCAGTCGTGGAGCATGCTCGGCCTGCAGAGCACGAAAGCATCAGGTCAGTCAAGCCGAGCCACGCATATTCGACGAGGGCAAACAAATGTTGACTTCAAGTGGCCGACAGTGCAGTGGAGAGCAGTTCGTCCCCTTGAACTGCACCCTCCAGTCTTAGCACACACACCTTAACATTTGTAGACCCAAATGCGCACAATGTGGCATCAATAACGTGACATGCCAATGGCCGCAACAACAGAAACGGTGCGTCTCTTATCATTTCTCTGCTTCTGTTTTTTCTCTATTCGGCTATATGCCCAATTCTTCATGCACGCAGTTTACCTTGGTCGCTGGTCCTCTCCTTTCTGAGTAGTTCTGCATAATTAACCACATCGCTGACTCCAAACGACGCAGTGGTCCACCGAAATACTATATCGTAACGATGGAGAAGCGCTTGATGCAGACCGAGAGGGCTCTCTGCGCCTTGATGACCCAAGTGTCAGACGACCAGCTGTTCTCCGCATTCTCTCAACTTGACCAAAGCGATTGCCAACCAGATCCCTCTGCAGCGGCACAGTCCAACGGCAATGTACTTGATTCAGTCAAAACTTACCACTCTGGGCCCGTTTACTGGGGGAACTACCCGCTCAATTCCGCGCAAGACGTCAAGCGTTGGTTCCAAGCCCGGGCATCGGGAGCCACCAACATTACCGGAAGCCAACGACCTCAGTCCATCGAAATTGATCTGGAAGACAGCGGCGCTATCCAAAGTGACACCGATACGAGTCACCGGAATGATTTGGAAGAGGCAGATGGCACTGTTGGTATAGTCAGTATCGGAGCGGGCCAAGATGGAACAAAGGGTCGCCAAACTACCTCGAGAGGACCGGGCGAGAACACTGGACAAGAAGATACAGCGAGTGCAACGACAAAGCTTAGTCTTGTAAGGCAAAACTTGATGGTTGGCGTTGCTAACAACTTCAACGCAAGCTCAGCACCCACGCGCATTGTTCCAGGACCGGAAGATCACGAGAGCTACGAAAGCGCGTTTCTTTGGTAGCAGAAAGCCTCGAATGGCCGAGGCTAACTCATTGTTTGGACACTTCAGCATGATGTTCGTGTTCAAACAGGAACCATCGAGCCCTGGTTTGAGCACCCACGCATGCCACTGTCGGTGCTTTGTCGCTTCCATATGGTGCAGCGTTCACTTATCCCACGGAGAGTCCAGCCGTTCATATCTAGTTGTTTTGACCTGCTCCCCAACGTCGCTTAACCCTGGATGGTGATCCGGTGCCGCACATCAGGCCAAACCCGTAGTCGGCGGAGTATTCTTTCCCCGCAACACCCTCCCCCATCCCTACTATCTTGGACCAACTGAACCAATCTTGATGGCCGATTGCCTTCCTTCATCCTCCCCATCGATGTGCAAAGCTGCAAATCTCGCCTCTGAGTCTGAGGGGAATAAATCGACGCCCCGACCGTTCACATACCATTAAGGCACCCGAAATAGGAAGTTTGAAGGCTCTTGCGAATGGGGAAAGCCAGTTTGTTGGCAGTTCTTCTGGCGTCTACTTCATCAACACCGTCAAGCGAGCGTTTTCAACAGCGGATGGCAAGGCAACAAACAAAAGTCGTCATCTCAAGCGAGGCTCGGCTCATGGCGACCTATTCCCGGAAGATTGCATGGCCGGAGGAGAGATGGTGAGCTTTGGTTCGACGGATTTCGGGAAAACGCCAGGACAGGGAAACGACCAGACGCCATCTACCCCGCTGGCCCAATCGAGCCAACACGAGTCTTTACTCCGCAAGGAGAAAGATCTCATGGATGGCATGAGTGCTATACCCGTATATTCCGTTGCCAGAGAGCTCGTATTGACATACTTCCGAACCTGGCATCCTTTGGTTCCCTTTTGTACGGCCCGGAGACCCTCGCGAACCTGGATGCTCTCTATCGCTCGACCTTCACTCCAGAGACAGGAAGCACGGTTTCAACCAGCCTACTATTTACTTTCAAGTGTATCTTCAATATTGCTTGCCTCGAAATGGATGGCTCGCTCGATATGGGCTCAACAACGATCCTCTCTCCTTCAGATCTCCTGCCTACATTGAGCCACTTGGCCTTGCGGTGCGACACAGCCTCTATCCAGGCGCTGCTCTGCGCGCAAGTGTGCTTCATATCCACAATGTCACTCCTCCATGCGTCATCTGTAAGCGGCTTAATAGCGAAGTCGATCTTTCAGTCGGGTATGCACCGCTGCCCTACCCGATATGAGCACCTTACACCGGATGAGCGATCGATAAGTAAACGCATATTCTGGAGCTTTTATGTTCTTGACCGCTTTGTCAGTCAGTCACTCGGACATCCGAGTGGCATTCAAGATTCAGAAATCGATGTGTGCCCACCAGGGCATGTGGACCTTCACGAGCCAGTTACGAAGTTGTACTTGACACCTGGGAGCGAAGACAACTCTATCTTGCACCTCCCATCTAACCACCCCGATCGACTGGCAGCATCCCCACCCAGACCGACACGAACCAGAGGGCCATCACCGGAAGCAGGGGAAGAAGACGGAAATCTCAACAAGCCACTGGAACGCATCCTGGTGACGTGTCCGGTAATCTGCCATGATTCTTCATCAACGCAGGGAAACACAAGCTATTCTAGAACACCACGTGCGTCATCACAGCTTGTAGGGAGGATCCTCGAGGTCTTCCATAAATCCATCCACACAAGACAGTCGGACAACCAGACAATCCTCCTTCTCAAAGCCGACGTCACTGCTTTTGGCAATGATCTGGACCAGCCGCGCCTCGGTGCGATCACACCCGGCGTCCCGCCACTGACACCGGATCATACCGTTTTCCCGTTTGTTTCTCACCACTACGCTGTTCTTCTCCTCAATAGACCTTCACTTTCCCTGAACACAGGACGTGGCGAGTTCAGAGAAGCTCTACAAACGTGTATCGGCGCAGCAAACACCATCGTTCATACCATCCATAGATATCTAGATTGCGGAGGTCCGCTGTTTTGGCCGGGCTACTTGTCTGCCGTCTGGATGAACGAGCTTATCTTGGCTCTTGCTATTCGACTCGAGCTGTGTAACAAAGTAAAGGCTAAATCGTCAGTAGAGCTCTCCTTGTTTTTTAATTTTTTTCCCCATACCGACATCATCGAATACGGATCCAGTACTGTCCACATGGCCATTGACCTGTTAGTAGCAATGAATAGTCGATGGGCAGCAGCACGGCATTGCCATCAAGTCCTTTCCCCGTTGCTTCAAAGCATTGAAGCCGGCGCGAAAGGGCACGAGGCATTCCGGTCAGACACGAATGCTATCGACGGCACTCCAACAAATAAGCTCGGGGACATCTTTTGCCAAAGTTCTCACCGATAGGATGCTATACAAAGCCCCTTAAAGCGACGAAGAACCGATGATTACCAGAGCGACTCTAGAATCCAAGGGAACCGACGAGATTTCTCCCCCCCCCCCAAAAAACGAAGCACTGCAGGATAACACGGATATTCCGCAAGGTTCATGGGTCGATCCTATCCTTTTTTTTATCAGCATCAATGCCCAGTATTACCCAGTCAGGTCGCCACCCCGCCGACTCTGGATGCTGACGGTTATGCAACATCTGGTGACGCTGATTTCGCACCTATACCAACCACTTTTCCGGACCAGCAAAGGGATACTTTCAGCCAGTATCTAGACTAAGTCGACGGGATTGAAAACTTCTTCGATATGTTCGATGAAGCGACTTGGGGCTCCCTGTTAGAGATTACCAACGGCGCACAGTCACCGACCAGTGACGAATGTTGTATGGCAGTATAGAATCTACACGGCGACGCCTTTCGTTAAATAGAATTTATCTGGAGAAGTCAGTCGCTATATCTTGAGTCTTCGGCCGCTTGTCCGAGATAACTGGCCTCTTCATGTCAATGACCCAATATCGTAGGCAACCTCGACACCGTCTACCCCGAAGAATGACTGGAATAGTGAAGCGATTCATTCCGAATCACGCACGATAGCGTCCCTACCCCGTACACCCTGGTGGTGCCTATAGACTGAATCGATGCCAGGCTTCATAGCCTTGAGAAGCCTGGCAATAGCTTCGGCGAATCTACTGACAACTAGTCTAACCCGGTGTATGGTGTTACGGCATGTTGGAGACTGGCATTCAATTTCTCCCACAGGTTACGTTGTACGTATGTTCTCCGAGATAAACTTAGGCTGACAGATCCCGCGGCCTAACAATTACGCGCTGACAATGCCGACTTCCGCCCGGAAGCGGTGCTGACCGACCCCTCCCCCCGCCGCAGGCTTCTTGACCCTTACATACTTAACCGTGTGTTTTTCTCCAACGGATTCGAGGCCGGACACACAATTGTTAATACCTTAATGAATTTGATTGTACTCCTAAAGCAACCGCACACCTTCCAAAAATGTCTCCTCAACCACTGAAGATTGCAGTCATCCCTGGCGATGGCATCGGCACCGAAGTGATGCCCTGGGGTGTAAAATGTCTCGAATCGGTCGCTGAAATCTTTGGCATTTCGCTGCAATTGGAATGGTTCGACTTTGCTAGCTGTGCATACTACCACAAGCACGGCGAGATGATGCCACCAGACTGGAAGGAGACGCTCCTCAAATTCGATGCCATCTACTTCGGTGCGGTCGGCATGCCGGATGAAGTTCCCGATAACGTCTCGCTATGGGGCAGCTTGCTCAAGTTCCGGCGAGAGTTCGACCAGTATATCAACCTACGTCCGTGTCGTCTGATGCCGGGCGTGACCTCGCCATTGGCCAACCGGAAGCCAGGAGACATCGACTTCTGGATCGTCCGTGAGAACACGGAAGGCGAGTACAGCAGCATTGGTGGCAAGATGTTTGAAGGAACCGACCGCGAGATTGTCGTCCAAGAGACCGTCATGACCAGAGTCGGTGTTGATAGGGTCCTTCGCTATGCCTTCGACCTGGCCCAGAGCCGCCCCCGGAAGCGTCTCACCAGCGCCACGAAAAGCAACGGGATAAGCATCACGATGCCGTACTGGGACTCTCGCGTTGCTGAGATGGCGAAGAACTACCCGGATGTCAAGCTAGACAAGTATCACATCGACATCTTGACAGCCCACTTCGTTCAGCGGCCGGACATGTTCGACGTCGTAGTCGGCAGCAATCTTTTCGGGGACATTCTCTCGGACCTGGGCCCTGCTTGTACTGGCACCATCGGTATTGCGCCATCGGGTAACCTCAACCCGGAGGGGAAATTCCCTAGCCTCTTTGAGCCAGTCCATGGCAGTGCTCCGGACATATTTGGCAAAGGTGTTGCCAACCCTGTTGGCATGATCTGGGCTGGGCAAATGCTACTTCAACACTTTGGATTCAAGGAGGCGGCGGATCTCTTGCTAACGGCTATTGAGAACGTCCTTGCACGTTCTGAGGCAAACGTTTTGACGCCGGATATGAGAGGTTCGGGTACAACCGAGGGTTTTGGCAAGGCAATCGTGTCGGAAGTGATTGATCTAGGAAACAAGAAGTAATTTGGCATGTTGGGGGACAACACGATGAGTCCTATATATGTGTAGATAATCGTTCTTGACAAACGGGAAGCCAGTCGCTTAGTGTGAAGAACTGCAGTGTCTAAACATTTTCAGAGTAAAGTAGGTCATACGCTACATCTGTAGTAGCTGCTACCAACACTAGCTATATAAAGCTATTCCGGCTTCACGACACTTAATTACGCGAAAGATTTGTCTCACGTCAGGAAATTATCCCCTCGCTTTCTTCCTCCTCAGATCTTGTGTTACTCTTGAAAACCGGCACACCCATACTCTGCAATCATGACATCTACTTACGGAACCCTCTGGCCTTTAACAGGCAATTGGGTTTGTCGGCAGCTCTTCGTCGCGCTCATCGCGTGCCAGACGGCGGCGGCCCAGCTCTCTCCCAGCATTGTTGAACTCGACCTCGTGTTCCCTCACGCCAGGGGCAAGTAAGCCGAAACCAGCGACGGACTTCCTGTTGCCCTTTCACTCCAGAATCCAGACATTGCGTATCGCTATGGATGGGCCTTCTCATGGGATGCGTACAAGAAGTCTCACCCTCAACTTGACCGCTTACCGTTCAACACCATTGGATCAGTACTGAAGAACGATACCGTCTACCCCGACAACCCGCATCTCGGGGTCGCCTACACCGATCATCTCGACGCAGGTGACTACACCTTCTCGTGGACTATCCACAACAGGCCTTGGTGCGAACTGGTGTCTGGGGGCTCTGAATACTGGGCGAACGTCAAAGTCGCCAACAGCACATTCGGATTTACCGTGGAATCGGGAGCGCCAACGCCGACCTTTACCAGTACGTGCCCGACGGCGCTTGGGATGATCAGCTATGCATATTTGACAACATACCATGGCCTTTATGGAGGGACATACGATGGCCCCGATAACCTAAGCAGTACGATCCTATCATGTGCAGTGACGGTAAATGCGACTGTTACATCTGAGCCGTGCCGGGCGACAGTCAACGACGCACTGGAAACGAGCATCTCGAGTCGACTTCACTGGGGAGCCTACGCAACAGCGTCGACTACTGTTTCAGGAAAGACATCTGCCGGCTCACCTATGCAGGCGTCGTGGATGCTCTCATTCTTAACTACCATCAAGGCCCACTTAACGTTTCCATATTCACATGAAGCTGAATGGCTAGTTGTTTCAAGGCCCTCAACTGTATTTGTCACTTCGTTGTTGACCGTGAAAAGGCTGAGACAAGTTTGGAACTAAGTCTAGGGGAGGTCTATATGCAACCAGAATCAGAAGATTTCGGGGAAATTAGATGCATGCTGCAGGGTCAACCGATGGATGGCTGCACACGAGAACAAGCCGGAAAGGGCGGGCTGTTGTGGATCGCGTCCCGAACCAGGGGAAATTCCCCGTGGCACACACAACCCGGCACACATCCTTGCTGGGAACTGAGCGCTCGGCATGGACGAGTGTGACTAGTGGACGAATATCAGTGGTCACGGCCCATTGCCTCTATCCACAGTTCAAATACCACGTTGACTATCCGTGTTCTTTCGAACACCCTCACCCTTAGTAGGCAAGCTGGTCTTTAGTGGTATCAAAGCGCGTTAAGATTGGGAAAGTTGCAGGTTACAGTCACAGTCACACTCTATTATAGCCAAAGGCAGTTTGTGCGCTCAGACCCTGAGCCGAGTTCCAACGTTCTTTTCTCTGCCCCCAATGCTACTTACTGGCCAGGAAGACCAGCATATCGTCCGCCTACCGGGCTAGTCTACCAAATCAGCTGTCATATACATAGCGAGCTAATACCACATCATTCATGAATTATTCCAAAAAGTGAAAGGATCGCCCATGCGTCTCCACGGCGCGGTCGACCAAACTTTTCACAGTTTGGCTAAAGACGAAAGCGAGCCCAGATCCCCCCTCGCCGCTGAGGAAACCCTTCTTTCCCCCTCGACCCCAGCTTCGGTCTTACATAACACCACCACGCTTCGAGCATGCAATCTCCATGATCTTTTCAAGGGAGTACCGCATGCTTCCGTTTCGATCCCGCCTGGATACCAACTTCGTCGTTTCTTATGGCGTCGTCCGATGGATTCCCTTCGATACTAGACGACCCAAGCAGCCTTCCCCTCACGGGAACATCGGCCTTTGTAGGCCAGCCTCCGGCAACACAAGATGACTATTACATCGTGAAGGGTTTATTCCGCAGGAAAGGGATGGCGGAAGTCAACCCAATGATGGGCTACTTTCTCGCCGCAAAACCCCCCCCCGGATATGTACACGAGACGAGGCAACCGGGCACCTTGGCCGGCCTGGTATTTGTTATTCTGGTCATTGCTGTGCCCACAGTATTGAGAATTGGGCTGAGGTTGGGAAAATATTCGAGCATGAAGTTTGGCTGGGATGACTACGCCATCTCCGTCGGTGCTGTAAGTGTTTACGCAACCAAAAGCGTTCCGTGCCCAGTATCAAAGACTTTGTCACTAACGTTGGAATCATTGCTCATAGCTTCTGGCACTTGTCTTTCCCATTGGGCAGATATACGCTGTTGCAATCGGCGCGGCCGCGAAACATGTGTGGGAAATCACCTATGAGCAGTACGGCACTGGTATGGTGGCGGCCATGATCTGCAAGACGGCTTTCTATGTGGCTGTGGGCATGATCAAGCTATCGATGACAATATTTATCCAACGGCTTGCGGAACGACTCAGTATTTGGTGGCGGATATCATGCTACCTCTTCATTGCGTCGCTTGTCGGATACATGGGATTCGCCATCTTCGCTATTATCTTCTCATGTAACCCACCAGCAGCACAGTGGGATCTGGCACTACTCGGTCGCATCGAGCCGGTACCTACCTGTATGGACCTCAAAGCCCAAACAAAGGCCCTCACCAGCATTCACGTGGCGCAAGGTCTGGTGCTATTGTTCACACCCATAGTCATATTGTGGAAGGTTCGGTTGCCAACAGCGAAGAAGGCCCGCCTGTTCACCATCTGGATTATTGGAGGACTGGGAGTTCTGGGTGGCCTATTACAACAGACTCATCCCACGAAGACGAATGACATCACATGGGACTATGTTGAAGTCTTGGTGTGGGCTTGCCTGGATCTATCACTGGGAACCATGGCTGCTTCTATCCCTGTCCTGGACGGGCTGCTTGAGAAACTCTGGATGAAGGCCAAGCGTACGGTTGTGAATACGTTTCGAGGCGGTCAACCCCGAGTTGAACCTGGAGCAAGAATATGGCCTTACAACAAGACGTCGGACGAAGAGAAGAAAAGCAAGAAACCTGCGATAAGGAATCCCGTGTCTATCATCGGTGCGCACATGATGCGTACTGAGTCGAGCGCAAGCGTTTTTAGCAACGGCCAGTCGCAAGATAGCAAGAGCGAGGTGGTGGAGATGGGTATTTTGTGTATCCAGGAAGTTGAAGTGCGCCTTTCTGTTGTACCTGAAGACGTGGAAAAGGGTCAAGAGATTGCACTTGAACCCCGAGCCCCGTCACCGTTCTATCACAATCGCCCGGAGTGGCATGATCCATCTTATGGGTTATAATATAAACTGTTGCGATATCACCACCCGGCCCGCTATATCAACTTGACCATTAATAAAGCGGCGACTTCGGTCATAGTTTACTTCCAAGTACTTTGTGTACAAACTATGTTATTGTGAATATGCACCAAGGAGGTTAGTTTATATCTTTTAGAACATAAAGTCAGAAAGAGAAGTTGGCTAGTTATGGCCAAGCAAAATACAAATCAATCGACACTTGATACCTAGGAGGAAAAGTTTGGCTTCTATCTCTATATTTGTTGTTAAATTTGAACCTCTTCTTCACCAAATATCACATATGATGGATCGGCTATAGTTGGAGACCAATCTGACTAGCCATCACTGTGAGATAATACAAAACACATTGAGGTGACGTCGGAGGCGTCTTGGCCAGTAAGAGTGAAGCCAAAATTCTCGTTCCTCTTGCTGTGACCGCACGCTTCCTCAGCCATATGACGTAGTCTGCCATGATTTTCATGTAAGAGTAGACTCACTTGCCACTAAGTCTGGAAAAAGCGTCATCTGTTCTCTGAATCGCTCCTGAGAGAGAGGGTGACTAGTTCTCTTGAGTTTTGCTTGTCAGCATAAACATTCGCAACTCAAAGACATTAATTTGTGAAAACGCAATTGGAGTGCTACACCATTGTAGCAAAATCTTAGGTTGGAATAGAAAGACTTAGCATCGTTGTTGCGGACAAAGAAATATTCCTATTCGCTTCCTAAACATCAATAGAACTCGACTTTCATAAGTGACAACACCAGATACCCGTCGTCACCTCGCTGTATTCGAACACCACATCCATTGCCAACTCAGGCCCAATGCACGGATACCTAAAAGCCTCCGTTGGGGTGAATAAGAACCTTCGTATAACCCTCGATTCTCTTGTCAAACTTCTCATACGCAACCTCTGCATCGTCGATGTTGATTTCATGAGACACCACGAAACTCGGCTTGGCCTTGCCTGCGATGATGAGATCGCGCAAGTATCTGTTGTAAGCCTTGACGTTACATTGACCTGTTCCAATAGAGAGGCCCTTTTCAAAAAGCTTGCCGAAACTCAGGCTGATCATGCCCTTTGCCGATGCGTCATCGGATGCACCTGGGTCACTACACAGAGAGATCGTTAGTCAAAAGATAACTCTTATGAGGGAAGGGGCCTCACCTGGGTACGTAAAGTCCCGGAATCCCGAGGCCACCACAGGCTCGAGTAATCTTGATCATGTTCTCGAGCACGATATTGGGTTGCTCAGTGTTGCCACCAGCACTCACGGCTTGATACCCGACCGCGTCGACTGAGCGATCCACCTCTCCGCCATTCAACCTTTTGATCTGCTCAACGGCGTCGCCTTTGGTAAAGTCAACCGGTGTGCATCCTATTTTTTCTGCAGAATGGAGGCGCTCGGCGACGCGGTCGACTACATAGACTCTCGAGGCACCTCGCAAAACTGCCGAGTATGCGGCCATCAAACCAACCGGCCCAGCTCCAAAAACAGCAACGGTCTCACCAGGCCTGAAACCAGAAAGCTCGATTCCATGCCAGCCAGTGGGGAAAATATCTGGGAAGATACAGTTAGCAAGTGATGAAGTCTCGTGGACTATCCTTACCTGCAAGCAGAATGAAGTCTGATTCAAACTCTCTGCCGGGAGGGAGCTTCAAGGCATTGAAGTCTGCGTAGGGCACTCTGATGTACTGTGCCTGACCGCCAGGGTATGGTCCCATGGCAACGTATCCTTTTTTACTTGTCAGATTCGTTTGGAATTTGATCAGCCCTAAAGACTCACCATAGGCACCGCCGGCGAAGCCTGGGTTGACACCTGTGCAGAAGGCAGTCCGTCCCTCCTCGCAATTATGGCATCGACCATCAGCAACATTAAAGGGCATGACTACACGATCACCCTTTTTCAAGAGGGTGACACCACTTCCAAGCTCTTCCACAATTCCCATGTTTTCGTGACCTTTCAATGTTAGTATTCGAGCCGCGTTGAGCGCAGGCGGTAGCGTACCAAAGGTGATGCCTGCTTCTGCGGCTGTTCTCCCCTCATACATGCTGTTGAATTCTTAGTGTTTGCATTGATTCTACAAAAATATCTGATAGTCATACTGCAGGTCTGAGCCGCAAATAGCAGCCTTCGATAATCGTCAGCTTTTCCGTAGCCATAAGTACGATGGACTGCAGGGTCAGCACATAGATAGGGCTTATCTGACCGTGGTGACTTTGACAATGACATCGTCAGGGTGCTGGATTCTAGGAATCGACACCTCAGTAACTTTGACCTTGTAAGGGCCTTGGTAGTTCACTGCTTTCATTGTTGGGGACGACATAATAGCAGATGTGTGTGCTACTGGCATGAAATAAACTATGATATAGGGAAATGAGAGGCACGGAGCCACGACGGATTGGTTCAGCAGAGCCCTCTACTTATCTCACGAATCTATAACAAGACAGACGGCCAAGAAATTACTAAGAGTATCATTGCCGTCTCTAACACGGCGCGGGGTGACCGGCTCCCACCAAGAAGCTGTCATCGCCGCGGGGTATCTGTCTCGAACGAGAGGGTCAAGACGTCGCTGCGGGGTAGTAGAAAGCGGGAAACCTTTTCCAAACCGTGGGGATAACGCCGTAGTTGGCTGATCGAAGGCGGGGAAAATGGCCGGGGGAGTGAGGTGATATTAACAGCCCCCGAGTGAACGGGGATAAACCCCGAGCCTCCCGAGGATTGTGATCAAAGTGTGCCACATTGACGAATGACTGCTACTTGCAGATTGCGGGGAAATTAGCGTGGAAACCCCAGATCGCGAATGATGAAACTATGCGCGCGAACTTTCCTGACTGATGGATGAACCGGTGACAGCTGCTATGCCAGATTCGTAGCCCATACGAGCCGAGCCCTGACCAACAACGCCGCCAGCTTTGATAGCCACTTACATCTTTGCGATCGTCGAAGGAAGTGGGGGTGCTTGACGTATCTCTCGATCGGTATTCTCTTCGGTGTCCTGTTGCCGCGTGGCTGTATGATAATATCTCAAGTCTCCATGCAGACTGCGCCGAATTCAATAAGACCTGCGCTCTTATGGACTCGTCTTCAAGTGCCTGTTACGCCGGGGGTATGTGCCACCCATTCATTTCGCCAGCAGTGCCAAGGTCGTTTACCAGCAGATGAAGAACGCAGGAAGTACGACTGTACGAGACAAAGAGCTACATTGAATTTCTGAAAGATCAGCTATAGTTGACGGTTAATCATCCCTATGCTTTCAGTGAAGTGGCAGACAGTGGAGTCTGGGAACTGAGAAATGAAAGTCTTTGGCTATGATCATGTGTTTTTTATTCCAAGCCCGTGTCTTCATTATATATAATTCTACAATACAAGGTTCAAAGTCCCCTTAATGAACAAAATTCCAGCACTGAGACTGGTAGATTGGTACATGAACTGCGTACAAACTCTTCTTGTAAAACTGTGTGACGAATGCGTCCACGCCAAAGCGGAATGTACTGGCAAACCATGCGCCATTGAGACATTGATCCCCTGTCGGCTTTTCAAATGCAATGCCACTCTCACTATCGTATGTTAAATCAACATCGACGGAGAAGGCGTTGATGACTGTGGGCTTGGACTTGAGGCCCGCAGACATATCTAATAGGCCTTTGAACAACTTGACACCCAGAGCGACGGTCAAGTCAGCGTAAGGGTTGAGTTGAAGCTGAACCTGGGCATCGATGTCGGTGGTGACTTTGGTCTGTGGGTTCCAGCCGGTACTGGATGTTTTGTTGGCGTCAAGGAAGTCGAGGTGTACGTTGGCTTCGGAGATAGTGGTAATGATATCAACAGAAGCATTGACTGAACCGGACGCGGCAAAATCAATGCCGAGACCAAAGTCCACCATGGGGCCCACGTCGATGACGCCGGGAATGCTAAAGGCTGACGCCGAAACCGACAAAGGGTTGTACTTGTAGAGGTTGCTGGTGAAATTGCCTTTGACGGCAGCGGACATATTCAGGGCCAGAACTGAAGAGTAGTCTAGATCGATATAGAACTCGCTGACCTGCGCCTTTGCGAGGTTGAAGTGAACGTGACCCGCCAGACTGACAGTGGTCTCTAACCTTGCCCCATTGGCAACAATGGTCAGGGGACTAGTCGCAATCAAGGTGGCCCCTGAAAGGTCCGCAGAGATGATGCCGGACAGGTCACGTCTCGTGGTAGCGGTACCGATGTGCTGGAAGTCAATGACAGCATCCTCGATTTGGTCACGCATCTCGGCTCTGGTGGTTGCGGCTTTTATGGTGAGTGTAGCGTCGTCAAAGGTGTACCCCTGAACAAGGTAGATACCTCGCTCGTCCTGGTTGTCACAGCCATTGTTATGGTTGGTGACGATGATAAAGTCCTTCGCAGGCCAGGCGCTGAGACAGGTGTTGTAAACTTCAGTCTCCTCGAACGTGAGAACGACACCGTTGTTGAAGCATTGTACGTTTGTGATTGCCTCGATATCCTCGAGCAAGATGGCCGGGTGCTTCATCACGGCTCGGACCATGGCATTGGTTGCGTTGAGCCCCTCGTAGGGGAGCGTAACGTTGACATTGGGGGTGAACTTGGCTGGCCCAATGGGCACAGCAGAAACACTGTCCAGTCGTCTTTGGACAGGGAGGAGGATAGTCTTGCTGGAAACGATAGGCTGCTTCTTGCTAGGCAGCGCGGCTGACAAGGCGGGGCCGACCACGGCTTGGAGGCCCAAAAGAGTGAGAAGAGTGAACTTCATGATCGAAGATGCAATTTGTATAACGAATGAGAGTAAGTGGCTTGCAAGTCACTCGAATGACTCGATTCCGCACACCAAGACTTGAACCGCAGCTGAATAGGAAAAGAATGTGTTCCAGCTGTGTTGCTGGCACAGAGAGAATGATCAAGCTGGAGGATCACGGCTTGTCTTTATATCCATAGTAGGGAGTACTCACAAAGTTGATACGTGATTAGTAGACGGCCTAGAGTCCTATATCGGATGCTAAGAGCGGTATACAAAGCAATAGCCCATTACATACACTGCTACAACTCAGCCAGGTTTGAGGAGAGAACTGCAACGTAACAGCCGAGAGCCAACCGTTACTGTGGAACCTTCGTTTGTGAGGCCAGTTGGGAATCGGAACCAGATCCACGTTGTAGGTGAACGTGCCAGGACCATCGGGCCTTGTCGATCAATATTCCCCCATCTTTCCCCGTTCCTGCGGTCATTGCCCGGCCTCAATCAAGGGGACTTGATCCATGTAGCTATGTGGACAGAGCACCTTCTCCGTCGGCGCGTCGAAGGTGCTTCTAGGGGGGAGAGTGGCAGGCCAGTCTCGATAAGCTTGCTGGTGGCTGAGCTTGTTCCTTCCATATGAGCTTTCTCATATGCCGACTGACACAGAGTACAAGCAGAGCTCGTTCTCCTGAGCTCACTGTTACTGGATCACCAACGGCAACAAAGTCTCCGAGACAGGGGCTGCGTGATTGCGGGAAAGCCTCCAAATTCGGCGTGGGCCGGGAGCGTACGAGTCAGGCGGCTGACAACGGTTGTGGCGAGAGTCGCTTTGGTTGCTCGATAGAAACCTATCCAGTCGAGCCAATGTCGCTGTAGAGCTGGCAGTGTTGCCGAATAGAACACCGCGTCCTCTTTCTGTTTTGTTTCTGGCTTAAACTACCAAACAGCATGAGCAATCGGTCCTTGGTCGATCAATGCGGTTAACCTGAACAATAAGCTTAAAGCCCAACGGGCGCCGGGCATGCTTGGACATGAGTCATAACCGGAAGGTCGGGTCTAGGGGTGATGGTTCGGTGTTGTGGCGGGGATTGATATGACTTGATGGGGGCCATAGTTTGCCGCGGATATTGCTTACTGGATGGAAACGACTCACCGGAAAGCCTATATAACCCGTTGCTTAAGGATATCAAGATTTGGATCGTTTCCCGGCCCACTGGGATACGCATCCAAGGATAGCCCTTGTGTGGTCGGACGTCTTACCTATATTGTGATCAAGCATCTAGGATTCAGTATCGGAACAGGCCAAATGTCAATGCTCAGCAGTTACGTGACCTGATAGTGTCAAGCACTCTACCTGCGAATGCGAATCGACTACAGCCGGGTTGGTTCCGAACCTGCCCGCTGCTGACTTGTGCAACCTCTACCCCTATAGGTTGATGGAGTTGCAATGGTGGTGTAACATGCCCTTTGATTGATTTGACAGATTTAATGGATCGTCACTATCGATATCACAGTCAAGTTGATTTCCGAAGTTTTACCAGACCAGGTAGGTAGCTTGTTCGGTCGGTAAGAAGTACCGGAATCCAACTGACGGCCTTTGGCTAGCGACATATATCCACGAAGAGTGCAACCTATAACAATGAGCTCGGGCCTATGGCCTTGTATTATGTGCGTGTAGAGCTTCTGCGAATGGCGACTTTCACTTCGGAGGCCGGCCGGCCGGCCGGCCTATCAATTCACCAGCAAACAACACCTCCCGCCGTTACGCAACTTCGAACCTCTAGGCAACGTTGGATTAATGCTTTTTGTCACTTCGCCAGCAGACAGTAGTCACTTTGGTCACGTGAATTCCATTCTTCGGCAAGTTGGAATCCAAAAGCAAGGGTGTATTAATACACTTTAGGTATCAAGTAAAAGACTTTTCCCCTCCCACACCTAACCAGCCTAGACGAACTTGCCCCTAGGCAATTCGACCCCTTCGCTGTTAGCCATCAACATAGCCATCAGCCAGGCTATAGAAACTCCCTTGTGCTCTAGGAGCTCCTTAATCTTATTATTATTTACTTACATTACACGTATCTCTCTCTAAATATAGACCTCATCTACTCTATTAGCATCTTTTGCTAATAGCTCCAGGCTAAAGACAGCTATATTTGCCCTTTAGGCAAGAGAGAGGTCTTTAAAGACCTTTCTAATAGTCTTATTAAGGCTAAGCTCTTTAGTACAAGTGCTAGTCAGAGTAGGATCTCTACACACTATACGCAGCATGTAGTAATCCCCTGACTGTAGTAGGTCCTAGGGGTTTCTAACAGTCACACGCTAGCTCATTATAACGGTTGTCTAGATTAAAGTTGTGTGATTGTGCGCGCGTTTAGGATGTAGATAAGATAGAAGGAGGGAAGAAGAGACCAAGCCCAGCTTCTGCCTTTTGTATACCTAGCTACAGCTAGCAAGGTTGCTGGCGAGTGAAGCTATCTCTAGTACTGTCGTTAGTAATTGTGACTCAAGGCGCAAGGTCTCTAACGACCTTGGTGAAGGCAGAGTCATCTTGTGGCTTGCAACCATCGCGACCTTGGTGGCAGGCTCAATAATGCTATCACCGCGAGTACGTCAGTCAGGCCCTCATCATGTGGTTCGCCTGCGAACCCGCGCGACCTTATTCAACAGCAGTACGTCAAGCCGCGGCCCAGCATCGACTCTTTGCCGCCGACGTTCCGGCGCCCAAAGGCGTTCGCGTATGCATCCGGGCTGTGGTTGAAGTGAAGTCAGATTCGGCCGTTTCTCTGCGTTATCGGGTATTCTATACCGTATTAAGATATCGAGATCCGGCACAGGTCAGAGGTGCCCCGTATCAGGTTTTACGTACCGTGATATTACATATGTATCGGGTGAACTGCACTAGACCACTTATGGGGGGTTTAGAGCGACTATATTCATCAATAACAATGAGCTCAAGCAGCTGGTACGTAAACGATTCAAGCAATCAACCCATCCTTGACAAGCTCGCCCTGCACGTACACTCTGGCAATGTTGCGATCATCCCCCGTCATGAGGAACTTTTCGAAGATAGTCCTCAAACCGTCTGCTTCCTCGCGCACAGTCATGACACCGAATGATTCGTCCGATGGGCAGGTCACCCATATGGCGTCGAACTCCTTACCCACGGCGAAGTTCCCAATCTTATCCTCGAGACAGCACACGGTAGCACCACCCAATGTTGATAAGTAGAAGACTTCATCCAGGGACAGAGCCTTGTCTTTGCCGCTGGACATAACTTCCCGGGCGTTGGAGGCTATGATGGCCTGACGAATGGTGTCAAGCATGCTTGAAGAGAAGCCGCCCCCGCTGTCTGTGCCCAAGCCAACCTTGATACCTCTGTTCAAGAACTGGCGTATCGACGCAGCCATGAAGCCACCGCCAACCGTCATATTTGAGATTGGGCAGTGCGCGACGCCGCATCCGTACTCTAGAATCTTTTCCATTTCATAATCGGTCATGAATGTGCAATGCGCGAGAATTGATCGTTGGTTGAGGAGACCGTAGTGGCCATAGAGGTCGGCTTCACTCGAGAACTCGGGGAACAACTCCCTCGTCGCCTTGATCTCCTGCTCAGCTTCATTGAAATGTGTCTGGATTGCCAACGACGGGTCTTCAATTGCCATTGTCCCCAATCCCGATAGCAAGTCTGGCGTGCAACAGATCGCAAAGCGTGGAGTCAGAACAGGTCGAACTAGCTGTCCTGTCGGGTCAATCTGCCGGATATGCTCCACACACTCGGCCGTTTCCCTCAAGGATGATTCGGCAGACTCGTCGTGAAGGTAGCCCGGCGCATTGCGGTCCATGTTACATTTCCCTACAAAAGCACGTTGGTGCAAATCTTTGCATATATCTGCCAGGATCTGCGTCGCTTTAGCATGCTTCGACCCGTAGTAGGAGGCGGTGGTGATGCCCTGCTTGAGGAACCCTTTGACGCAGCTCTCATAAACCTTTCGAGCATAAGCCGGGTCTGAGAATCGTGCCTCGTGAGGGAATGTGACTTGCTCGAGCCAGTCGAGGATGTGAAGACCCTGGCCAAGGGAGCGCATGGCCCATTGAGGGGCATGGTTATGAGTGTCGATGAACCCGGGCGATAAGAATTGGCCCTTTTCAAGCTTTTGGAAATGGACGTTATTCGGAAGCGTCTTGGATAGTTCCTCGGCGGAGATTTCGTGATAAAACTCAGAGATCAGTCCGTCTTCTCCAATGACGAGGCCTGCGTTTTCAAGAATCTCTACCTGGTTGGGGCCAAGAGAGTGGACGAGAGCGCCGTGGAAAGCTAGGGCTTGAACCATTCTGACAACAACACTGGCCCAAAGGCGGACAATAACTAATTTGGCGAGTTTTGAAGACTTGCGGTATGTTTTAATCACAGGTTGCCTGGTTGAGATATCGTCCGAGAGTTATCTAATAGCTGATGATGCCACGTGGGCGGTGTAACCCGAGGAGAGGACGATACCGGTATTTTAGTTATCTTATAGTCATAGAAGCGGGCTTATCGATTGAATGTTCCCCAATTTCGATACTTTGACACCGCAAAGGCGGTCAGAGCAGAATTGCCGATGTTCCCTTCCTCTCACTCAGGCTCAAAGTTGCTCTTACCACTGAGGCAATGACAATCCCGGCCCTAGTGCATCGTTTGCATAGTGTTGGCTGTGGCAGATATGACTTGATGCACACATCCATGCGGCACACGAGCTCGTAGGATTCTCGTTGACAGTCCAGAGGAACGGGGTAGAAGTATAGACAAGGATTGGGGGGATGCTAATCTTCTTATAGCGCGTACCCGCAATCGTTGTTACGCAATATAATGATGGTTATTGGGCGGAAAGGGGAGAGGGGTTCCCCTGTGGACTTGACCCTGCAATGCCGTTCATCTCCTGGGCACGGCGCTCCAGCTTCACACTAGAGGCCAGGAACACCTTACCATAAAGACAATCACCACTAAGCGGAAGACTGCAAGGCAGGGAATACAATACCTGAATGTGGCATTGGGCTTCGCGATCAACGAGGCCACTCCTTGTAAAACGGGTTGTTACCTACGCAGTATTGTTGCGACAATTGAGACAATCAATCTCGAAAACAAAGAGGTAAAGATTGCCGAGACAATGACAGGTTTTGTTCTCGGCTTACATGTCGATAATATCGTTGAAGACAAGACAGGAAAAGACCAAGATGCAGACGCTCCGTTCAGTGACATCGTCGGCCCCCAGCATTAGGGACTCCAGATGATGCAAACTAGCCAGGGTAAGCAGCTATTGTTCCCAATAGCTGTATACCACAATCGCGTCATGTGTGTCCCACACCTCCACAGAGCTGAGCTGCTGTGGATGCTGTTCTCGAACCGCTAACTTCCCTGGGTAAGACGCTTCACGGGCCGACAGGCATTGCTGATGTGAGATTTGTCTTCGTAGATCCCGACGGCGATGAGGTGCTCTGGACGCGCGTCAACTGGTGCCATCGATTGGGTCCCCCCTTGGCGTTAGGACAAGTCGTGTGCAACTGGATATTGCGCCCAACAACGCCACATTCGAGAGCCACAGTGGCACATGAATCAAACCTGTATTTTCCGGGACGAACGTAACCGTGTGGCGGGTGTTCTCGTAGCGCCCCTCCCGAATGACGACTGCCAATGGACGGCACCATTCTGCCGGTGGAGAGAGGCCGTTTCCCTGTTTTTCAGGGCATCCGTCATCGGATCCGTGTGCCGGCGCGGCAGAGACCGGAGACAAGCTGCCACTGCGGGAGCAGATGTTGCTCGATCACACATATCCCCGCAACTCACGTCATGAATCCCTCCCTCGCCGTCATGAAGTTGCTTCTCGACCCGAAACTGAGTCTTGGGAGTTGGTTGCCCACCATCCGGCACCCCACATGAGCTCATGCCACCACAATCTCGGACTTCATACATGGGTCACTGATGCTGTCTGACTGGCGCTGCCGAAACAACTCTCGGCCTGTGCCAGTTTTGGGACTGTGACATCACGTTGAAATTCGGATCATAATGGACTCAACACGTTCCTGAAAGAAGTATTTGATGCTCGGAATTCCTCGTCTTAGGAGGGTATGTTCCAAGTCAACAAGACAATCTACAATCAACACCGAATACCAAGCATTCTTTTTTTGATACCCCAACTTACGCAGAGCACCAACACCGTTTGATACCAATTATTTCAACTCAAACCTCAACAGCACATCAAGAATCAGTCATCATGGGTTTGGGCTCAAAGATCAAGAACGCGCTCCACAGCGACGACTCACACGGAAGCCAGCAGCCCCCCGGGGCATTCCCTTCGGATCCCGCCACCACGACAAACACCAAGCACAACACTCCAGGCACCACAAGTACCACGGGTACCCACACCGGCAGCCATACGACCGGTGGTTACTCGGGTGGTACGACCAGCCCGCATACCGGTCCGCACAGCGGTTCCCATACCGCCGGTAACACTACGACAGGGTATGATGATCCCGATGGTGTTCACGGCCCTCACGGCAAGAGGACTTTGAACAAGGCCGATCCTCGTGTAGACTCGGACCGTGACCACCGCGGCGCTCCTGGCTCTGGCTTGACTGGTAGCAACGCCGCCCACGGCCACACTTCGGGCTCCGGTCTGACCGGCAACAACACCACTCACAGCGCTCATGGCACAACCACCGGTTCTGGTGTAACCGGGAGCAACACCACGACAGGTTACGACGACCCAGATGGTGTCCACGGCCCCCACGGCGGACGTGCGGCCAACAAGATCGACCCCCGTGTCGATTCTGACCGCGACCACCGCGGTGCTCCCAACTCCGGTCTGACCGGAAACAACACCTACGGCACTAGCACCGGCCCCGGTCACGCCGGAGGGTTGAGCAGTAACACCCACGGCGGGGCGACCGGCGGTCTTACCGGAAACCATACCACGGGCTATGACGACCCCGATGGTGTCCACGGCCCCCACAGCGGACGTGCGGCCAACAAGATCGACCCTCGCGTTGACTCCGACCGCGATCACCGCGGTGCTCCTGGCGCTGGGCTGACGGACAACCACCGTCCCACCGATTCCGGTGTTGACTTCGGCAATGGCCCCGGCCACAACAGACCGTACCCCGGCAAGAACCTCCACAACACTCAGGACCCTTACTGGGGTGATGTAGGTCGCGATGGTCACACGGGTACTCACAGCACCCAGGGTTCTGCCGGTACCCTTAACAAGGACCTGCCTCTGCGTCCCAACGAATCCGGTCTTGGCCGGGGAGGTCCCCAGGCAGTTGGCGGGGGCACCTACAACGCTGCCGACACTCACCACCACGACCCTGCTTCCGGCATTGACCGCTCCATGGAGGGACGTGACTTCACCCATCCCCATCAGGGCGGCAACGCCGGCATTGGCGGTGCCGGCAGTGACCCGTACAGCGGCGTTCACGGAGCTGCTCACAATCCTCAGGCAGCCCTTGCCGGCGGCAACTCGAGCGACCCCTATGACACCCGCATGAGGGACAGGGACATGGGCCGCGAGCGTACTGGCCACGGTGCCGCTGGCGCTGGCATTGGTGCTGGTGTCGGAGCTGGTGCCGCCATGGCTGCTGGTCAGGCTGCCCACAAGCATCACCGGGACGACATGCACGAGTCGGGCCTCGGCCACAACACCGCTTCCCACGGTGCTTCCAACACCCATGGTGGTGTTGGTAGCGGCATCGGCAGTGGTGTTGGCAGTGGTGCTGGTGGTATCGGCGGTGTCAACGACCACTCCCGCTCTAGCATCACCGGTAACGAGCCTGGCGTGCCTAGAACCAGTATGCTCGACCCCTACAACGAGGCTCCCACCGCAACGGGCGTCCAAGGCAACGTCTCCGGCGGCAAGGGTGGACACTATGGGGGGCGCAGCGGATCTCCCCCGTTCAACCAAGGTACGCACAATTCCAATATCTCGGGCACCACCGGCCTGGGATCCAGCAGTATGGGTCCTGACCATTATGGCCCAGGACACGAAGGAGCCAAGGTTGTCCATACCTGCACCCGCTGTGGCGAGGACAATGACATTAGCAGGTACTTCAAGAAGGATGCGGTTTACCGCATGGGTTGAAGTCTGATCTAACAAAGATCAACTGTTGTATACCACATTGTATTTTTCATAGTTAGCCATAATGATCATGAAACGTAATGATATCATATCTTGCCGTTTGATCTAGATTTTTTAAACTATTGACAATAATGTAAGAGCATGCGCCAGGTGTAGGAGCTGCTACCCAAGCTCTTCTGGCAACAAAGACAAAATCGGCTTTACGTGACCAGTCTTATTCGGTGATATTTCTTCACCAGACCCCTATCCATCTCACTTACGTATCCCGATCTGAGATACTTAGCAATAGTATTGTCTCGCGCCTCTCCAAAGGTTTCTTTTCTACCTTTTCTAACAGGCGGTAAACAACCGTGCCAGGCGGGCTGTTGCTTTGGGACGGAGCAGAATCTCGTGGAAGATGTGGTGCAACCTGAACCAGTAGCGGTGATGCTCAGGCAAACCTTTCATCCTGGCGCTAGGGTTTCCAGCCGCCCCGACCTGTCATTGCACAATTTCTTCGCATCATCCTCAGTCATGCCAAGTACTTGCCTGTTTACAATGATAATGAACTTGTCAGGAATGAGGCTATTGTTCGAAATGTTGTGAAAGCGCTCTTGAACATTGTGGGACAGAGCGGCCAGATAGACGGTGTCGGTGCCCTGCTTGAACCTGACAATGCTCTTCTTTTTCAGTACTTCAGCCGCTCTTTCGATAAATCTGCCGTTATCGGTAATGTATTAATATGTGGTTGAAAACGGAATGAGCCCAGGCAAGCCTGGTGGCTTGTTTCCTTCTGTTGGAGTCGATACAAAAAGAAGATGATGCTCAAAACGCTTACTTAATAGAAGCCACGCAGCAGTAGGTACCGTCCTATACCGTTGCAAGGACTGAAGGGTCGTTCGCAAACGTAGCATCTGTTGAATCCATTGATCTCGGATGAGTAGCTGCGACAATATTGTGACTGACCCCGACCCAACGCACATACGTATCTTGGTGATACGCTGGGGTGAGGTACAGCGAGGTAATTATAACGTAGTGGCATCTGTGAGGTACATAGACCGTCTGAAAGTATCTCGACACGCGCAATATCATTATCCGACGACTAATTTGCTTCTGTCTTTCTCACGTTCGTATCGACATATTTACAACACTAAGCCAAATAGTCTCTCGCAACCAGGGTTCATAATGCCTGATATGGTGGTTTCATAACCAACATAGTATCGTGTATCTAAGGAAGTCCACACGTGTATCTTATTGCCGGTAAAGGTCACATATGCTCTGGGCTAGTTGCGAAACTGTCGTCCAAGGAGATTAAGTTACAACGTTCGAATCCTTTGGAACACTTTTATGATTGAGCAGTGGCCTACATTATGTGCCCTCATTGCGCAAGCCTATCTTTTGTTTAGAGAAACTGCACAAAATTAGGCTCACCTTGAACGAACAGTTGGATATCCGAAAACCCGCTTCGACCTTCGATTGTAAAGCTATTGTACCTTGTTACGGAGTACAATGACAAGCATTAGGGATCTAGCCTTGTTGCAACCATGTTCTTCTACATGTGTAATCACTAAGCTCATCATGGACTAGTGCTGCGAGTCTCAATTAAGCACCCAATATCAGCTGCATCATCCTGCATCAACCCCTTGCTTGCAGGGTTGATTGCCCAATTAGAGATATCTCCGATAAGCTGAAATCGGGGCGTTGACAACTTCTGCCTACATATGGGACCCCAACCCCCCTCACCTGTCCTTAAGCGTGGCCGAGCATTACAAGAATTTGGAAGAATTGGTAGGCCTCCATGATGACAAGTCTGGCGGCTGATCCGATCTAATAGCGGTGCAGACCAATCGCTCAAATCGGCAGAGCCAGTTGCTCTTTCTGATCCAGCATATAACAGAACAGGTCTCTTGTCGGTACGAGTGGAGCGCCTAGCATGCCGAGAAGACGCAAACAAATTCGCTTTGAAGAAGGCGGCGACGAGGATTGGTCCGGTTCATCGTCAAACTCCTCGACATCCAGCATCGCCTCCTTCCATCGGGAGTCTTACCCTAAAAATGGAAAGACGCGCATTCCTGCGAAGTTGGTCTCGAAGCGAGCATTAATCGATCTGGGTTATCCGTTCGTCGATGAAGGCGCTACGATTGTCCTGCTTGTAGCACTGGACGAGCGCCTCATCAACGAAGTCCTGAGGTTGAGCGAAGAATATCGCAGGTCGGACGCCGAAATCGAAAGCCAGATCGAAGGAAAGCCGATCGATTATGCCAGGGACCAAGGCTTCGATTGGGTCAACGTAGAACTACCCGCCGAGGAAGGCTCCTTGCGATATTCGGCCCATGATGAGGCATCGGATAACGACCTGGACTCGGCGTTTGGCGATGTAGGCCATGATGAGCACGAAGGACCGGTCGCACATTCCGGAGTTCTTAGTCTCAACACCACGAAGGCGTCTGGAGAAAACGCGTTTGACCTTACGGCGGGTCGGTTCCCATCTTGGAATCAGGAGAAGTCAGAACTCATCAACGGCACCACGCATCTTTACTCGGTACACGCAGCAGAGTTTTACATGGACCGAGCAGGAAACCAGAGAGTCACGCTCGTATGCCCTAACGATCCCGGAAACGGGCTGAGTGCTCCGTCCTTGGTACGCATGAGATGGCTGTAAGTGCGACGTTATATTACGGAAATGGGTTGATCAATGTTAATGAATCCAAATACAGACATGTGCAAGCTCGATCCCTGAACCTTACGACCCTCGAGGTAAACCGGACAATGCTTCTCCCAACTACGCTTGCTTATGCTTTTGGCTAATCCTATAGCAACAAAGGATCTTGTGGCAGACTGCCCTTACATATCTCATCCCTTGAAATTAGTTGCCCTAACGGTTCTCAAGGAGGTCGCAGTCCGGTGTACAAGACCTTCGGAGACTGGGTTGTACATTGAACCCGGGTCAACCATACAATACATTGGGAGATACAACCGATCCCTTGGAAGTTACCCGGGTGATGCAATATCTGACACGGAGCCTGTAGTGTTTTTGTCCGCGCCACACCTTATTCTCGCCGAAAGGACATCCCGAAAAAGGTATTATGGAAAACATTGCACGAGGAGTCTTTCAGAGGTTCTCTACGGCTACGACAACGGAAGCCATGAAAGTTCGCGTATCATTCAAGGTGAAAATCAAGACTCCACGACACTGCAAGTGCCTCAACTTTGGTCTTTGGTCGTTGGTACGGGTAAGTGGTTGGTGATGCACGACTTTCTGATCCCGAGTTTTCCGCGAAAGGTGTCTAAATACAAGAGTAGATTTGATCATTACTAGCTCCGAGCTTTCCTCGGAAGAGGTGCAGAAGGATCTGATTACAATCGACGGAATAGATTCAGAGACAGGGATTTACACTATTAGACTCATTGATGAAAAAGATACCTTCCGTTACAACATTGTCATCAAACCAGACTGTAAATACGTCGTAAGTGATAATTGAGCCCTCCCACCCTACCATTCTATTCAAGATCACACACTCTGACCTGCCATTCAGGACTTTTTAAGACATGCTGTCTCTCTTGTGAGTAAGGGACGGTCAAATGCGGCGGCCTGTGATTTGGTGGATGATTCGGGTGTCTTGATCACCGCAGATGCTTGGTTAAGGCTACTTGCAGAAGGCTCCATCGAGGAATACGTGTTCTGCCTTCGACCAAGGCACGCAGGCCATAAGTCACCCGACGAGGACTTTCGTGCGCTGTCTGCAAGGCTTACGGCGGGCAGCCGTAGCAGTCTTGGGAGATATTCTCGTCCAAGGTAAATATTGGCTGCACCTCAAGATATCAGTTTGGCTAACAGTTCCGCAGTTCTTTTCGCTCCGAGTTTGGAAGTGCCAGTCACAAAAATATGCAAATGGTTGTACATCCTAGCATGGTGGAGTATGGCGCTGGCTCTCAATCGTCACATTCAATAGACAGTGCGGAGGATGAAGGGTCCGATATGGATATTGAGACATTGACCATGTCTTTCTGGTCACACCTCAATGAAGCCAATTCCGAAGGCTCGTCGATCGACGGAATCGTGGATTTGACCTCGTCTGCTTCGGAGACAAGCCATAGAGGGAGAGAGTCACACATGGTTCGCTCTCCTCAACCACGTAACTATGTACCAGAACTTTTCGACATGGACCGGCATACGGAGTTTAGACGGGGGATGATTACCAAGGTATTCATAAGCTTAACTCGGAAGTTCTGCTCCTTACTAACCAGCAATACCACAGAATGAAAAGCCCAACTTGGGGACAGAAAAGGCTTATACAGGTGGCGTGCCTGACACGCGATTCATCCTTCGACGTCGAGAAACGGCGCGATCGGCTGACAGCCGAGAGAGCGGCCCAACAACACTACCTTCATCATCAAGACAGCGATCCGCTGATAGAAATTGGAATCCTTCGAACGCATCGATATTCACCTATCCTCGCGGGTCGCCCCTCGACCCAGAACCACCATCAGGCTCATTCGATCTTCACGAGACTCCTGGATCGACGTTACCCAGGAGATCACCATACCGTAACCCGGGTCCTGGGCCAATGCTAGACGCGTTTCTCAGCAGTGGTTTTGAAACGGATCCCCCACGGCTCGACACGCCAGAGACGGATTTCGTCCCATTTCTAGCATGGCGGCTGACGTGGAAAGATGACAAAAGATCGAGAGCTGAGATCGATAGGACTCTGTTCCAACTCTTGAGCAACCTCAACGCTGGCCTCGAGTCGGACAAAGCTGGCAAATGGTATAGAACAGCTTTTGAATGTACCCAAGCTCAGCTTTTGGAGAGGTTTCGGTGTCTTTTGAAAACAACGTCCTCCTTTTCTGGACAACCTGAGGCGGCACACGAGGTCGGGGCATCAACGGCCAACCCCATAGCCGACGACCCCCTTGACACCGATGCAACAGCAACAGCGGATTCCGAGTCTCTCCGGCGGGTTCAACGCCCAGCAGACAATCCTGACACCAAGGATGTCTCTGGAAGGGTTCCGCCTCGCGAATCCACTTTGTTCGGTTCCACCGATGTCGACACTGCAGACGGCGTGCTTGACAGTGACGGCGGGTCTTTCCATCGTCTTAACCCCAACTCGGCTATGGGAGCTGGGCCAGATGACGCTAGCAGTATCACTCGCAACAGTTATTCGAAAAACTTTGACGAGTTTCTTTTGCGAAGGGTTCTTGACGTTTCTCGCGACGTCTTTGGGGCATTCCTTCCGAGAGATGGGGGCTTCGTTGCTCACACGATGTGCAAGCGGTTTTGGGGCACGGTCGATACGATATTAAGAGTAAGACTGTTTTTGCTATGCTCTTCGCCCTCCGCAACAGAGTGAGTTGCTGACTCGGTCATCTCGCAGCAAATAAGGTGGTCGTTTTACGTGCGAGATGTGACAGAGAAGGGATCATGGATTGTGGTCTGGCCGCCGCCAGGGAATGGCTTGTCCCCGAGTTGTCGTGACTGTCAGCAGGGAAGGGTGTATGAATACGCGGAAGACGCACTGGATCACTGGCACGACGACCACACGTATGCACTGTGCTCAAAGTCGGCGAAACGAGGCAGGCCATTCGACGATCCTTGTGTCGTCTTGCTATGCCGGGCGAATGGGACGGAGACGCCAACTACCCGACCAGATGGCACACAGCACGAGATCGTTTCTAGCGCGGAGGTGTTCTGCGGAGAAGTCCAAGCTATTATCGACCAAACAGAGGAGCTGCACAAGCTCGTTTCCAGCGTCGCCGCCTCGGATGACCCGATCAACGCCTACAGCTGCAGGCCTCATCTACCGAGCAGCCTGGTCAACGCGTTTGAGGGGATACTCGGCCTGTTTGTTCTCAAGGCCAAAGAGCTTTCGTGGATGAACAGGTTTGCGGCCAAGCGCGGCTCCTCGTACAGCCGCAACGCCGAGCGCAGGTTGAACCGTCTAAAAGACGCTTGTGAGTCGACGTCGAGACACGTTCGCGAGCATCTCGTCCGGGCCAGGGAAGACATAATCATGCTGGGCACCACGAAAAGAGACTCTGAAAGAATTATCATCGCTCCCATCGGGCCCGAGTTCTTGGCAGCATGCCTGATAAGCAGCCTACAGAACAACGTCCCCGTGCCGGGTACCGAGAGAAAATTGGACCTGGTCGCCCACTATCGCAACCACACTTCCCGGCTATGGTTCGAAACAAACAGGAAACCCAAACGGGGGGCCTTTGTTGCGATCCATGCGCTGGAAGAGGAGCTGGAGGCCCTGCGGGTTGTCGTCGCTTCCCAGCAGCACTTGCTGAAGTCGTACCAGAGACTCCTCTCGCCCCTTTCGTTCAGGTCGCGGACGACAGACCGGCTGTACTACAAAGATCGCAAAGCGTCGTTTGACCTCGAAAACAAGTGCATACGTAGACAACAACGGAGGCTCGCCGAGCGGGACAAAGCACTGGCGATCTTGCAACGGAAGGCGAGGACGCTGCGGGATGAGACGAAACAAAGGATCGAAATACTCGACGAAGGGCACGGCAAGGCGATTCGCGTCTTCACCATTGTGACCCTTTTCTTTCTGCCGCTGTAAGGTCCCTTCCCCTCCTCCCTTGCTGATTTCTTTATTTTTGCGGTTGAGAGGACTAATTACCTGAGATCCGTTGGACCAGCTCATTCGTCACGAGTTTCTTAGGGATGAACACGACCGACATCAGGGATACAAGTCGCGACCAGAAGGTCTTTTGGATCTCGGCGTTGCCCGTGACTTTTGGCGTGCTGGGGCTGGCATTCCTCTATGGGTACAAATGGGACATGGTTCTTGCATGGGTATCCAAGGCTTTCAAGCCGACAAACAGAAGCGCGGCGCTCCACGGGTTTCGAGGCAAGGAACAGCTGACATGGGCGACGGCGACGGGACACAAGGACTCGGGGCTGCCGGCGCACTATGAGAGGTCGAGCCCTGCTGGTTGGAAGAACAAGGTGTTGTTTCTTTCTAGAAGAAAGTCCAGGGCAAAGACCGACGACAGTTTGTTTCGTCCGTAGCTACTTCCGACTTGAAAAGAATGACTCTACGTTTGGATGGGTTGTCTGCCCACAATCCGCTATGCCGGGGGTTTCCTCTTAGCATCATCTCCTTCTTCCTGCTGGTCTCGCTCCTGGCCGTCTGAATCGAACAGGGTCTCCTGGGCTGGGTTCGGAATGTCAGTTGAGGGTTGCAAAAAAAAAAAAAAAAAAAAAAAAAAAAAAAAAAAACCGGGTGACGACGATGACCTACCACTCCAAAGCTCGGCATACAAGCCGCCACGGTCAATGAGTTCCCTGTGGGTGCCCATCTCAGCCACGTTACCCTCCTTGAGCACGATGATGAGATCGGCGTCAAAGATGGTGCGCAGCCTATGGGCCACGAATACGCTGGTGCGCGACTTCTCGCGCAAGATGCTGTTGATGTTGAGCATGAGGGCCTGCTCGGTGTGGGTATCAAGGGCGCTGGTGGCCTCGTCGAAGAAGAGCAAGGGGGGGTCCTTGAGAAGCAATCTGCTCACTGCCAGACGCTGCTTCTCGCCGCCGGAGATCATCATGCCACGCTCTCCGACCTTGGTCTGGTACCCGTCGGGGAGCCGCTCGATGGTTTCGTGGATGCGAGCGCGCTGGGCGGCGGCGATGACGCGCTCCCGGGGCGCGGACATGTCGCCGTATCGGATGTTGTGCTCAATGGTGTCGTTGAAGAGGGGGGTGTCCTGGGGGACGACCCCGATGGCCCGACGCAGGGAGTCGAGCTGGACCTGACGGACGTCCTGGTCGTCGATGAAGATGCGGCCGGTCTGGGCATCGTAGAAGCGGAAGAGGAGGCGGAGGAGGGTCGACTTGCCGCAGCCGCTGGGGCCGACGACGGCAACCTTCTTGCCGGCGGGGATGGTGAGGGAGAGGTTGCGCAGGATGGGCCGGTCGGGATGGTAGCCAAAGGTGACATCCTCGAACCTGATCTCGCCGCCCTTGGGTAGGGTCAGGGGCTTGGCGTCGGGCGCGTCCTTGATGGAGACGTTGACCTTTTGCAGGTTGAAGAGCGTCTCCATGTCCAGCAGAGACTGGCGCAACTCGCGGTAGACAGAGCCGAGGAAGTTGAGGGGGACGGACAGCTGGAAGACCAGCTGGTTGACCATGACCAGGTCGCCGACGGTCAGCGTGCCGTGGGCGACTCCGTCGGCGGCCAGGTACATCATGGCGGTCAGGGCGGAGGAGAAGATGATGTTCTGGCCGCTGTTGAGGAAGGCCAAGGAGGTGGCGACCTTGATGGAGCTCTTCTCGTAAGCCTGCAGGGCCTTGTCGTAGCTCGAAACCTCGAACTTTTCGTTGTTGAAGTACTTGACGGCCTCGTAGTTGATGAGTGAGTCGACGGCGACGGTCGAGGCCTTGTTGTCGGCGGCGTTGGCCTGTCTCCTAAACTTGGTCCGCCAGGCCGTCGTCCAGATGGTGAAGGCCGTGTAGCCGACCATGGTGAGGATGGTGATGGCGGCGAACTTTGCGCCGTACTGCCAGGTCAGGATGCCGCAGACCATTGATATTTCCAGGGCGGTCGGGAGGATGTGGAAGACCATGCTCGTCAGCAGGAAGCTGATGCCCTTGGTGCCGCGGTCGATGGCCCTCGTCAGGCCGCCCGTCTGCTTGGACAGGTGGAAGCTGAGGTCGAGGCGCAGCAGGTGGTCAAAGACGTTGCAGGCGACTCTGCGAATGGCCTTCTGGGCGACGGAGGCGAAGACGGCGTTGCGCAGCTCCTGGAAGACGGTGGCGCCTATCCTGGTGGCGCCGTAGGCCAGGACCATGCTCCCGGCTATCGTGGCGGCGGTGCCGCCGGTGGCGGCGAAGTCGATGTTCATGGAGTCGACGATGCTCTTGAAGTAGAAGGGGACCTGGACGTTGAGGACCTTTGCGCCGATGAGCAGAGAGACGGCCAGGGCGACGCGGACTTTTGTGCTGATGCTGTCCTTAGGCCACAAGTACCGCGACATCTCCTTCATGATTGCCCAGTCGGCCTTGCGCTGTTCTTGCGCGCTCTTCTCAGGCAAGGCCAGAGGGTCGGCAGCGGCGGCAGCGGCAGGCTTCTTGGCCTTGGCCGGGGTCTTGTTTTCTCCATCGCCGGGTCTCGTCGTGGCCGGGTTCGTCGTCGGGTTTTCGCGTCTCGAGGGTGCGCTCGTCTGGAAGACGCGGATCGGTGCCCGCGGGCTCTGGGGGAGCCACGGCGGACGGCAGAAGTGTGTGTGTGCGATGCCGCGGGGGCAGGCCAGGGGAGCCTTGGTTACGGCTCGGATTATCATCGTTGTCGTGCCCTGCGCCGCAACTCGATCATTTTTCTTCTCCTCGTGTAATCTGCGCGCGAGGGTCGGTCAGCGACAGCGGGTGACATTTCGAGCCGAGATGCCGGTTTAAGAGGGTTCCCGGAATGTTTGGAGGGGTTATGTTGTGAGAGGGAGCAACCTACCCGCAAATGAGGGAGCGACTTTGAGACGGCAGACAATAGACCGAGTACGGTCGCGGGATGGAGAGAAGAGGAAACTCGTCAACGATCGGGAATAATGAGGGCTCGGCGGCGATGGTGCACTTGAAGGCGGGAATGTCGCAACCCGAGGGCTCGGCTTAGTCTTTCGGAATGATGCAATCGCCGGCGCCTTAGGCACCTGGAGAGCCCCCCGATTGGTCTCCACACCTGCGGTCCACTTCCTAAACACCGAGGCCGTCAGGGGTCCATGGTCTTCACCGAGATTCACCGACACACCGAGACAGGCATATCGGGACAGCAGGCAGCACCATCGTGTCAAGTTGAAGAACAGCAACTGGAGACCTCTACTTCCGGGAGTTATAGCTCATGTGTTGGAATTTATCATCTCCTGCTGCTGTTCATAGCTTCTTAATGAGACATATATCTCACTTGCCACTCGGCTCAACTAAGTGAGAACGTGGGCCTGCCTACAACAGCTTCGATCAAGAAACGCCTGCGCCTCTTGCTGAAAGGAGCCTTCAATTAGCTTTAGCTGGTTATACGACAGTAGAGAGGCGCTCATTTTCAATTGTCGCTCAATTGAAGTGAGAGGTGAAGTGCGAGATGAGGTGAGATGTGAAGTATGAGGTGAAGTTTTAAAGCAATGAAGTGAGAGCATCGGAAGGTACTATATCCCCTGCACCTTCCAAACGCCCAAATACGGACCTGCCTCCTACACTCTAAGCGAGTGGGCTCTTCCTTCTTCCGATTTGCTCATAGGCGACAGGAAAGATCGGTCGTTTCTATCGTGCTCAAGAAGGAACGATCCTTCTTCTCATCGAACGGACTTACTTCAACTGCCAAGTCTCTGCATCAGTCACACAAAACTTCAATCAACCAAACCTCACTTCTTCCACTCGTCATTCCGGTAGAAACAGGACATTGTGGCTAAAATTTCCTCGCGAATCGACTGATCTATACCCTCAAGAACCACTCGATTGGAATCGCCAACTATTCCAATGGAAGCTCCCACCTGCACCTTAAGCAACTTCGGCGGCCGCGACCACGAGTAAGTTCATCAGAGATTTTTCCATTTTCATTGTTATGTACAAAATCTTAACAGAACTGTCAGTCTCATCGACAGCGGCTTTTTGGCCGACTGCGAGGTTGTCTGCGATGGCAGGACCTGGAAGCTGCACAAACTCATATTGTGCTCGCGATCCAACTATTTCAGGGACCGTCTCCTCGATGACTTGTCGGTATGTATACTTACATCTCTGACACAGCTTCGATCCCACGAGTTGACATGGCGCCAAATAGAAGTTGGAGAATAACAAGGTTGTCATTGAGGATTTCAATGCTCAGCAGATGGGACTGGTCATATCCTACATCTATGCCGGCAGTAAGTCGTCATCCTTATTAAGCCAGCTCTAATCTGGACACTCCTCGAACACAAGCCATCTGCGTGCTAACCAACAATGTAAAACTACCAGATGTCAAGTTCGAGCACATGATGAGAAAAGGCGAGCGCTTGCAGACCTCGATGCAGTTGTTGAAATTGGGGCTTTACTTTCGCATCGACGAACTTTTCTTCGACGTCTATAACTTTATTTACGACCACTTCATCCCTTCGATCCTCTGTTCTGCTCGTCAAGGAGAGTTGTCCGTCGATCTCAAAGACTGGGCTGCCTCCTGCCGCCTCGTCTATGGCACGTCCCCAAAGATTGTCGGCGACCGCTGCCTCAAGAACATCTTTTTGAGCCTCACTTTTGATGACGGAGATTTCCGCAAGGAGATCTTGCAGATGCCAGAGTTCAAGGCGCTCTGCTTGGAGTACCGCGACTTCGGTAGCGACAGCATGATAAAGCTACTTGCTATCAATGCTCTCGTTGTGGAGTAACCGGCAATGTGATAAAACGACCTATCACCGGAAGATGACGATATGGGCAGAACAGCGGGATTGTACTTGGATTACATTCGGGATTCCATTTGGGATAACAACGAGATTACACTTGGAATGAGGTCATGAGCCGGGTCTTGCAGATATGCGCAGCTTTTGAACTTATTTCCGAGGAACATGGAACTTTGCCCTTTCTAGCAGATGAGCCGTTGGACCAGCGATTTGCCTTCAGCCCACGATAATAGCGTTCACGTAAAACCCTTCGATTCATTTCCACCTCCGCGTGACTGTCTCGTTTCCAGGCTTCGGCAAGACGGTGAACTTTGTAGTCAGCCCCTTCCAACTGTTCGCGTTCCGAGGGTCGGCGAACGGAATCAACACTGCGAATCTCATTCTGTTGGTGCCCAAAGTTAGCCCAGACCCAAGCTCAACCGCAAAAAACTCATGCAACGCGGCCTCCTCGCCCGGCATCTCCAAGGGTCAACTCACGTATAGTTCCCCGGCCCGACTACGCTGCCATCGGCGAGCCGCCCGAACCACCAGTAACTCGTCGTGAAGCCGCCCGTCGTCAGGGCGTTCCTCGCGACGTCCCTCTCGGGCATCGCGAACACGTCGCTCGCGTTGCGGCGTGCCGGGTTGAAGCTCGAGGAGCCGCTGGCGCCCGTCCAGGACGTCGCCGAGCCGATGTAGCCCCGTCGACCGGGGACCGGCGGGTATTCCCAGTCGCGTTCCTCCTCATAGGTGGACTCGTAGATCTGCAGTCTGTCGTCAGCGGTGCTTCGACTTATGATGCCATCCCCCCCCTCCAAGAACAAGGATCGACGAACGAGACTTACATCCCACCTGACCTCTCTGGTCCCCCACTTGATCTTCATAAATATCTTGGGAAAGTCCTGCGCCGCGCTGCTGAGATCGAACGTGAACCTGCGTCAGGGTTAGCCCGCTTCAGGCTCCCTTGCCGCCGGCGAAGAGCGAAGGCTTACGTCGTTTTGTTGCTGTAAGCGGCCGTAGACCTCAGCCACGGATACGTCCCGTGGAACGGGCTCTGCATCTGCTCCTTCAGATCAAACGCCAGCCCCTGGAACGGCACGCCGAGGACCTCCCCGTTGCTGCCTTTGACGAGCACCCGGCCGCCGTACGCCGGGAGCGCCGTCTGGTTGACGCCCTGGGGGGCCTCGAAAACGAATCTATCATAAAGTTTCAGCATCGCCTTCCCCTTCGTGCGTTTCGTTGACCTTGGGAGGTTCGCCGGGGGGGGGGGGGGGACTCGGTCGACTCACTTCGCCTTCCTCTCCTCCCCCGGCCCGAGCTCAAACTGGTCCGGCAGAACGACGTCGACCGAGATGTTGGACGGCACCATCTCGGGACGGTAGCGGATCCTCGGCGTCTCCGCCGGGTCCCGGCCGTCGTACGCCTTGAGCATCTCGACCCCGGCCCAGCTCTCCACCGCGAAGCTGTACGCCACCGTCTCCCCGCCCGTGTTCCGCACCGCGACTTCCTGGCCCGCTCGGAAGTTTGCCGTGTCGTTCAGCCCGAACCGGCGGAGCTCCAGCGCCGTGTCGTAGCCGACGACCTTCCTCGCGTCGACGAGCCCCCCGCCGACCTGCTGCGACGGCGCCCTGAAGGCCGGTTCCGCCGCCTCCCCGTCGTACGGTAGCCACGGCAGCGACGCCCCGGAGGCGACGATGCGCATGGCGAGGTCCCGCGCGAATCCCATACCGTGCACCGCCCTCCCGCCGTGCTTGGAGATGTACAGCGCCGCCACGCCCGCGACGTACGGCGTCGCCATGCTCGTGCCGCTCAGCAGGGCGAACTGGTTGTCGTCGCCCCCCAGCCAGGTGCTGAAGATGTCCGTGCCGGGCGCCGCGACGTCCGGCTTCACCGACAGGTCGTACAGCCCGCCCCAGCTCGTGAAGGTCGACGGCCGGCGGACTGTGCCGCCGCTGTCGTCGCCCGTGGTGGTGGTCGTGTTCGTCGTCGTCGTCGTTGTTGCGTTGCCAGCCCTCTTGACCTCGGCGCTCGCGACGGCGAGGACGTTCTCGCCGGCGCTGCCGGAATTGGCGTAGTACGCCCCGCCGCTGCCCGAGTTGCCGGCGGCGACGGTGACGACGACGCCCTCGGCGGCGATGCGGTTGGCCACCACCGCCCACGCGTTCTCGGCGAACCCGCCCCGGCCGCCGACGCTGGCCGTGATGACGTCCATGCCGTCGTCGTACGCCCGGAGGAAGGCGTCGATGATGGTCGCCTCGTCGGTGCCGTCGCCCAGCCCAAACACCTTGTACGCGTACAGGCTCGCGCGGGGCGCCACGCCCCTCCACCCCGACGGCCCGGCCTCCCCGACCTCCTCCCCGGCCAGGATGCCCGCGCAGTGAGTGCCGTGGCCCTGCTCGTCGGCGGGGTCGGCGTCGGGCCTCTTCTCCGCGCCGGGCGCCCAGTCGTCGCCGACGAGGTCCCAGCCGCCGGCGACCTTGAACCCCGGGCCGAAGCCGCCCCCGAGGGCGGCGTGCCGGTACCACACGCCAGTGTCGACGATGCCGACCTTGACGCCCTGGCCGAGGACGCCTTCGGCGTGGAGCTCGTCGACGCCCGTGGCCCAGTGCACGGCGTGCGCGGCGGCGGTGGCGGCGTCCGGCTCGACGCCGTCCTGGCGCTTGACGGGGGCGAACAGCCTGACCTTGCCGTTGGTCCAGACGCCCACGACGCCGGGGAGCCCGCGGAGCGTGTCGAGATTGTGGTTGTCCGTCTCGAGGCTGGCGCCGGAGAAGACGGCGGACTCGAACGTCGTGAGCACGGTGATTCCCTCTTCGGACGAGAGCTCGTCGCGCTTGGTCTTGGCGTGGACGTCCTGGGGGGAGGGGGAAGTTCAACATATTAGCGGCGGCGGGTCACGGATCCGGGGGGAAAGCAAGGGCGGGGGGGGGGGGGGGGCTGGCGGTTGAGCGACGTACGCTGGCGAACTCGATGATGAAACGCTTGGCTTCGACTTCGACCTCGACGTCGGCTGGCCCAGTGGCTTCGTCGTCGTCTTGCGCGGCGGCGCCTCTGGCAACGAGAGCCAGGGCGGGCAATAGCTGAGCGAAACGCATCGTGACTCCGACTCTGGCGACAGAGGCTTGGTCCGATAGCTGTGGTATCGACCGGAGGCGCGGGGGGAGCAGCGAGGACAGGAAGCTCTTTATTTACCAGCCGGGGTGCATCACGACCTCTTCCTCATCGCGCGAGTCGCCGCTCCCGCCATTGCAATCCATTGCCCCCCCTTTCCGCAGCAGCGCGTGGGCAAGGGGGGTGCGTACCTGCATATGACCCAACCCAGGAGAGGTAGGTCGAAAGAAATCCTAGGTCCGGGCCGCCCATTTCGGGATGAGCCAAGGCCGAGCAACATGGCTCTCCCAAGACATCGATCCATCCAACGCGACCGGGGATCCCGAATGTGCGCAAATATGCTCACGAGCCTTTAGCGGAGAGAGAGGGCCCTCGAGAATAAGGCGTGCGTGCGCTTGTCAGTTGAAGGTGCTCCCAGGAGTGCGGCCCTCCGCGAGCGTCTCTCGTCGTGACATTATCCGAGGGTTTTAAAGGATCGGCCGAGATGCGATGCGATGGGATGCACTGACGAAGACGGGATGGTTTTTTTTGTTTTGTTTCCCCCAATTGAGTTTCGGCCGTCTCGCCCGACCGCCTGTCAAAGCCATGACCCCCCCAAGCCCCGAGTCAGATTCGGAGTCGGGGGCCGATGCGTCGATCCGATGATCAGCAATGTGACCTTCTTTTCTGGGGCATCTGTGCGTCTATCCGTGAGCTGTCAACCGTCGGTCGATGGCATGTGAATTGATTGCCGCATCTGTCAAGATGGATGTGCTAGGGGGAAGGGGGGGGGTGATAGGGCTGGCGGCCGCAACAAGTTCTGCCAAAAGTAACAGTAAGGACGCGCGGGTGCTCGTTTGCAAACGCGACGGCATCACCGACACAACCGCGGGACTAGTTGTTATGATTTCAGTGTATCTTTGATTGTCAAGAAGAATAGTCTATATGCACCTAGGCTGGGCCGTCTCTTAGGGGCCAATCCCGCTTCCATGCTGGGCTCATGCATCATGCCTCGTGTCAACTACCCTGCTACTCGATGACGCTCTTCGTCGGAGTACCAAAAAAAGAAGGGGGAGAAATAAATTACAAAAAACGGCTTCATGATAAGAGAGGAAAGAAAAAAGGACAATCAATCGCAGCAAAGCAACGCCCTTTCTACCCATACTCCCGGCTGTATGATATTCCACTTCGCCCCCCCCCCCCCCACCGCTCTCGCTCTCTCTGTCTGTCCGTCACAGTTTGCTGTACGTCGTATCGCGTCGCTTCATCCGGCGTCACTTCTCCGACTCGGGGATGTGGCCCTCGACGGTGCTCAGCGCGGCGAGGTTGACCTGGCCAAAGTGCTCGTGGGACTCACTGCCGAGGCCAACGCCGACGAGCAGAGCGACGCACTCGACGACGTCTTCGGGCTCGAGCAGGTGCCACCTGGCCAGCGTGACCTTGGTGCTGGCGCCGACGGTGACGGCGAAGACGTGGTCGTTCTCGAGCTCGGTGCCGGACAGGCCGTTGAGGGAGCGGAACATGTCCTCGTCGGTGAAGTCGTCGCCGAGGCAGAGGACGAACTCGACGCGGCCGGCGTGCTTGTCCGAGGCGGACGCCGAGTTGTACGTGTGGACGAGGCGCTTGGCGATCTCGCCCTTGTTGATGAAGGTCGGCCGGACCTCGAGGTTGGCCTTGCCCTCCATGACCTCGACGTCCCACTTCTGGGCGACGGTGGCCTGGAGCTCCTTGTGGCACTCGCGCGCCATGTGCAGGCCCTGCTCGGGGTCAGCCAGCCGGTAGTGCCACGTGAGGGCGCAGCGCTTGCGCTCGACGAAGGAGCCTGAGTTGCGTTAGTGTCATCGTATTCAACAAAAGGTGGAGAAGGCGGGAGAGAGGGGGGAGAGAGGGGGAGAGAGGGGGAGAGAGAGGGAGAGAAAGGAGGGGGCTACTCACCTGGAACGCGGTCGGTAAAGGACTGGAAGACGTCCATGACCTCGGCCTGCCAGCCCATGTCGAACTTGTCGGCGAGGTTGACCCACTCGTCGGAGCCGGGGTTCTTCATGAAGCTGCCGTGCTCGGCGCTGAAGCCGAGGCCGGGGATGTGGCCGAGGTGCTGCTGGAGGAACTCCTGGTCGCGGCCGGAAATGATCCAGACGGCGTTGCGCTCGTCGCTGGCGAGGGCCCTGAGGGTCTGCAGGACGCGCTTCGAGGGGACGGCGGCGCTGGGCTCGCGGACGATGGGGGTCAGGGTGCCGTCGTAGTCGAACATGAAGAGGCGCTTGCCGGCGTCGCGGTAGGTCTTGAGCATGAGGGCGCGGTCGAGCAGGGGGGTGGCGTGGGCGGTCTTCTGGGTGCCGAGGACGTGGACGTGCTTGCGGATGAAGTGGTCGATCCAGCTCTGGACGTTGCGGGTGGTGACGTGGCTGTAGAGGCTCGTCTGCATGGCCATGCGCTTCTCGGGGACATGGTGAGGGCGTTGTTGATCTCGGCGGCGACGCCGCTGAGGTCCCAGGGGTTGATGTGGATGGCGTCCTTGAGGCTGCCGGCGGTGCCGGAGAACTCGGAGAGGATGAGGGGCCCGTGGCCCTCGCGCTGGCAGATGACGTACTCCATGCTGGTGGTGTTCATGCCGTCCCGGACCGAGGTGATGAGGCCGATGTCGGCGGCGCGCAGCAGGGCAAAGTACTCGTCCTGGCTGAGGTACTGGGGGTAGTGCTGGACGGGGGAGAAGCCGAGGCTGCCGTACATGCCGTTGATGCGCATGACGAGCTCGTTGACGCGGGTGGCGATGCGGCTCTCGGGGTCGTCGTCCTTCTCCTCCTCGATGCTGGTGGGGGAGGTGACCTGGATGAGGACGACCTTCTCGCGCCAGTCGGGGTACATTTCGAGGAAGCGCTCAAAGGCCTGGAGCTTCTGGGCGACGCCGCGGACCGAGTCGAGGCGGTCGCGGCCGACGATGATCTTCTTGCCCTCGTAGAGCTTCTTGAGGGCGTTGTACTTTTGGGTGACGGCGTCGGTCCAGGCGTACATCTCGCACTTGTCGGCGTTGATGCCGATGGGGAAGACGCCGACCTGGACGCGGGCGCCGTAGGCGTCGACGCCGCCGCTGTCCGAGGGGAAGCCGAGGACGCGGGTGCAGCAGGAGGCGAAGTGGCGGGAGTAGCTGTAGGACTGGAAGCCGACGAGGTTGGAGCCGAGGACGCCCTCGAGGACCTCCTTGCGGCGGGGGAGGCAGCGGAGGAACTCGGAGCTGGGGAAGGGGGAGTGGAGGAAGAAGGAGATGTTCATGTTGGGGACGCGCTGGCGGAGCATGCTGGGCAGCAACATGAGGTAGTAGTCGTGGACGACGACGATGTCGCCGGGCTTGTAGAGGTCGATGATGCGGTTGGCGAACTTTTGGTTCATGCGGTAGTAGTCGGCCCACTGGAGGCGCTCCTTGCGGCCGTCGGTGGGCTCGTGCTGCTTGTAGTGGAAGAGGGTGTATAGGTCGTGCTCGGCGTAGCGGCGCCAGCGGCTCTGGTCCTTGAGCAGGATGCCCTCTTCCTGCTGCTCGTTGTCGTCGCAAAGCCAGACAGGGACGGTCCTGATGGTCTTTGAGTGGGCGAGCTGCGCCTCGAGACGGGCCTGGTCCTCGCGGGGCAGCCAGAGGCCGTCGGTGCTCGGAGGCGGGGTGGGCAGACGGGGGTCGCCATCGATGGGGACCGGGGCGGAGAGAGTGTTGAGGGAGGAGAAGTGGACGGTGGTGGCGGGCGGGGTGCCGGGGGGAGAGAGGACGTCCTTGGGGGTGTCGATCTCGCCGGTCCAGGCGACGACGGTGTGGTGCCACGGGGTCTCGTCGGAGGAGAGGTAGGCGAAGGAGTCGAAGAGGGCGGACTGGCCGCGGCGAGGTTTCAGTTCCTGGGCACAGGTTAGACGGAGAAAGAGGAGAGATGGAGAGAGAGAGGGAGAGAGAGAGAAACAAAACATACCCAGTCGGATCCCTTGCGGTACCTGAGCGAATGGGGAATGTTGAAGGTGGCCGAGATGATGTTGCCGCTCAGGTGGAGGTCGGGGTTGGCGGCGCGAATTTGCGAGAGAGACTCGCGGCGACCCATGGCTGCGAGGGTCATGCGCTCGAGGATTTCGCGGCCAGAGAGGGGGCCGGGCGAGTAAGGGAGTTGGGAGGAGGAGGGGGAGGAGGTCGAGATTTGTGGTTGTTGTTGGGAAGATTGCGAGTTGGAGGTTGGAGGTTGAGGGGGGGAATCGCGGGGGCGGTCGGAGAGGGAAAAGTAGCTTTGGGCGTCGGCGGGTCGCGCGAAGTAACTGGGCGACTGAGAGCGGGAGCTGTCGCGGTAGACGTAGGTGTGCTGGTGGATGCCGGGGGTGACGGCGTCGGCCAAGGAGACGCTTCTGAGGACGGGGTTGGCCGGGTTGACGGGTGCAGGATTGACCGAGGCTTCGTTGAAGTCTCTAGGGATATTTGGAGAGGAAGCCTCGCGGCTTGAGTCGGCTGGCCGATTGGGTTGTTGTTGGTGCTGCTGCTGCTGCTGCTGCTGCTCCATGATGACTCGTGTTATTCCTCTCTTCTTTATTCCCTTTCTGGGCTCGCGGGGGGGATGCGCCGTTAAGTTTGGCTTAGCGGCGGTCGTAACGACAGGGGGGAAGAGAGAGATAGAGATAGTGTGTGTGTGTGTGTGTTATGGTGTTTTGAGCAAGAGGAAGAGGAAGAGGCAGAAGGAGAAGAAGAAGAGAAGCGAGAGGAAGAGAGAGAGAAAGAGAGAAAAGATGGCCACAGTCTTTCTGGCGGTGGTGATATGTTTGGGGGAAATGATGGGACACGTCCAGGTCGGTCCAAGTAGACACACCAGACCAGACAGGCACCACTTGGAGAGGCTAATAAGAGGGGGAGCAAGGGGTAAGATTAAGATGGATAGATGGCCTCGAAGATCATGAGAGAACCCAGAGTCAAACCAGACTTAAGGAAAAGGAGGCAGGCCGGGGGAGAGAGATACAGCGCGCGAGAGAAAGAAAAAGAGAAGCCGTCGCGATGACATTTGACGGTGAGGTGAGTTCACAGTGACGGCGCCGGCCGGGGGGGTGTCACACTAGTGCACAGAGGTACCGGGTACTTTATTCAAAGTACGATCACACACTGTTCTACCCACCATCAGACATGTATCCAGTACACTGAGCATGCTGCCAGATACCGTACTTACCTACCCAGGATAAGGGTACCGGGCTTATAGTCTCGGGATGCATCCATCGTACACGCACATCGCATGCAAACCCAGGTTGGTTTGCACTACCCGCGCGCAGGTCATAAACAAACCCAAACCAGATATTCGTATGCTGGCAGGCCTGGCACAATCGGATGCCAGAACCAACTGAGTTGCGTTGTGTTGTGTTGGTGATGGGCCGTACGGTGTGCTTCACAATGCGTACAGCCAGCTTCCCCCCCCCCACTACCTAGGTAGGTAATTAGATAGGCGTGATACGTACACCGAGGTACGTACACCTCCAATGGAGGGGCTTGGTGTATGTACCCCCCCGCAGCAGCCCCGGCGAAAGGGTACTTGGACCGCCAGGACGGTTTGCTCCTACTGTACGTAAACAGATACGTACCGTCTCCCCACTCCCCAGGCTAGACTCCAGAGTCTCCAGAGTCTCCGGAATGCTGCCGTGGTCGCACTACCACGCGAGTTTGTTGATTGGCGTCGCCCGCCGTGTTTGCCAACCGCTGCTGGATTGCTTGGTGTGCTTGGTGGGCTTGGTGGGCTTGGTGGGCTTGGATTGCTTCGCAGCCTTGGTAGTTGCTTTCTTGTGTTCCTACGCCGGGAGGAGACCCTGTTGTGTTGTCCCTCTTCCGTGTGCTTGATGCTTAATGCTTCATGACAACAAGCAGCAAACACCGGGAGAGAGAGAGGGAGAGAGAGAGAGAGAGAGACACGCCGCACCAGTTGATGACAAGCTCTTGTGCATGCCCCCAATCTTGTGCTGCTCCGGTGCCGAAGGTGACGGTGGAGGGGCAGAAAGGGGGAGGGACGGGAACATGCTGGAACCTCGGAGCTCTGTCCTGCCCCTCTGTCTGGATTGCCTTCACTTCGCTCTCCCCCTCTTCTTCATCTCTCAGCGTCTCCCCCTGGTGTCTGGCCCAAGTATCCGGCCTGTCCCGAGGTCGTATTCTCGGTGTATCCCGTCACAGCCCTCAGCCCCTCGAGGTACTTATGACGCAGCCATGTCCACTCGACCCGCTACCAGTCCAGGACCTACGCTCCTCTAGGCTTTGTGTGTCTACTATGTGGTCACGTAGTGTATCCGTACTCCGTACACTACTGTACAAAGTAGTGTATGCCTGCTGCTGCTGCTGCTGCTGCTGCTGCTGGGTGCTGCTGCAAATCGAGGTGGTGTGGCAGCTCGGAACGATCCCCCCCCCCCCCCCCCCCCGGGTGATTCTGACGGGACGAATTCTTCGAAATGACATTGGCCAATACGAGGGCCATTCCCCCTTGTCGGTTGGCCATGTCCACCCCCGTCCTGGGACGAGAGCAGGAGGGGGGGCTCCTGGAGCTTTCTCGACCTTTTCCACTCGACTGTTCCTGGTCTTGGCCGGAGGTAGACAGACCATCGAGCGAGCGCTGCTGGGTTATGATCCATGGACAATGGGAAGTGCCCTGTTTGGCGCCGTTCCTCTTCGCGACCCCTCCTCTTTAGCGTACGTCTGTTCCTCAGTCTGTCCGCGTTGTCTAATGATGTCTTTGTGATGCAACTAGCCAGAAATACGGCAAAGCTGCAAACCCCATCTCTGGGAATCCCGAGAAACAAGAGGGATTTGCATGCCGTTTTTCCCTTTTCTTCTCCCCCCCCCCCCCTTTTTTTTTTCTTTTCAAAATAAAATAGAAATCCCTCCTCCATTAACTTCCTGCCCTTCAAATTGCCCAATCTCATCACAATCTTCTCTTTCTCTCTCTCCTTCTTTGTTGCAGGCGGCCAAGTGGGGGGGAATATGGATATGGGGGCAGAGAGGCTGGGAGGAGTGTAACTTGATCCGTAAAAGCAGCCCGTTCGACGTAAACTAACGGACACGCCCCCCCCTCCGGCTGACATGCCGCAACGGGCCTTGCACTAAGATGTTCCAGAACACCACTGGTGATGCCACCTGGCGAGGGAGCTGAGGGCGTGGCGTCGTGGGCTGGGCGGACACTTGTCCGTCTTTGGCTCTTGCACGACGATAAGGGCAAAGCAGCCAACTAAAGCCACCGTCCGATGGTGTTCCGCCCTGCTGGGAGGCTGCTGGCAGCCATCCTGAGTCCGCGCCGCCATCGTCTCCGGGTCAAAGGATGGCAACGACGTCGGGAGGGGGGGTTTTGGCAGCTGAAAGACGGATATAATTATGTGATAAAAAAAAAAGGGACATGATAAATCAAACTGCAAGGGAAAGGTTTCGACCCACCTGACGTAATTTCGAGGCAATTCTCTTCCCCCTTTTTTCGTAATCTTCCGTCTCCCTCTGGTTCGTCTTTCTCCAGGGCACTTCCCGGTCTCTTCTTGGCCAGCGACCCCCTTTTTGAGGCTCTCTCTCTCTCTCCCTCTCCCTCTCCCTCTCTCTCTTCGTGAGCACCTCTGTGGCGTCTGCCTGCCTCACTCTCGCGTGTCGTTCCGGCCTCAGCAGGGTAGGGGGGGTTATCGTCAAAGTTCGCGTTGCTGAAAAGACGGTGAGCGGACGTGAGGCCGGACTAGGACGCCTTGGGCGGTGGTGGCGGGGACGAACAGCGAGCGCCTGTCGCGGGGTGCTCACTCACCACCCACCTTGCTGCTGCTGCTGCTGCTGCTGCTGCTGCTGCTGCTGCTGCTGCTGCTGCTACTGCTGCAATGCGGCTTGGCTCGCGCGATGTTTTGTGCTGTAGTGTGCTATGCCGTTCTGTGAACCTTCTATGAACCGGGTCTATCGTTGTCAGTTCACGTTGGAGGGGCCATCTAGCAACGTCAAAGTGCACTCACTCTACGCACACAAAAGCCTACAGGCGGAGGGAGAGAGTATGTAACAGAGGAAACGGGCGTCTAGATCTCTCGTTGTTGCTTCCAAGGGGAGGTTGGTTGACCAGAGCGAGGATGGGAGTTTCCACCGCTCTTTTTAAACAATCACAGCCCATCCCATCCAGCCACTCCAGCCCGACCTCACTTGGAGGGTGATGAGCGCGAATGGTCGGCGAGACGTGCCCGTGCCTGATTTGACTCTTCGTCCTTACGATGCATGAGCCCGAGCATGAGATGAAGCAGCAGCAGCACCACCACCACCACCACGGCTGCTGCTATCGCTGAACCGACGCCGGTCTCGGCCACATCGGCATGCATTCCTGCTCCGTGCCGGGACTGCAGGCCATGATGCCACGCCGGTGAACTCTTTGCATGCGCAATTGTTTCTGGCCAGCCATCCTTCGCTCGACCAGGGAACCAACCGGGGAGGGGGGAGTGCCTCGTCTGCCGCCAAGACGCGAACCTCAACTCTCCCTGCCATGACCACCCATATCTCTGGCCAGACACGGCGAGGCCTCGTATTGGCTTCCATCGGAATCCGGGTCGGTGATCGCCAGCGGCTCTTGTCGACGTCTGAACGCTAGCCCGTGTACGGCATGGCACGTGTTATGGACGGACCTTGGACATTTCCCCGTTGCACAGAGGGCAGAAATGTACGACGTCGAGATTGCCCCTCGTCTGCCTGCCTGCCCTTCCTCCGCGGTGTATCCCATCAACGGCCCATCGTCCGTGTGGCCCTTGAACCTAATAGTCCACGCGCAAGCGCCTCCGCTTCCGCATCCCACAGAGTCTAGGCTCTTCTTGTATCCACCAAACCCCATGGGCACCGAGCATCGTGGTCTTGGACCGGTCTGTCAAACCCCCCCCCCCCCCCCATGCTTGGTGCCATATACCCGCCGGCTGGACAGCTTACCCCCGCCAGTATCAATTCCAATCGAGTCCATCTATTCCATCTCCCCATCTCTCCATCCCACCATCACTTCCTGCGGGCCCAGACCGGGCAGGTCGATCCCAGGCCAACGCCCAATGCCATGCTTCCATTCAACGTCCTCCCCCTTCGCTGAATCAAACCTGCACCCTCGACGTTCTGCTTCGATGCTGGGCTGCCCAACACCCCTACACCACATCAGCCTGAACGGGCCGGGCCAACCAGCTGAGGCATTTCCCCCCATTTCACTGCTGTGCCCATCCCGCCCGCCATCGTACCCTCCTTCTCCCTCTTCCGAGAAATCATCACCGATTTCACCCGAAAGCTGATGCAGGTCGGTCTTCACTCTCGTTCCATCTCGTCCCCCGGTGCCCGGCGCGACTTGCTCCCCCAGATAAAAGCCCGTCTACCGTCTGCAAACCAGATGGGGGGAGGGGGGCCGGCGAGTCCCCCGCCATCAGACCAAGCACATGGCGCCAATCCCGCCTCGTCAGTGGCTGTATTCTTCGCATGGGGTTCTTTTTGTCTGTGCTTTGGATGCCGTCTTCCTTCTGGATGGGGGCACGATTTCTGCTGTTTCGTCGTCCCTTCGGCGAGATGCTCGATTACGCCGGGCGGCATGCACACCCCCGGCCATGTCAGGCTTCGTTGCACCTTAGGTTGTCGTCATGGATTGGCTCGTCGGCCACACACCCGTCGTGCGCTTTTTCGGATCACCGCGCCGGAAATTGGTTATGAGGGAGGGGGGGGAGATATCGTGACAGGTAAGCCCCGGCTTGCGGCCCTCCATCGAGATGGGGAGAGTGGCTACCATCTCAGCATGGTTGGTGACCGAATCGGCCTGGGAGAAGTATCGACGACCAATACCGCTTGATGCAGCAGGGCATGTGTATTCGCGCTCTCTGCAAAACTAAGCCAAACGTGATATGAAGCCCGGGCCTCGTGAGGCTCTTGAGCAGAAGTCCCCTCGGAAAGCTGAATGTCTTTAGACGTTCAACGAGCTACCCAGCCTCTCCTCTGGGAAACTTGCGAAGACGCATCAAGGATCGGCGTAGCTTGTGTATTGATTCTGTTTGTTACTGGGGCGTTTCAGTGCCATCATCGTCCAGGTTGTGGACTCTCATAGACAGTAGTTCTTATACTTGTTGAGTCTAGCAGCCTTGCCACGACACCTGCAAAACAGCGTTTGACTACGCTTGACAATTTACGTCGCTCAAACTGTTGGTGCCATCCTCTTGGCCCATCTGGTTGCCAAACTAAAACGCTGAACTATCTTGAATCTGTTTCTTCTCTCTCTTACCCGTCTCACATTTACCGAGATACCCTCTTTGGTCTTCTGTGGGCCAAAACTGCAACCCATGGGATGACGACTGTGAAGATAATGCCTGGTTGACCCTCGAGCAAGCAGCCAAAATTGCATCTCTCTTGTGACTTTAGTACAGCTCTTCCAGTGCAGATAATACCTGGGGAGAACAGCGTCGACTTGGGTGACTTCCTGCCATTGGCCTCGCTCAACGTCTGTGTTCATAGACCCGCCAGGAGTGCCTGGCCAGCGCCGTGTATGGGCACCAGGACGATAGCACATTCTTCAACAGATCTGAACGTGACTTCTAATGTATAAGACATGCATAGCGGGTTCAGGGCATCGCCAAACCCGGAAACATGAACGGAAGATATTCCAGGCGGCCATGTAAATCGAGACGACGTCCATGAGACCGCGGATCAAGATGGAAGACAACCAACGCTTGCCAGTGACATCGGCCCAACGGCATACCACCAGCACCGCAACAATACAGAAGGTCGATTGTCCCGTTGGCAGGTTGTTGATATTGCTTACGGAGTAGCCGTCGTTATGGGCCTTGAGATAGAAGCGGAAAGCCTGGCCTATGAACCGTTAGTTTGATATACCAGACACGAAGCATAATGAACGCGGTGTTGGACCTTTGGCGGCTTGTCCTAGAACCAACTTGGCCAAGACACCTGACAGTGTCTAAACTTTTTTTATTGATCATAATCATACGTCGCTCCGGGAATTTAGACCATTCTCATGGATATACGTATTTAGGGGCGCGAAGAATGATCCCATCACCCAATCTCAATGTTGTTCAGACCATAGTTGACCTTTCCAGAGCTCATACAATGCCCACTATCGCGCGAAATAGTAGACTGCGTCGATATCAATGACTTGAACCTTTTGAAACTCTACAACGAACCCACCCGCTTAAATTACCAGCGAACCTCTTACAGTGCTCTAATAGTCATGACTTCCTTAGATATCCAACGACGGCATCCTCCGAGATCCTGAGGACTCATGTATGCTACAGATCGAGTTCGCTCACGCTCTCATAACGATTCCACTGGAGAAAAACCGGCATATGAAACAGCAACAGGAGGTGGTTTGACTATTAAACACTTTGAATTCAAATGCTGGAATCTAGCAGTACAAGGAGATATCCTACAAGATTCTAGTTTCTAGACCACTACATCGTCCTATCAAGCAAGCTTGCCAGCTACGAACATCCAGATATTCTTTTCTAACAGATGGCTCAGATATGTGAGCCCAACCATTTTTGACAGCAGTTGGTACCGATGCTCTTTGTTCTTGTATTCATCTTGAGTTGCGAAATAAGTCCTGGTTTCTGACGCACGCCTCTATAGCAGGAACATTTTCTGCCGCCTGAGTTACCTCCCTCCTATATAACCGACGCCCTGCCAACAATATGGAATTCAGATCCCTTTGGCTAGAAAGCCTTACAGACCAGGACTCGTTAGCACTTAAATTGTACGGCTCGTCTCAACGCTACAAATACGTTCAACGTCGGGAGTGTGCGCACGGCTCAAGTACCTCTGGAGCAATTACCACCTTCAATGTTGGTGAAACACTCAAGCTATAACTGGCGGGTTCTTCACAGGGATGACGAAATGAAGTGTTAAACCCCCGGTTGGTCAAGACAAGAAGGAAACAACTATACGCGGCTTCTATTTAGCGACGCGGGTAAAGGGCCAAGAACCAGAAACCCTCGACAGCCCATTGGCCCGAAGGCTTCATCTCGATGTGCTATTGGACCTCGAATCGTGCACAATGAGAACAAGTGAACCCGAACCAGCTACTGAATTAAATTCGGTCGACTACAGACAAAACAAAGACATCCTGAGACTGTACAAGGAATAGAAACCAGTATTTGAGGCCGGGCGTTCAACTAGTATCTGGGGTTGACCATTGACCAGGTGTTTACATGCTCTTTTCCAAACAGATTCGACTACAGCCCATGGACCAGAGACCTTCGCATGACCGTAGACCTCGTGTCATACCAGGACATTCACCGGCACCAACAGATGACAGAATCATGATGTACGACAAGGAAAGTCCTACACATCACCCATTCAGCAACGCGCCGATGGTTTAGTGGTAAAATTCTCCGTTGCCATCAAGCAGCGTCGGGGAGCCGGGGGTTCGATTCCCTCTCGGCGCACTCATTCAAACCTTTTGCTCGTGACTTCGGACAATATCATTTGAGCGAAAAAGTCAGACCTTTTTGCGCAGATCTCCCACAGCCACCATCCATCTCCGGTGTTCTTACTGCTCAAAAGGAACGCGGAGCCTGTGGCGGCAGCCTCGGTGGAAGAGGTGAGCAGTCTCCACCGTCTGCAAGGGGACAGGGTGAGCCGCCGCTCTGAAGATTGTGAACCGCATGCAGCAGCTCCTCCGCCTTGTAGTTGTATCGTAAGAAGTGGGCAAATGAGATGATACTGGCATCTAGGCTATGTTTTGTTGCAAACGGGGGTCCTTTCTATTTAAATGCTGCTCAAGAGTTTTGCCGTAGGCGCAATAGCTGGCATGTTAGCAGATCCAGTTGATAGCAACAATCAAGTCCCTATGCCCTTTTCTTACAGTAATCTCGAAGAACGTTCAAACTTTACTAGAACACTTACGCATAGGTGTAACTTGAATCCAGATGGCAATATGCTAGACGCATTCGCCCACTCCTGCTGATAGACTGCTTCTCTGCATTATTGTGATTTCATAAAAACATTAATCATTACACCATGATATATGATCGTCCCCTATCTAACCGATAATGACTCTGTCATTTTTGATATTCTTGGCCACATCAAAGTGTCTCGGCTTCTGACCCAGTTGTGTCAGGCTTCTATATAGCCTGCTTGCGTGACATGGTTCACTGCCAGCCGCCTCCGGACTATCTCCCCAGTTTGCCGTCGCAGGCGGTATTCCTCCCTTTACCGCGCACACGGCGGCGAAGTCCAGAGTCGGGTAGCCGCATCTATCTGGCCTTTTCCCGCAGACCTTTGACGTGCCCACGATTATAGCCGCCGACAAAAGAAGGATCAGCCCGCTCACAAGCACGAAAAGCCACCTGCTCACTTTACCCGCAACGACTTGATGGCTGAGAATCGATATAGACATGGTGGTGTACATATCCTCTGTCAAGCCCTTACGGGGCCCTTGAAGCTCCCAGACCGAGGGTCCTCCGGAAAAGTAGTTTGCCTGGAAGTAGCTGAACGGCACCGACATGGCCTTGCGTATAGCTTTCAACGACAGCTTCTTCGCCACCTCGCTGTCATTGATCGGCAGTGCTGTCACAGCATAAATAGCAAGAGCTGAGTTATCGCCTTTTGTCGAGTCGGTGCTCTTGTTGAAGCCTGGGACCACTGCAGATAGTGAGAGTATGTACTCGTCAAGGCCAATGACCTCTCGCTTTGGTGTCGACATATCGGTCACAGAGAGTATAGAGAAATTTCCGCGATCGTAGGTGATGGTAGCCAGACGAGAATACACGAAAAGCGAGGATGCGAGCTCCAGAGGCTCGGTCCAAGTCGTATTTTTGATGCAGGAGTTTGTCGCTTGCAGTGAGATTGGGCAGTACGCGGAGCCTGGCAGGATCATAGCTGTTAGCATCAAAGCAACAAGAACGTCAGACGCATTCACTTCTCTCACCAAACAAAAATTCCTTGTCTGAGCCAGCAGCAGTACACCAGTACGAGGCAGCATTGGCAGCGCCGAGCAGGAAGCATTTGCCTGTTGCGCGAAGCTTTTTGAGATCGTGCACCTTGCCGTACTCGAGCTGCACGACCCGAGTTCTAGGAATAACGTATGTCGTAGAGTCCGGATATTGCTTTAAGTCGTCTGTCTGCGGGGCTACGGATACAATACCGCCAGTGAGTACGTGCGATTCATCGCAAGCTACCCAATTGCCCTTCGCGTCGGTGCATTTCCCTGAATGGCGATCTAAAGGGTCCAGAGAGAACGAGTCTCTGTCTGACCAGGCAGGGCTACCCATTTGCACCAACAGTGCCGTCGCCGTGGATCCCCCTATTTCGTAGACGTACGAGGCGTTGAATGGAGCAATCCCAGCGGATACGTTGTATGTCTTTTCGGGAAATGTGACCATGTCGATAGAGATAGCGCCTGAGTACCATGTAAGTAAAGCGTTCGGGTGGTGGCCCAGATAGAGGCCCGCTTACCCATCAGAATAACGCCAGGCAGAGGGATTGAGCAGATGACGAGAAGGCTAGACGGGAGTTAGAACATCATGGCATGCCCAAGATATGGTAACCTTGAGAACCAGACTTACCGGAACAGACTAGAATACTTATACTTCCATTCAGCTGTTGCTAAGAGACGCAATAGTCCCCATACGCCTGTGCCAGAGTCCAGCCCGACAAAGTGTAACAGGCTGACGCCGTCTGGACGAGATGCCAGTGCCCATTGCAGGTCTTCCACGACAACGACGACGAGAGCCGCCAAGGTAATGGCGCAGAGCTCTGTCAATACGCGCAAAATCAAGATGGAGTTTTTTGACGACGTAACAAAGAATTTCATCCTCATCAAAGCTCTCGCTGAACCAGTCGAGTATACGGTCGTCAACACCATCATCAATGCCCCTAATAGCCATAGGCCAATAGTCCACCACACGAACTGGCTTCCTTTGTTGATCCTACTCCTGTGCGATCTTGCAGTGAGAGAAACGGTGTCGTTGCAGTCATCTCCCGCTCGACTGAATGTAGATCCCTGGCCGTCTGGTGTCGAAGGATGCAGCAAGGTTGGGCCAGGCTTCAGAGGCACAGCGGAGTTCAAGGGTGGTGAATATGCAGAAGGTATTTCGCCGGCTTTGCTGTATCTCGTGCGTTCGCCGGGGCTCTCGTTGTTGAATTCCAAGTTCTGCCAGTCGTCTTGGGATTGCGATTCATTCTGGCGGGCCCATGGCCGCACAGAATCGCCTCTTGAGGCTCTGATGTGCTCGCCTAAATCGCTGAGATTCATCGTATCGCGTTGCTGTCCCATAGGCGCCGTCATTGTCGGGAATCCGCACCAACAGCTGCGCTGGGTATTAGTCGAGCTGGTCGAACAATACGTCGGGAAATGCCTAAGAGCAGAACGAAATACGCTCGCGTCGTCAAATGAACAACACACGTGTAGCACGTGGGTGGCCGATATATCTTGTTAAAGACATGAAGGTTGGCCGGCATCTTGCAGAATCGTGAGTAGCGGAAACAAACAGTCATTTACTTCTCAAAAAGGGTACTGGTTTCCCTACCAGCTCCTGGCTACAACCCTCCAGAACGAGTCAGCCATCTAGTCGCGAGTCGTGACTCCCTGTAGCCTTAATCAATACCAACATGTTAGAGCAGTATTGACGGACAGATCGGTGACCCGAGAAAATGTTTTTATTATGTACCGCCCATGCCGTAGATCAAACATGGGGTATCCTTCCACGTTCCAGAGCAAAGATATCTCGACAAGTGGGTAATCAAAACCCAAACAACAGTTTTCTTCAACCCCCCAATCGATTGTTTTGTGGGCTGTGAATACATTGCCAGAACGACAGGGCATGGTGCAAATCTGTGAATGCTGTCCCGGGATACAGACCCTTCTTGGAAGGCATCTTTGCCACTGGGGCGGTAGACCAACCTAACTGCCTTCGGAAAAGGGTAGCATGCTATCATGGGCGTGCGCTCATGTGGTATACCGATATGAGGCCGCAGCATCGGGGCTAGTTTGATGCCAGTGTGTGGTCCTTGTGTAGAGTTCTGAGCATTGAAGTCTATGATTGGCAGGATGAGAGAAACGATGTCTACCATCGGCATCACCGACTCCGGATCGCGCGGGCAAGGGATCCGCATTGGATGTGCGCCTCAAACAAGGGGAAGTGCTGTAAATAGCAGCAGATCCATGGGAGTTGGAAAGAATACCCAGCTCACACTGTGGCACCAAACCCCTCAGCCCTACCGTTGACCACACACAACAAGCCATTGCTGTTATCTGGTCGGGTTGCGTACCTGTGCGACTTCAAGAGAGACCGCTTTGTATAAGTACCTTGGTTATCTGGTCAGGTGCATATTGGCTTAGCTACATGTAGTTTTGAATTCCAAGTCAAATCGCCTGCCAGAATGGCGGACATAACAACTGGGCCTTAGCCAGAAGGCGAATTGGTAATTGATAACGGACCTGCAATATGGCCCCAACCAGCTAAGTGGTGGTTTGTCAGTTCAATATGAATCCAGCTTTCACAGGCTGTTAAGCTATCCGGCAGAGAAGACGAGCCAACCGATTCCGTCGGCAAGATATGCCCGGGCCAGTTTGAATGATTGAGTTACTATATAAGCTACGTTGACCATTTCCTCTTACCTGCGCAATACTAGTACCGTATTACTCGAGCGCAAAACACCTCTCAGAACTAGTTGCCTCGTTGCCCCACCCTTGGCCCAAATGCGAGCGGAATGTAAACAACTACAGTACCAGGTCATAAGTCTGGCGACACCAATAAGGGCAACCAATCAAGCAACTAGGATCCCACCGTGCGACCCATATTCATAAGAGAGTTACACAACATTATCATAATAACCGGACTGTTTAGCCCTGGTTTATGTGAGGCAAGCATCATGTGACCCTTATTGGTGTCCCCAGACTTTTGACCTGGTACTGTACCAGACAGGCAGATAGGAGAAGGGAGCACCCACAATATGGCATCGTCATAAACTCCCCAGCGCCGAACAACAAGAACGTCAACAGCATGTTGAAGTTGAAGCCTGCGTCAAAAGCGGCGGCCAGGATGTAGTTCCATCTCGCCCACATATCATAGCGATAACGATAGGCCCAGAACATGACGACGGATCCGCCAAGAAAGCTGCTCAAGTATCCGGTGCTGATGTTACCGTAAAAGTTTGCCATGGGCGAGAAAAAGATGGTCGAATTCCAAAGCTGAAATTTGGCGCGCGGGAAAAGTCGATGCATTCCGTATATCAGAATCGGCACAAATGCGCCAACGAGGGAACCGTGTCCGTAAGGCAGCACCTTGTGAATATGCTGCTCGAAAAGCCGAAGCGGGCCGATGAGAACGTACTGAACGCCCAAGGTCAGGTACAACGCGAGAGACTGGGCCGTCCATTGATGGGCGGGATCCTTTTTTACTCCAGTGAGGTAATCGAGTTTGGTGTCTAGGGCCCATCTCACGACAGCATAGTTAACGGTAACGCCCAGGAAAGACCCAAAGACCTGGGAGAAAAACACGGTCTTCGGGGACATGTGCATGTAGTGGCCGATCTTCATGTCTTGTAGGTTCAGTTGAGCACGGTACCTTGCGTTACCGGCGATTGCACAGTAAACAGAAGCACCAGTAGGGTTCTTGGAGCCGCTGACCGAGTTGGCCATCAGCCCACAGAGAAGCTCATTGGCCGCTCCGATGGACGGGAGGAAGTTGCTGAGAGCGTACAGCCAACCCAAGGGCACAACAAGAAAGGCGCCAGTTGCAATGGCAACAAAATAGGTCCACACTGGGATGAACTATTAACGGGTGCATCAACAGAAGTCTTCCCTGGGTTTTGAAGGTGTTCAACATACCATATTGCCGGTGGCGATGATGGTGCCAAATGAAATAAGGGATGCTGCAAAGAGCGCCAGAAACCACCACAACGGGACTTCGTTGTAAGCCCGCTGCAGAATGCTGAGTTGGTCGCTGTACTGTGAACTGATCTGGGCACCGCTCTTCGTTTGCTGCATCATCTTCTGCAAACTGGCTCTGACGACTTTGTATCCGAAAAGGGCAGCCCAAATGATTGCAGACGTGTACGCGACATAATTGAAGAAGATGGTCTAGAGGACGTGAGTGCCAACGAAAGGAGGCCCAAACTCCTGGTATGCCGTTTCGTTGAAAGAAACATTGGGAGTCAGAAGCTTGGTGATGGGGTAAGATGTCCCGTTTTCGAGAAACAGTCGGTTCGACATCAAATGCCTGTGCCATTCTCCCAGGTTGCCGTATTTGGCAGCCGGGTTCAAGATCCAGACACTGCACACAAAGCCGGAAAACATCACGACTCGGGTCCACTAAGAAGTCAAGAACAAGCTCCCGGTTGCGGAAATCGTAGACCAATCTAACGAAAGGTTCAAAACACCCATCCTGTCGAATCCTGCGCCAACGAAATCAGCCACCGAGTTGCTTGGTGCAACCCAGCAGAGGGAGGCCAGCGAGCCTAGCATGGGGGAACCGAATTCCGGAATGAACTGCCATAACGTCATGCCAAGAAGAGCCCATAAGAATACTTTGGCCTGTTTCCGGGATTCGGCCGTCGGGGTTTCGCGCTGCTTTTTCTGGGTTTCGAAGAGGGCTGTTTGGCAAAGTGCCATGAACCACGGGAACTGGGGGTCGCAGATCGGAAACTGTCGCGCCAACGGCGCGAAGAAGTATCCGGTCCACACAATCCCCCACATGAAGAATATAGCCGCGGCAGGATGAATCCGAGAATCGAAGTGTAGCTCAGCCATTGCCACTGGAGTGTAGCCGAGATTGTACGTGGCCCCGACGCCGCGGAAATGGTGACCAGAACGTGTTCCTTAACGCTGAAGGGACCTGGATTTAGGTTGAAGCTGAACCCTGGTGAAAGAGACCCTGACTTGCCAAGCGGGAAGGACTTTGGCGAGCCACACGCCAACGTAGCTGGAAGCAATCTGAACGAAAAGACGGAGTACGGCTCGTATGTCGTGCGGAAGTGCATCATCACCGATAAGAAGGCTCCGGGGATGACGAAGACGATCGTGAGTAGGAAGTATCGAAATGTGAGACACGGCAATTCTGGATCGTCATGCAAGGAAACGATGCGACGCACGTATGCCGGGATATCTTGCAGCCTCGGGTCGTTCTCATCGAAAGTCTCTTCCTCGCCGTTGGTTTGCGTCGTTGAGACAAAGGGGGGCTTTTCCATGTCTCCTTCGTTAACCGGAACGACTGGCTCGCTCGATGTTTCTTCGGACGCGCCGTTTCTGGGTGAGTCAATGTAAACGGCATCGGCATTGAGCAGCCCGTCGGTCTTTGACTTACTGGCAGCCTGTCGTGATTGTTCAGTTGATGGAAGCATGGTGGATATCTCCCGAAACGGCAGATCGCCCAGGTGCTAGCAAGAACAACGCAAAGTGAAAGTCAAGTCTGTTAAGTCTTGGTGACCAAGGGCGTCTGCTTCTGAGCATAAACTTCACGTCGCCGGGCGATGCGCTGTTATAACAAGAGCCGCCCATACTGGGTTACGCTACCCCTTTCAGTGCCAATTGAACCCTCACTTATCAACATCACCATCGAAACCATAATTATCACAGACCAAAAGGGGCGCAACTCCACACGCAAAGCTAAAATTCTCCAAACTAGGGCAGTTCTATGCCTTGCTACTTGAACCACATCTTACCAATGACAAATCCACTCTGTTGCGATCCCGAAATGGTTGATACTGGTGACAATTTCAAGTTCATGGAAAAAAAAAATCCTCTTCTGTCTCTAACCAAAGAACATGAGCGCCTTTAGTTCCAAGGTCGTAGCTGTCCACCATTCTTCAAGGTGTAAGTCCGCCCTTGGAGCCATGCGCTCTCTAGCGCCGACTTATCATACACCACGGTTGTATTTCTGTCTACAATCCGTCCAAGATCACCGCCAATCACTGACAAGCCTCGGATGAACGAGTTCCTGGTAACAACCCAGGTGCTGGTCTCATCGATCCGCACGGTCACCCCCCCACGGTCGTTGACGAGAGACGCGTTTGCCCCACCCTCCCAGGTGCTGTTGGTCAGTAACTGAACAAGTATAGTGCAGCCACCTTGTGTGATAATATCGCCAGAAACGGCGTTTGTTTGCATGATGGTGAGTGATGAGTTGGACGCGATGGGGTTCCCGCTCCAGCGTTGGGGCTCGACCCTCTCGAGATCTCTTGATACTGTGTTTGTATCTGTATGAAGCAGAATTCCTGAAGGATTATCGATCCTGGCATCCACCAGTGTGATATCTGCAGAAAAGCTTGCAAGGTAGAAGGCCGGGCCCTCGCGGGCCGTAAGCCGTAGAGAAGTCGCCTCCAACGTGCCAGTACCGTGCTCTGCGGTGACATCCCAGTCGAAGAAGAGGACACCACTAATCGATCCTGAAGTGATTGTGTTACCGCTTAGATGTACGTATTGGGCTCCTTCCATGATAACGGCGGGGGACTTTTCGGCCCACCCGGTCAAGTTGTATGACATTATTCGCCCCAAAGAGTATATCAACGGAGAGCCCGGGCCGGTGGTGTGGGCAACACCCCCACGGCTGTCTATGTTGAGACCAGCGAGAGTGGGTGACCGGAAGCCTCCCGAGCAGTGGCGGAAGTCAGTGACAGTAAGAACGGCACCCCGGACAGAGTAAAGCCCGACAGCACCAGGGCCACTGCTGTACAGTCGGGAGGCATAGAGAGTGGCCGAGGTCTCGGCTCCTGTGGCGTATAAGTTTATCGATCCGTTGTGAGTTTCGATTCTGCCAGAAAACCGAAGAATTGTTCTTTCGCCCTGTCTCAACATCAATCAGCATCATCATGACGGGAAACTTGATGGGGCAGGTAGAGTTCCTCACGGCCAAGATGGCTGAATTGTAACCATTTCCGAGGGATCGGCCAAGATCTTCGGGTGCTCCGAACTTTGTGACTTCTGCCTGGATAAGCTCGGCGGTTACTCCAGTCATGTAAAGCACGCTGGTCTGGTTGAAGGTGGTTGAATATGACCTCCCGGTTTCCGATGTCACAGGCTGATCTAGGATTCTTTGGGCAACGACTGGGAAGCGAATCAGTATCTAAGCTACCAATTGGAACCATAGTTATAATCACTACGTACTTGGACTGTTTCCAGTCGTGCTCGGGACGTAATTGGGATGAAGGTCGTTGTCTGCAACCCACTGACTGGTGTTGAAGCCAGCGTCTAGGCAGGGGTCTATTTCTGCGGTAACCAAGGTTTGGGCGTTAGTTAGTAGACTAAGCGCTCCCAAAGTAAAAGCTGTCAAGATTCGTATAGCCATGATCAAATTTCAATGAAGGAGACTGGATATTTGCGGTCTGTACGCTTCGCCGAGAGTGTATCATGGCTAGTTTGATCGCCTAATTGGCATCGTTAAGAACTTTGCCGACATTGCATTAAATACTGTTATATTCCACACCCTAGGGATTGCTACATGTGCCTGGGGCTGTGACTTAGTTCATGTAACGTATTTCTTTCAAGAGATAACAGAACACCAGTCTTTCGTGTAGCGACGTAATGATATACTGTGACCTCTCTGACAAGGTGAGATTTTTTGGTCCGGCTTTCTTACTAGAACTGACGAATGGCATAAGAGGATTGTTATCTCAAAGCTGATTATCCCAGGGCAGTCTCTGATAAATCGCTTAACGAAGCAAGCGCAGATTCGACGGCGCTGGAAGATTACCACTCGTGCTCGGTTACTAAATCCAATCCTATTTCTCAACCTGCATCTTGTAGCGGCGATTCTGTACCTTGGCCAATTAACAGTAAGTAGTCTGATGAACATTGTCTGAAACACCCAGATTGGTGCAACGTAATGTGACATGGGGTTGAACGAAGGAGGGCATATGAACCGGCCGTGCATCATGCATAAGCGAGGACTTGAGACACTCGACTCATGTGGCAAGACTGTGTATCGAGATGATTTTCACTTGGCTTGGAGGTGATCGTACTGCCTAGCCAAGAGTTCCGAGAAATGAAATGATAGCCTGAGGGAAGATTACGATTGCAGCTCATTTCATTGTATATGCCTTTTGGCATGTGAGCACGTGGGCCTTTGTGAAACAGCACACTCAATTGGTATACAAGAACCTCGTATTGTTGCCGAAGAAAAAGGCAAGACATCTTGCTTCCCTAGATATGAATAAGTTTATCACATCGGGTGGCTACCAGACTTACTCCAAGATCTCGCCATCCAATCCTTCTGTCCCGTCGCGCGGGCCCATGTACATAATATCGTGGAATATCTGAAGCCAGACATCATTTTCCTTTCTCCACCAATACTGTACTTTCACCAGAAGGCTGTTCTCTTGTTTATTAACTTGTCCCTCTGCCGAATCGTCCCACAAATCAACTCTCATGCCAACCCAACCTTCCAGCAAAGCCTTGCTCCGGGCCTCTTCCACTGAAGCAAATCCAGCTGGGGCAACCTGCTCGTCCGTTCCAAATTCGTACTCATTGTCTCGAAGTGGTCGGATCGTGTAGAAGCCTTTCTGAGTGGGTATCTTGTTTGCTTCTGTTGTTGTGGGTTTTGGGGCGTAATCGTGCAGGTATCCGACGATGGTGTCTCTGTTGCTGGCGGCAAAGGAGGGATTTGGACGGCAGATCTGATAACAAGATGAGCTAAAGAATGCCCCTTTGGCGTCAATGTTAGAAGTGTATCGATACGAGCGATATATCATTTTGAGATGGGCGATGAGGCCATCATCAATCTGTGAGCTACTCATTACTTATAGGCGAGAGTGACCAACCACAGACTTGATGGTGAATGTTACAAGGCCCGAAAGGTATCAGGCAGTGTTCTTCACATACACATATCCAGACCCGTAGGCAGTATGGCGATCTTCAGCTTTATCATGTAAAATTGATGCCACGTTGACAATAGTTGCGGTGTCCAAGACGATGGCTGTCATTGGTCGATTCAAGTCAGCTTTTAGCGCCATGTAAGGCACTACTGCCATTCGAGCAATCATGTCTAAAATCATGGAACCGTTTCCGAGAAGCGGATCACCGTCTTCTGATATCATAATAGTATGATAGTTCCATGAAGCAATTGATCTTGACGGAAGATCTATCTCGCGAGAAGTTGCAGGCGGTGATGCTAAGTGGCACACGCATGCAAGGAAACAGATGCTGGACCTCACACAGCAAAAATGCTTGAGACTTTGCACTACATAGTCTTTAGTTCACGGACTGATGTCACGAAGTTGTGAACTAATTAGTTGGCCCTTATGTGCTAGATGGCCTAGTACTAGAACACTGGGTAGCGGGTAAAAATACGGAGGGCGTTTAGTAGTTTGACGGTGTCTTAGTGTCTAACCTAATCAGAAAGTAGACATTATTGCCAACGTCTCAGCTAGGAATATTTTTCTATAACCCTAACTCTAACTACCTGAATCACAGCCCTTGGCTTACCTAAACTTAATTAACTGTCGCAAAATCGACGTCGTTGATTGCGGGCAGCAAAAACGACGTCGTTTATTACGGGCAGCAATTAACGCCCAATATACCCTGCAACACCCTGCGATATTAACCCACCTTTGAATTTGAAAGTGTTTGTCTTACTTAGCGCAAAGGGTCAAGTTAGAATTGAGGCGATAATGGAATATGGTATAACTATTCGAAAGTTGGTGGCTGCGGCTGTCATGGTACGATGACAGATTTACTAAATTCTTATAGGATTCTGCTGCCAAGCCTATAACGGTTGCAGGCCCTCAATAATGACTATTGTTCTTAGGGCATATGCAATTGAATTCTCGGCTGCGAATCGGCCGAAACGTATCCTAATCAAGGGACGACTGTTGGTACACTACTCGTAACGACCAGGTTATTAAATATCTGCTTCGCTTTAATCTGCTGGCGGCGTGTTTCAGATCAGGGATTGGGGTGTGGCCTGAAGTCTGGCACCAAACCTACTGTGAACGAGACGAAATTCCAAATGTTTGGAACCGCCTAAAATTGCCGACAAATACCCATTCCAACAGAGGCAAACACACACTCTAACTGAGAAGACTCTGCCGTAAACTTCAAAGTCGCATATCTACAGAGACAAGAGGAAAAAATGTTGTGGCCGGCTGAACTTTGACATGCCTGGAACCCGTGGCACATATAGACAAAACGGCTGGGCCTCGGCCACCGACAGGAAAGTAGCAGGTTGATAGGCACACATGACATCTGTACTTCTCCGAGTTGAGGCCAATTTTTCATTGCTAATCCATGCCGCTACGCTAAATAAGTGTCATAATTCATCCGCTAGCCATCTGATAACCCGGAGCGACTCCATCACGTTCTGGTGTCTCTTGCTGACCTCCCACAAGGCATAATCCCCCATATTCGCAATCGGCGGGTGGCCCCCAGTCGGAGGCAACTCCGAGGCGACATCCATATTATGGTTGACGCCGTCTTGGAAATCTAAGTTGAGGGATGCGTTGGAAAAGGAAAACCCGCGACCCTTGAGCTGTGCGTCGGAAGTAGTCGCAAATGGTCCGTAGGTAAAGCGGTCTTGGAAGGATTTTTGTAGCCTCTTCATCAACCGAGACAAGAGAAAGACGACCGAGTTGATATCCAGGTCGAAGGAGCTCACGAGGCTGGACTTTTTCAAGGGCCCGCCTGAAGCGTTGTTGAAGAAATGCTGCGGCAGGTTGAAGTCACCCCCGGGGCTCGGCGCCTGACTCTGCCGTGAACATTGCAGGCGAGCCCTCAGTGCGATGAGAAGATCATCATATGAGTCCAGGAGAAGAAGATGGTTTGTCGTGAAGAGAGAAATTGTGAGTGCGAGATCGGGGTACTGCTGACGTTGACCCTGGGGCTGGTGCGGATCGTGCAGTTCTGGTGCCGCATGTGCGGGCATACTAGCGTTGAAAGACCCAGCATCTAGAGCCTGGCCCCAGCATGATACCGGCGAGGCCGGTTGTGTTGCTTCCGGGCTCGGTCTCAGTGGCGGTAAGCTCTTCACGACGTCTATAAGCGTCTCGGTCGCATGTACCGTCACGTTGATGAGGGTCGATAGCTCCTCTTTTTCTTGTGAAGTTGCCGTGCGCCTCGCAATCAATAGTGACTGAAGGTCGAGAAGACGCTTGATTGCTGGCTCCGACGAGCCCACGTTGGTCTCGGGCGAGGGCGGGAGCGTGTCGCCGGTGTATGATTCGGCACCACATATGGCAGGCCCCTGATCGCAACCAGATGTCCAACAGTCGTCCGTGTTGTTCTGCAGGGAGCCGACGGTCGTTGGAGTTAGGGGCAGGTCTTGTGGCCCAGCCGCGAGAGCAGTCTCATGATGGCCTAGAAACCCCAACGAGCCAGAGTTCATCCAATCGGTCGCCATAAGCTTTGTGTCGTGTTCCTGTAGAAACCCGAGCAGCGGGTCTTCGAAGTTGCTGGTCCACTCATGTCCCCCGCCTCCAGCTGGAGGGCTGGGCATGATGCCTAGACCGTACTGGAAGTCACTGGCTTCGTTGAAGTTGGGTGGAAATCCTTCAGACTGGGCTGTTTGTAATGTGGTGTCGGACATTGTTGACGATCGGCGGTATTGGTCCGGGGGCGTTGACTGAGTGGTGACCTCCTGAACCAAGCGCTTTTTGGCCGGTCTGCCCATGCGGCGGGGAGGGCTATAGAAGCAGTCGATTTGAAGACGCTGGCATCTCTCGCACTTCTTGGCGCCGTTTTCTCTTGAGCACCGGCTCTTCAGCGCGCGACAGCGGTCACAAGCACTTCTTTGAGAGAACAGCATTTTGCAAAGGACTCAGAAACTTGGTAAAGAGAAAAGTCGGCCACAAGTGTGGAAGACCAAGAGACGAAGCTTATATGTATTTGGTTCTGCATTTGTCGACTCTGACATTGTGAACTGAGTCAAGAGGTGGTCCTGGTTGACATGTCTTTGCCGAGACGTCGACTCACGGCAAGTGGTATCGTGAGTGGAGGGGGGAGACGTCAGATCTGGACGAGATGTCTCGGCTGAACCTACTCGATCATTATTGTCCGAGCTGTCCCTCATGCGCGTGGATGAACTGCTTATTTTAAGGTTTCCGAGAAACTTTGCACGTATGACGTGTTGACTCAGGACTCCCACGCGGGCCAGCTATGTCGAGCCGACTTTGCACGCATTATTTTGGCAATGTACAGCGCTTGGCCGTTTTATTCACTTGATCCGCGTAACCGAGTGGCAGATATGCGGACTTGTATTGCGAAGTCCTGGTCCTACAGAGACTCTTGTTGCCTGGCACGTGGACAACGTCGCCTCGAACTCTCTTTCGGCCCTGATGCCCCTAACCCCAGTTGTGCAGCAGGGATTACTTGGCAATTGACTCTAATACCCTATCTACGTGCGTAGTACCTGCTCGACCATAAGGGCCCCAATCTTTGCTTGAACTAACTGGCGCGGGGTTATCACAGGTCATGTCTGGCAGAACTACCTAAAGGGTAGAAGTCCCCGATGGGCTATGTGGCTGTTAGTGAGGTGCCATTGGTTATCTCGATTTGATATGCGGGGTCTTGGTATGCTTTTTCCAGACTGGTGTTTGGATCAAGTGTGTTGGACGCCTCGCGCCCTCACGTGGGGGCTCTAAGTTGATGCGCTCTACAATTCCGCTGGTAAATCAGACGTGGCTGTTACGAATAATTCTAAAAACAAGACAACGCCAAGAGCGGCTTCTTAACCAGCATGGCTGTTCTTTTTTAGGATCGACTTGCCAAGAGATCTATACTGGTACTGCGGTATCAGGCCAAAATTCAGCCCCCTCGTCATGTATTGATGGGTCTGACGGTCTGACCACTCAACACTTCGCGAGCCAACCAAAGGGCTTAGATTCATCAGACTTACAACTCCATCTTAAATCGGCTCTGTCAAGTTCTGTTCTCGTCACTGCTTTTGACTTATGTCAGATAGTTGAGTTTCTGCCCCGCCCTTGTCTGCGGGTTGATACCTGACTATCCGGCTAAACATACCCCTGTAAACTGGTACCTAGATGATCAAATCCCGAGGATAAAATGAAGGCTGGCATCAACCCGGTCTTGGGACGAGAGGGGGGTGGGCTGAAAACGATCAACCAGCACTCTTAGAGAGATGCGTAGGCAGGTTTGAGCTACTCGGCTCATCCTGGAACACTCAAAACTGTCCGATGCAAGGCTAAAGCCTAACTGCGATTTGCCTGCCGACGAGGGAGGGCACGTTGTAGGAATGTCGTGGGTGGCACCGACTGCATGGACGTCCGACCGATCAGCCGCCGGACGTGGTGTCCCGGGGGCGGCCACTACTTGAGTGCCCACTGTTGCGGGATTCTGCTTCAGATACAGTGGTTTACACAAACGGACAGACAAATCGAAGCTAGAGAAGGACGAGCTGATATTATAGACCAAGTACCCGAAGCAGAGGGTTCTGAGTCGTTACCCCAGTGCGCCAAAGTTTAAGAACATAGAAAATCAAAACCCCCATGTATCTACTTCTCGTTCCCAGTTGCATCATTCTCAGTTCCCTACTGCGCACGACTCATCGCGTGTTTAGTCATGGTCGACTTGTTACCTCCTTCATGTCGCTCGAAGCGTTGAGTCGGCCTGATATCTCATTGTGCAGCTATGGTTCATGCGAGCCATCCCTGCACCGATTTCAGCGTACGTCGCAACATCTGTTGAACTTCAACCTCCATCGATGATTCCAGGCCAAGGAAAATCTGTTCGTGTGGGGTTAATGAGTCTCAACACTACCTATATCATGTCGGCCTTGATTCTCCATAGTATAAGCTATGGACTCCTTGTGAATCAAGTGCCGCGTATCGCCACTGTCACTTGCGTGCTAAGTCGCTACTCAGGTGGTAAGACGTATGTTCGAGAAATAAAGCAAGGAAAATAGGAGAAAATCGGGTGAGCCCCCGGGCCTTTCAGCCAATTGTAGTAGTCTATTCCGTTTCGTTGTCAACGAGCTTATCTGACCCCGAGGTTTCATTCAACGTGCGTACCCACTTCGCGCCAACAATAGTCTACTTGAAACTCTTACCCTCAAAGGTGATAATGATCCCTCTGTTTATCTATGCAGCTCAGTTCTTCTGTACCGCCCTACGGCCAAAAGCCCTAAAATCGAATGCAGCATAAGCCATGCGTAATACGTCAGGTTTTGGGCAATTAACGGAATATCTCACAAGCTCTCAAGCTTGTCTTACTTGAAATGTCTAGAATACGCTGGAGGTTACTCTAGAGCTGGACGGAATTGCCCCCCACGACTTGTTGGTCTGCCTGCCCTGCATCGCATAGGAGGGATTGGGCTGTGGCGATTAACCCTGGATCCTCTTGCAAACGCGCTCCTACTTGTTTCTTGCTACTGTGCCAGGGGGGCCTGTCTCCTCTATTTTCTTGCTTGTACGCTGTACAAACTCTTTTGAATCAACGGATGGTCTGACATCAGGGCGGGATAGGCCATAGGATGACGCGCTGAACAACGTTAACCCAAAATCATGCACCGAAGCGTGGGGGGGGGGGGGGGGGGGGCGCGTCGCCCTTCCTGAGAAATGCTCCGACATTAACCCGCTGTTCCTGGAGCTTATCTGCTCCGCGAGCCGGTGAGGCCAAAATCGTCTGTGTAAGAAGACGAGAAAGAAGCCGAAGTTAGTCTTCTGGGGAAGGTGGCGTCGTCATGAACCGGACTGCATGTATACGGTTCAGCGGCCCATATGGCCATTTTGGGTTTCGGCAACCCATACGGTGTAATGCCAGTTCGTCAAGTCTCTTGAAGTTCACGCAAGGCACACCTCTAATGCCGAATCCGATGGAACTGCCGCGAGGCAAACGTTAATTATATGGGTGGTGGATCCTGTGGGAAGTATAATCATCCGCGACAACACCAACAAAACCCATACCCAAACACCCTAACCAGCAGTGCGTCGTTGACGCCGAAGTAGGGCTCCAGCAGCTTGAGCCAATTTCTCACATGCTATTCCTCTCTCCCCACGGTCTCTCGTAGTGGAGTGCGCATACTGCCAGGCCTGGACTCGAGCATCCCAGTTGTCTTGGGCCGGGCCTTGGGCCGGATGTCCTTTCATCCCATGCCCCAAGAGAGGCAGAAAGCGGCGATTGCAAATGCCGGAGACGGGTAAAACTCACGGGTGATACTCAACACGTATGCCGCCATCACCCCCGGGATGTCGTTCGCAGGGAAGATCTTGCGGAACCCTGAGGCTCCTGCGTCAATCACAGCTGCCACGTCGATATTTGGAGACTTATGTGCAAGACTCTGCTTCAGCGTCCCGACAAATATGGCATTCCCAATGCCCAGAAAAACTGCGCCTCTAATGAACTGTAAAAAGGCTATGAAGGAGATACCCACCGAGATTTGCTCGGGTGGCAGGTTGGCCTGAACGGCGATGAGTGGCTGGGTAGTGTCAGCGGAACGACGTTGAGAATCAACGAGGAATGGCAGGCATCTCACCAACTGCAACACAACACCTCGCCCAGCGCCTGCAAGGATCTGATAGAAGGCCCATTGCGCAACGGTAGTCGTCGGCGTAAGTGTCGTAAAGAGCCCGCTTGCGATGATTGTTACGGCAGTCCCAGCCGCTGCCCACGGTAAGTAGTATCCGAACTTGCCAACTGTGCCAAGAAACATAACACATGTCAGCGGCGCCTTGTTTCATCTTGGAAAGCCTAGAACGCCTGGGGAGTCGTTACGTACTCAGTAAGCCTCCGCCATAGGCGAAAGCTAATTGTGACAGGATGCTAGGCAGAACATTAACGCCGCTCTGAGCCGGCGACGCCCCTGCCACCGTCTGGAAGTATAATGGGAGCAAGTAGATTTGGATCATTGATGACCCGATAAGAGTGAAGTTTGTGGCAGCCGCACACCAAATAGGTTTCTTACCGGCCATGGACGGCGGGATCAGCCCATCGTCCCCCTTATGGTAGTTCCAAGCGCCCCCAGCGCCCCGGCAGAGCCGCAGAAGGTTCCGATCACAATCGGACTTTTGTAAGGACATCACGTATTTCCGCCGAGCTCCAAGGCTGTGAGAAACATGACGGCTGCAGAAGCACTTAATAAGAACCCCACAAAGTCAAGGTATGCATGTATTTTGGGAAGCACCTCCATCAGCCTGGTTTTGGGGACTTGGTCGGGGACATCGCACCAGGACAGGAAAAGAAGAACAAGGCCGCCGATAGGCGTGTTGATGTAGAAGCCTGTCCGAGTTCATCCGTTATTAGAGTCGCTTCGACGTGCGGTGGCTATTGCGTAAAGGTTTCTCACTCCATCGCCAAGTGCTGTACTGCGTGATCACGCCACCAAGAACAGGGCCAAATACGCTCCCACTAGTGGGAAACGTTAGATGGCGCCACTGTAAGATGAGATGCAGCCTATTCAAGTTTACCTGTTGGTAACTTGGCTGGCCCGTTAGCTTCCCATGTATCTCATACGTCGTTTACGCCGAAGAAGCAACTCACGACCAATGACAAGCCCCACAAGAGCTGTAAAAGAGGGATGTTAGATAAATTCCAGAATCTATGACACTGTGATGTTCGTACCGGGTCTTTTCTCGAGCGGCAACGATGCGGCGATTATCGTTAGGGCGCCGCTCATGATACCGGCACTTCCTACTCCAGCCACCACTCTACCCAGGATCAAGACCATGGACGAAGGGGCCGCTTCGCAGACAAGCGAACCGATCTCGAATAAGACCAGAAAGGTGAAGTAAGACCACTGTTATGTGTTGCAAGTCAGTTTCGTCGTCTGCCTTCCATGCCACAGCCGCCACCGCACCTTTGAGCTGAAATAGTGGTATATCTTGCCCGTCAGCGGTTGAAAGGCAGCATTGGCAACTTGGTAGGCGCTGCCGTACCATCCAATGTCTTGGAGGGAGTGGAACTCGTCCGTGATCGCCGGAATAGCCTGTGGGAGTTATTGATCAACACAGAGACCTGGATCGTACGACTCGAGCCTTTCCTAACAGTGACGATGATAGAGTTGTCGAGGAACATCAACCACGCGGTGACGGTGACGCAGGTGGCAATAACACTAGGCGGACGCCCGAAAGATACTTCGTGTCTTGGGACACAGCCCTCATGCCATGGGATACGTCATTGTGCTGGTCGTCTCCGACGATCTGGCTGGCTTCCCCTACAGTTAACGTCGTCATTGGGATACATGGTTCGTCTTTAATTGTGGACGGAACCGTATCTGTGGATGTGAGCCTAGGGTTAAATGCCAGTCTCTGTTTCTTTGTCATCGTCACGATGCCTTTTCTCAGTGTTGCGGTCGTCGCTGACTGGCCGTCCCGACTTCGATCCATGGCGAAAGCAGCAATGATCGACGAGTAACCGATACTTCAGATTAGGCGCAAGGATTCTATTAAAGCAAGTAGAGGCGAAATATTGATCGGCGGCCATCTGCGATGAAGCAGACATCGGCGATCTAGAGCACATCACAACTGGTATGTCCCATCAGGAATGAAGATTGGTTCAAGCTCAGCCCAGGGCTCCATGTGGGTAGCGATACACGTTCGGACCGAACACGTTTCACTATGGTTCGCAACTCTGGAAAGCAGTGGAACTGAGGTCGTTGGACACGAAGTCGGAGCCGTGGCGGTGCCCCGATAAGTCAAGCGCATAATCATGTCCACGACTCATAAAGCGCATGGGTATTGTAGCCATGCCACAAGGCTCGCCATTTCCATCTGAAGAATCCCAACGACCGCTGACACTGTATCAGTGAAAGAGGGGGTTGGTCCTTGCTTCTTGAACAAGCTTTTTGAAGTCGGCTGCTATCTCCGTGTTTGAACCGGTCCGAGTCATGGTATTCGCCGGCACCTATTCAAGACCGGCCGCTACGCCCGAAATCATGTGTTTACGAAAAAAACGTGTCGCGGCAACGCGCCAATCCGTTGCCTTGACATCAGACAGCCGAGTCATTTAGCCGCCGCACTCCAACTTCCAACATCGCAAGCGTACGTCAAGACTGCCAGGTTGATGAACATGGGCCTGGCCAAGGAAACTTTTGGAAGTGGCTGGAGTGGGCAATTGCGTGACTAAAGCATTCTTGACATATCTCGTAGTTGATATAATATGCAATGTGGAGTGAAAGTTGGTGTGAAAGGGCCAGCAGCGCTTGGGACTACGTTACCACGTTGCCACAAAACGAAAAAGGCCAGGTCCAAGTGTTGTATTAAGGTATATGCTGGCATTGGCACAGTTTGCCATATGCTGAAAACGGCCCATCTTTCGAGGCTACGACCGTTCATATGCTTAACTCCAAGAAAACACCATACCCAATGCACCGTAAGCCGCCTGATGCGCCGTGCCAGAATATCAATCCCTCTAAACAGCACCGACGAGCCCGTCGTACGCACGTTCGACGGTCCGACCGCCCATTCCAGGGATGGTCTTGAGCTGCGCCAATGACTCGATCTCGATTTGAGCGTCCTTCTCCTCCGACATCGTGTCAAGGTAGTCGATAAGGTCCTGGGCCTTCTTGGACCCGAATCCGTGCAATCCCTTGATCCTCGCAAGGTCCCGGGAGTTGACAATGCTCAACAAATTCAGGGTCTGAGGAGAGGGTGGTCCCGTGGATTCCGGGAAGATCATCTTGTGGGTCTTGGTCGGCTTGGGCTTTCGGCTCTTCATCTTGGCTGAGACGTCCACAAAGCTCATGTCTTCGTCTTCTTTGGCCAGCTGCTGGTACTCATCGTCACTCTCGTCGGCGATCCTCCTCCGCTTCTTCTCATGCTTGTCACGACTCGACGCCGGGGCCCACGCTGTTTCGGCAGAAAGCTTGTTTCCAAGCTTTGACCGCAACTTTTCGATCTTGCCCAAGAGCTTCGCCTGGCCAGGGAAGAATGGTAGTGCTTGCTCGTACATCTGCAGCGCCACAACATCATTGCCGGCCTCCTTTGCCTGCCTGGCCGCCAACAAGAAACGAAGCCCCTCGGACCGGGTATCATCACGTTCCCGCTCCTCGTTCTCGATACGTCGTTCAAGTGCCTCCAACCGTCGGCGGACAGCGTCGTTAATGTCGGGGTGGGCGGGTGCTGGAGCCGGCTCGGTCGTCTTGCTCTCTCTAGATGCGAGTATCTCGCTTACCTTCTTCTCGACAATGGCCTCCAGTTGCTCAGCGGATATCGAAAGCTTCTGTTGTGCAGGTGGAGGGGGCCGGACGGCTTTGGTGGCCTTGGGCGCCGTCTCGCGGTCTGCAAGGGGCTTCCGGACCTGGGTAGTGTTGGCAGCCGGGCGAACCGAAGCCGCCGGCTTGCTACGATCGGTATAGACGTTGAAAAGCTTGACGGGACGGGTGGCGTCGGCCTTTTCGGTTGCCTTGGCTGCAGCAATGGCGCCGCTGTGGATATTGTGGGCGTTGGCCAAGGGACGCAGAGGTTGACGCTGCGTCATCGTAGAGCTGCCCGTGTTTGTACGCGGGGCCTGCTTGAAGACGACCTCGTTCTCGATCTCTCGAACCTCGATACGTTTGGCTCTGGAGCTGACATTCAGGCTGCTCAGGGTGTCAAGGTGGTAGCTGCGAATGGGGGCCAGGTTCAGGATCATGATTGTGATGCCGTTATTCTGACCCAGGCTGAGGATACGCGTCATCTTGGACTCGCGGTAGGGGATCCGCCTGTCCCCCCGAGATATAGCGTCGATGCACTGGGACAGCACAAAGAGACTCTTGTTGATGGCAGCTGACTCGACCATTCTCTCCTTTCCGTTATCCGTCCGACGGTTGTCTTCAGAGCCAGCCAAGTCAATGGCCGACGCCGTGCTTTCGCGAACCTGATCGCCCGTCGTTTGGGTTACCTTGACCCGCATGATGGCATGGCTTCGGCTACTGTGGGCGTTGAGCTTGGTGGCGGCCGTGACGCGGTTGTTGTTGGCTTCAATGTAGAGACGCGAGAAATCCTGAAGGTCCTCGCAGGCGCGTTCTGACAGACCCACCACCATAGTCTTGCCGTCCTTCTCACGGAGAGGGAGGCCTGAGGGTTGACGCTTCTCCGGGGGCTCGAACAGATCAAAAACCTTGTCGTTGTAAATCTCGTAGTATGACAAGGCCACATCAACAGTCGTCTTGCCACCCGTGTCCTTGGCAATCTTCTTGCCGCGTCGATACACGCCGCTCAAAAGGCGGGGAATCACACCTCGGTCCGCCAGTTTCAAGCCGCCCCGCATCGTATGTGTCTTGCCGGTTCCCGTTACTCCGTATGCAAAGATGGTGACATCGAGGCCCTGGAAGAGCGCCTTGATATGGGGCGCGACTGGAATAGTTGGTTAGTTATGTGGCTGTGCATCGTCTCGCATCTCGCGGAGCGTGTTTTTCTTTCTTTCGTACCCTCTGACGTAAAAAGCTCGTCCTGCGTGGTCGTCTGGTCATAGACGCTGTTGAAGGCGAAGGAGAATTCCTCGCTCTCGTTCTTGGGGTTTGGGATCTTGACCAGCGTGGCCGGCTTGCCTTCCTCGGTGCTGTCCGCGCGAACAATGGTGTCCTTGTCCAGCTCCTTGTCGAGGAGAGGACGAATACGCGCGACCACACGAACAGACATGGTGTGCCAGCCAGCCAGTTCAGAGAGGTTTTCGATCCGATATGCGGGTGGGTGAGTGGCGGCAACCTGGGCAAACAGAGACGGACACAACAGAACAAAGCAGGGCGAGTGAGGACTTTGTTGGGATCGGATGGACACGCGCGGGAGACGTCGGACGCGATGGTTGTAATAATGGATCGTCGAGATCCTTGAAAAGCAATTTGGCGTGACGCTCGGTCGAGCCGTGGGTGGCCTTAGGTTGCAGGACTCGATGTATAATGAATTGTTGTGCAAGGGATAGGATAACTACGGAATTAGCACAAGATGTCGACGAACAGGGATCACGTCCGAGGGTCCGTCGTCGGGGCAACAGACGCTGGTCGTCCGCAAACAGGACTGATGCGGTCAGATGCGCGTCACGTGTCTCGAAGTATGTCCATGCTGCTGGAAGTACGTACCGGAAACTCATCGGAGCCATGTTTATCCGGGCGATCGCGACAGGCCGGGGCTTACCCGCAGTTCTACCGTGACGGGGGTCCCTCCGCAGCCTCAGCTCCCAATTCCTGTTTGAGAAAGCTGCGAGAGCTTCTAGAGAGCCTTGGAGGCCACGATCCGATACCAACTACCGACGTCATCAGCCTCTCCTGATGTCCGTCATGCGCGCCCAATTGCCCTTGCTTCGGCCGACGCGAGGTGCCCGATGGGGTCAGGCATTTTCGTACGTCTGCCGGCAATGCAGGGGCATCCAGATCAGCGCTGCGCCGACGACTGAAGCTCCGCGAGTCGGCGGGGATGTTTTCGGTGCTCGGGATACATGGCGGCACGCTGCCGGTATGCTCTTTGTCATGTTTCTCCGCTGGGATTGCTGATGTCCCAATGCTGACTTGAGACTCCGGAATTCAGATGCTCGATTCGAGGTCCTCGGCTCCCCATACTCGCTGCTTTCCGTCACCTTGTCGCCGTCGCAGCAGCTTTACACAAGACGGGGGACGTTAGTCGGTGTCGCAGGCAAGGCTGAGAATGTAAGACTCGATGCCGGTGGTATACGTGAGGAAGACAGTATTGATATAACAAGCGAAATAGGCCCAGTCGACCCTCTCGATTCTCTCCCCCTTCACACGAGCCTTCCTTGGCGTACCGTTTCTATATCAACGCATCTCGTCTTCGACGTCGCTAACGGCCTTGATATCAACCAAGTCGCCCACTACCACCTTCTCCGTCCTCCACCTCGATGGCACTACCGACTACATCGTATCACAGCGCAACGCGCTCTTGGCATGGACGGGCCATACCCTCTCCGTGTCTCCACGCATCAGTCGCGGTCTCTCGCTGGCCCATTGGGGAAGTACCCACCTCACCGGCCGTGGACTGGCCGCGCTATCGTCGCCAGGCCAGATCTATGAAGTTACACTCGCCGAGGGGGAGGAGTTTGTCGCGCACCCGTCGCACGTGGTCGCGTACTCGGTCTCGCGCAACCCTCCATTGCCGATGCGCCTAAAGTCCAATATTCTCCGTTTCCAGGTCCCCAGTATCACTGGCCTCTTCCCTGAGACCAGCTTCGTCAAGGCGATGCGCGACACGAGCACCTACAAGAACCTTTCGAGATGGATGTACTCCCTGCGCACCACGTTGAGACGCACCATTTGGGGCGACCGCCTGTTTCTCCAGTTTCGAGGACCGACTACACTGCTCATGTCCAGCCGGGGCGTCACAATCGCCGACTCCCTCACCAACAAGGAGATCAACGAGATCGCGGATGCGCCGGCCGGTACCGTCCCTGAAGCGGTGGAGCTGGCCACCAAGCCCAAGATGGAAGAGACACCAGCATTCAAGGAGCAGGCGCCCTCGGCCATTCACGTCGTGAGTGTCACGCGGGACGGCAAGGTCAACTTCGAAGATGCAAAGGACCTCAAGGAATTTGTGAGGTAGAGGGTAGAGGAGGGGTTTGGAGGGCGAAATAAGGAGCCGGTGCATCCGCGCCAAAAAGCAGGACCGTGACTATAGACGAACTCGACATTCACGGAACTGACCAATGTAAATCTACTGTGTAATAGACAACAAGGACGGGTCTTAGCACCACCGCCAATGATGCGCACATGCAGGGCAGCCCGGCCGGCTCCGAGACATGTCAGCGCCAGCCGCGAGGTTTTTGAGGGGGGAATGAACGCAGCAACGCCCACATTTTGCTCACGCACATTAGGCTCGGACATGTCATGAAAATGGCGTCCATAAAGCCGACCAGCCACATCCAAGAGCCAGGTCTCCCGCTTCGTCGCAACAAGCTTCCCGCTGACAGCAAGCACATCAGCCACCACGTGGCGTTCACGGACTTCAAGCCTACGTTCTTTAGTTAAATCAGCAGGCGTCGACTGTCGTTCACGGCTGGCATGGCTACCTTGTCCAGCGCATGTCTGACCCGAGCGCCGAGCACACCCCTCGCGCGATAATAAAGCGACATGATTGGTCACCCAAAAACCGGTACCTCGGGCCTCGCCTTTTTGTTAAAGAGCCGAATAGCAAGACTTGCCGATTCCCCGCGCCGGATCACGGTGCCCGGGCACGAGAACAAGATTTGGAGATTCCTTCCAATTATGGAGCAGATGCGGATCTTGATAGGGACTGGTTTCAAAAGCTCCTCGAAGCAAAGAAGACGTCGCGAAGTCAGCCCGCGGCGTATTATGTCCAAAGCTTGAGTTTCTCTCTCTCTCTCGCGCGCGCGCGCGCGCTCTTAGCGATGGGGTGCCACACACTCTGCAGAGAAGGTTGGGATTTTGGGTAGTTCTTCTACCCGCCTGCTGATTCTCATGCCAACCTACTCAACGCTAGTTCGAGCCGAGCAACTCATAGTCATTTGTTACTGCGAGACCGCCTTAGTCGGGAAGAAAAGGACAAGGTTGTACCACGCCAGCTTCCGAGATCCGGCCCCGTGATCCGATTCCGCACGTCCATCGTCGCGGAAGAGGGTTGACTTACGGATACAGCACACCAGGATCCCATCCCCATCACTGGTTAAACCCGGGACTAGTCAACGGCAACAACGCAAATCTCGTCACTTGCGCCAACTGAACACGCTTGAACCGAACCACGCGGAAGAGACGTGTCAAAGTCTGCTAATTCCTTATCAGTAGTTGTCCAGTTAGAAAGAAGAAACAACGATTGCCGGTTCGAGAGTAGATCGCCGCTTGTTAAGCCCGACCGCGTTTGCGCAGATCCTGGCCACTGTTGCATCCCTTCCTCCCGCCCCTCCCCATGCAGGATATGGGGATCAGGAATTGCATCGATCCTGAAGGGCGTGTTGTCAAATCCGAGCATGGGGCTGTTTGAAGTTGCTCTTCTCCGATATTTCCTTCGGTCCCAGACTGATTTCCCCGAGACCGCGGACAAAAAGCGAGTCCATCTTTTGCCGTTAAATGATACACTCCCTCCCCTTGGATCCCATGAACATTCTTGTCGTATGATCACATCTTCGACTAGGACTTCTGCATCTGCATTCATCCGCCGTCGAGGAATAATAAGGAGAATAACAAGACCTGTCCACCACTCCGTAATCAAAGCTCCCCCATTCGCCAACGAGAAAGACAACCAGGCGCAACCGTCGCATCAAGAACCCGAAGACACGGAAAACGACACAACCGTTTCGTCCCACTTGCGCTCCCCTGTACGGGGTCCTCCATCGAGCGTTTCAATTCCCATTCCGCGCCAGAGCGGTAACCAGGAAAACATCACCAGCTGGGAAGGGAGAGGGGATCAAGAGGACAAATCAACTTCGCTGGAATTTATTCCGAACAGAGGACGGGAAATATCCAGACAGAAAGAAGAAGAAGAAAAAAGAAAAAGGAGAAGGGGAAACCAGCAAGAAGACGGTCACATAAACACTACCACACTGAGGTGAAGGCAACAGGCCGACACAAGCAGAGAATGCGACACTCCAACGACGGCTTAACGACGTCATCCGCCTCGTCGACCGTCATGGACAGGTCGCACCCGGCAACGATGGCGGACGTCGAGAAGGCGGACCGGTCGCCGTACGACTCCTCCTCTCCGGCCCGTCATTCCCTCGACCGCATCCCCTCTCAGCAGCGCGAGACGGACGCCAACATGTACCCGAAACCGTCCGACGTTGTCGAGGCCGACCTCGAGAAGGGCGGCCCGGCGCCCGCGCATCATCTCATCGGCGCCGATGCCGACGCCGAGACGAAGCCTGGCGAAGGGGCGCCGCCGGCTCCCGCCGCCCCGCCGGGCATCAATCCGGCCGACTTCCCCGATGGCGGCGCCGAAGCCTGGAGCATGGTCTTCGGAGGCTGGTTGACTCTTTTCTGCACCTTCGGCTTGATCAACTGCGTCGGCGTGTTCCAGGCGTACTATATGCAGGGCCCGCTGCGCGAGTACCCTCCATCGACGGTCGCGTGGATCACCAGTACGCAGGTGTGGACGCAGACCTTCATGGGCGTCGTGGTGAGTTCCGCTGTTCCGTGCCACTCCCGGAAGCTGTAACCGCGCGTGCGCGTGCGCTAACATCCCACCGCAGTTCGGTCGTCTGTATGACTCGTACGGCCCCAAGTACCTCATGTACGGCGGCACCGTCGTCTACGTCTTCGGCCTCATGATGACGAGCCTGTCGACGCAGTACTACCAGTTCATCCTGGCCCAGAGCATCGTCTCGTCCGTCGGCTCCAGCGCGTGCTTCAACGCCGCGATGGCGTCGGTGACGTCGTGGTTCTTCCGCCGCCGCGCCGCCGCCTTCGGCATCATGGTGTCCGGCTCATCCGTCGGCGGTGTCGTCCTGCCCATCATGATGAGCAAGATGATCGCCCAGGTCGGCTTCCCATGGGCCATACGCGCCGTGGCGTTCCTCTTCCTGTTCCTACTGGGCGTCTCGTGTCTGACGGTCAAGTCGCGGCTGCCGCCGCGGCCCCGTCCTCTCGTGCTCAAGGAGTACGTCGACAGCCTGCGGGAGCCGCCGATGGCCATCACCGTGTGCGCCATGTTCCTATTCTTCTGGGGAATGTTCCTGCCCTTCAACTTTGTCATCTTGCAGGCGAGGGCCCAGGGGATGGACGAGAACCTAGTCATCTACCTGCTCCCCATCATGAACGCCTTCAGGTGAGTGCGGTGCCCTCGGGGTCCAGCGAACAAAACCTCTCTCTTGGTTGGTCGGTCGGGTCGGTCGTGCTGACGAATTGACTATAGCATCCTCGGTCGCATCATACCCGGCATCGTCGCCGACAAGATTGGCCGGTACAACGTCATGGTCTTCATCACTTTGGTCAGCGCCGTCTTCTGCCTCGGCCTGTGGATCCCTGGCAAGAACAATGCGGCCATCATCGTCTTCCTCGTCGTCTTCGGCTTCTCCTCTGGCGGCTTCATCTCGCTGGTTCCGGCTTGCATCGCCCAGATCTCTGACATTAGACAGATCGGCGTCCGCACGGGCACCGCGTTCGCCGTCCAGTCCTTTGGCGCGCTGACGGGCAGCCCCATAGCCGGCGCCATCGTCGCGTCGCAGGGTGGTAGCTATCTGGGGTTGCAGCTGTTCTGCGGCCTCGTGATGCTGGCGTCGGTTTTTGTCTTCTTCTGCGCGAGAACGGTACAGGTTGGATGGCATCTGAGAAAGATTGTGTGATGGAGTCCAGCAAGGAGCTGGGTGGTGCGCCGAAAGTTTGTTTAATCTAGAGGGTGTACGGAGTATACGTATAATGTTTCGCTGTAGTCTCTGCTCCGGGCCGATGCCGGGATATTACACCTAGGCGCCCGGCGAAGACGGGACGTCCGATGTTCACAACATCGGCCGGTACCTATGTAGACCGGGCTGGACTTCGTTATGCATGATGCAAAGACTGGTAAGATCGATCATGGGTCCATCATCGGTTGGGGGGGAATACTCAAGGGGACCTGTTGACGGGTGCCCAAATCATAATGCTGTAGACAAAATGCAAAGTACACAAGCAACCGATAGGTTATGGAAAGCAGATGGAGGAATCGTGGCACTTATTGTTCCTTGATGATTGTGCTGCACTTTACGGAGTTCCCCTCGCTCCTATCCGGAGCTCCGTCGGCCAATCCTGCAAGGCACCGATGATGGACACCAGGGAGTGCTGCAATGTGGTATTGGCCTTTGCATCAACGGCTTGGTTTAACCGGTTGCTGTTTTCTCGTTCTTTTGAATTGAACAGCCTCTGCATGAATATGCTTCGAACAGAACCAAGAGCTCGAGCACGATTTCCCCATATTCATCATCGACATCACAACAAGCATCTAAGTAGTGCCGATGGTCCTTGGCAATTGCAAATACCTAGTCATTCCTTGTCCAAGGATCCCAAGAAACGTCGGGCTCATGGGTAATCTTGTCTAAATGGGTCACCACGAAGTGATGGCGACCAGGCAAGGTCTTCCAGAACATGTTGCCGAGGTGGCCTCCCCTGTCCCGCCGTACACCAAGTCTCGCAATTGTTGGTTAAAGGACGAAACGATCTTTTGTACAATTAATGAGTGGTGAACTATGGCCAACCTTTTGCGTTCTCCGTAACATGTTTGGACCTAGGCCGATAGCGATTTTCCGATCACCACAGCTACTGACTCCTGTACCCTTGTCGAACCACGAGGTCCGTCAACAACCTCCGCGCCTATCAACGCGGTGCAAATCTTTTGCTAGCGCGGCGTCCAGCCGCGAAAGAACCAACCGCCTGTAGGTTCCCTTGGTATTGGCTCTTGAATGGGATATTTGCTGCTCAATTGAACCGGAGCGTAGCATTCGGGTTCCAGCGGGCGGAACCTGTGCTTATCTGCACAAAGCTTGGCTGTCTTGGCTCGCCAAACCAATCTCTTGCCTCCTTCCAGATCCATCCTGGACATGAGTCCAAAGGCCGGTCCGCACGCGGGGTAGCAATTTTGACGGAGGCGGAGTGGTTCTGGAAAAGAGGTCGGGACTGGACGAAACGCAGCAGCCAAGGGCCTCAACGGCTCGACTCCCGGAACTTGATTAACACTGCTGTCCGCCGAGAGTTTCGTTTCCTGCCTTTTTGGGACATCATGGTGGTATGAACGGCCCTGGGATCATGCCAGACACTGGGGAACAAGGGCATTTAAAGAAGTTGGTCATGTCGCGCATTCGACCTCGTTTGGCTTGTTGGTCCAGTCCCAACTCACCACAGTCCTACGTGCCTAGGATTCCGTTAGCTGCAGAAGAGCCTCGGTTTTCTCTCTTTTAGAGTAACTTCAGTTCTTTCGCTTTAATACTACCCAGCATGCGCCTCAACTCGGTGACCAGCGTCGTGGCCTTGGCAGCCGTTGCGGTTCAAGCCAGGGAGCTTCCAAAGGATGAGGCTCGCGCAGCCGGTACGGAATATCTATTGATATGGTTTAGAGTGGCTTGCTGATACCTAGCAGAGCTTTATGACTCGGGTGTGATTCACGATAGACTCATGTCTATGAAGATCGTAAGCGGGCACCCTTGTCCACTCAAATATAGGAGCTAATCATTATTCAAGGCACACTGGGAAGCCGAAGAAGCCGTCGGCCTCATGAACTCGTCCCAATGGCCTAGACTCGGCTACACCAAGTGCGTCGACGGATACGCCGAAGCGATCCCGGACAGCCCGCTGCATAAGTTCAAGTGCAAGAACGTAAGTTTTTTCGGCTGTGAGAATGCTCGTCTTCAATAATGTTGACACAGCCGCCCACCCATAGATGGATCTCTATGACTTTGTCAACCATGCTACCCTGGGTTCGCCCAACACAGATTATCGTGGAAAGAGTGGAAGTTCCTCTTGGGGCTGGACTGATCCCGATTCCGGCCGAGAGTTCATCGGTGAGATCCTCCTCCACGCAACAACTAAGTCAAAGCACCCACATATAAAACACCCCCACATATGGAACACCTTTTCCCACCAAAAACAGCTAAAACTAGCTATCTATATCTAAATAACTACAAGACTTATTACTTTACTTATTTCTCTATTAAATCTATTAAAAATTACTTACTTAGGAAATATTAAAGCTATTTTAACTTTTTAATTAAAAGCTTTAAAATATTAGTATAAAGTCTTATAATATAAATATTATAGTTAAAAATATAGCTAGTAAAAAGAAAGTATAAGTAAGTAAAAGTAGTATAAAATTCTAAAATAAATTATTATTCTAAAATAAAAAAAGCTTTACTTTTTAAATATTTTATTTACTTAAATATACTATATAAAAACTTTTTACTAAGAAGTTTTTAGTACTAAAACTTAATATTACTAGTATATTAGTAATAAACTATTAACTATTTAAGAAAGCTAGAATAAAAGAATATTAAAAGCCTAAATACTATATAAGTTTTTAGTATACTAAGTTTAGTTTATAAAGAATAAAGTTATCTAGATTCTTAAAAAGTTAAGATTTATAAGTAAAATACTAGTAAACCTTAACAGTTAAGTACTTAGCCTTATTACTAAGAATCTACTAATTAAATATACTTAAAACTTTTTTTGTAGTTTTTTATTTATATTATATACCTTATAGTAAAGTTATAGACTTTTTTAACTATTATTAGTGTAGATCTTAATAGCTAGTTTTGGCTGTTTTTGGTGGGAAAAGTGTTCCAGATGTAGGGGTGTTTTATATGTGGGTGCTTTGACTTACAACCATCCATTCTAACCAGTAAAAATAGTCAGCGGCATGTTTGATGGATGCGCCTTCATCGAGATCTTGCCTGAAGGAAAGATGATGAATCTTGGATTCTTGTAAGAATAACCGCATGCTGCAGACTACAATGACGATGCAACCGATGATGGCTAACCGTTCACCAGGCCGACATACTCACCTGTTGGCGACAGAGCCTACTGGCATGAAATCCGGCCCTATCAGCATTATATGTTGATCGGATCTGAGCTTGAGGGCCATGGCGTCCAGATCTTCGATATGAAGAAGGTGAGCTATTCTCCATGTCCAATGTGGCACACCTCGCTAACTAGCCACGCCAAAAGCTTCTGGATATTGAGCCCGCCGCAGCGCCGGTCCTTTTCACAAACGAGGATGACCTTACTGGCCACTTCATCGAGTCTCTTCCGCTGGGCCGCAGTCACAATGTCGTCGTTAACGAGGAAGCCAAGTACGCCGTAGCCGTTGGTGTTCAGCCCCGCAACGAGGGCTGCATGGGCGGTCTTCACTTCTACGGCCTCGAGGACCCCAGCAACCCCGTCTTCCTGGGATGCGACGGCCAGGACGGCTACGTCCATGATGTAAGTCTTTTGAATAACAAAACTCCCTTGGGAGGTTCGCCTCCTGAAGTTGTGTGCTCACCTCATTCTTCCAGGCGCAATGCCTCATTTACCGGGGGCCCGATGCCAAGTACAACGGTCGTGACATTTGTTACGGCTACAACGAGGACACGTTGACCATCTACGACGTTTCCGACAAGAAGAACCCCAAGATCATTTCCCGCACGAGCTATGAGGGCGCCACCTTCACCCATCAGGGCTGGGTCAATGACTTGAACTGGCAAGGTAATGCGTGTCCAAAGTAACGGAAGGAGCACAGCTGACATCTTGATAGAATGGCTCTTCATGGATGACGAGTACGATGAGGATGACTTGGCGGGCCCTGCTGCCGACGGATACCCAGTGACTTACATCTGGGATATCCGTTCCTTGGAAGCCCCTCGCCAGACCGGCATCTTCAAGGGCACCGTCAAGGGCATCGACCACAACCAGTACATTGTCGGGGACCTGCTCTTCCAGTCGAACTACGGCGCCGGCGTCCGCGTGTGGGACATCTCGTCAGTGCCCGAAGACCCCACTGGAAACTCAGTCTGCGAAATTGCGTACTTTGACATCTACCCCGAGGACGACTCCCTCCCCGGGGGTGGTGCGATACAGTTCTCCGGCACGTGGTCCTCGTACGCCTACTTCAAGTCGGGCTTCATCTTTGTCAACACGATTGAGCGCGGTGGCTACTTGGTCAAGATGACAAAGAGGGAGGAGTGCAAGCCCAAGAGCTGCAGCGCCGACAACTGCCTGCGCGCCCTGAGGGCCTCCAGCGTTCCCGGCCGGCTAGAGGAGAGCCAGGCGTTCTGCGGGGAGTTCACAAAGACCTTCGTCGCGGATATTGCGGTTGTCCCCCAGTATGCCGCAGAGGCGTGCCCAACCAACGTCATCTCTAGGGTGAGCTCCGCCTGCTCATGCTTGCCGACTCCCACTGCATGAGTATTTAGCGGCACGTTGAGGATATGTTGGCCAGGGCAAGGTGGGCAGGATCACCTATAGATTAGTTGAGTAGTCTTATTGTCGAACTCCAGCCAGAGTTAAAAGTCACCAGAGTTGGCAGCAGTGGTAGATCGTACCACCAAGTCAGCGAGTGACCTTTTAATATATGCTCAGTCAAGGAAAATTGTTGCATTGCTGAGAATGATTTGCAAGTGTACAAGGATGACTCGATGTTAGTCACATGACAGGTCACAAGTATAAGCCTACTACCCTCAGACCAGGGAAGGTTGATTACCGGAAAGGAAGTTGGTTTGATCTATGAGATGAACTATAGCTGAGTAACAACGCCGCCTCTATACGCCATCCGTCTCCAGAACAGCTATGTGCAATGAATGCTTACGGCATATAGACACAATGCAAGGCTTATGTAGGGTGACAGTACCGTCGATGGGACTGTTGCAGAAGAGCATCTGTTCTCTCAAGAAGAGGTATCCGCAGTGGGGGCAGCACTGGTCTCGGCGGCTTGGGAGGAAGCGGCACTGGAAGGAGCGCCGGCACCGGGAGAGGTGCCGTTGGGGGGAGCGCCGCCGGCACCGCCGCCGCCAGCAGAGTTGGGGTTGACAACACCGCCCTCGGCATAGTAGAAAGCGGCGGGGGTGACGCTGCTGGACAGCGTGGTGTTGATACCAAACGCCATCCAGGCAAAAAGACCGTCTGTGATGCTGTCGCCGAGAAGGGTATACTCCATCAGCGGATCAACTCCGTCTGTGGCGGTCTCCTCGCTGAAGATGCCATAATCGGCGTTGGTGGTGAACTGCTGGGTGTTGGTGTTGTAAGGGGCAAATTTTTCAACAGCAGAGATGAGTTCCTGGTCGAAGAAGGCCCGACCGACGTGACTGGCAGTGTTCACGCTGCCGAGGGTGTTGTTGGCGGAGATTGTGGCGTTAGCGTGGACGAGCAAGTGGATGTGGGTGGCGCGGGAGGTGTAGTGGCCTGGGAATATGGACTCGAACTGAGCGACACCGTCCTCGTCGGTGAGCTGGATGCCGCGGAGAAACGGGTTGTTGATGTTGCTCTCGTCGGAGGAGTCACCGTTACCCGAGGCGACGACGGAGAAACGCATCTTGACGGTGGTCTCCTGAATTATGGAAGAAGGGTGTATGGCTTCAGTGAAGGGCTGTAAGAAGTGGGAGTCGTGTTATTGAAGAGTGAGTGTGATCTGACAATGAGCATCTATCCTATTCTTGCCGGCTTCGATCTGGAGTTATTATACTCAACGAGGCTGCACTTGGACTCTCATCACATACGATTCCCACCATGAGCCGCGTCGCCACGTTGACGCAAGTTCGTTGCTCAGCTTGCGGTGTGGATAGAAGCCCACCATCGATCTTCTCAAGCCTCGTTCACTCGGGATGTGTGGGTGATGGAGCCAGAAGGCTTCTGATTATGTGGACTCCGAAAGAGGAAAAATGCTTAAAGCAGAGTAGACAAGCCTGGCTCTGGATATATTTGACACCAGCATTCCTCTTTGTAGAGATGACCGTGGGGCCTCGGTGCTATCACCAACATGGGTAGTACATAGTAAGGCGGGATTAGGACGACATCGAGGACGACGACAAACTTGTCCCAGTTGGTGCGCACTTTGGTCTCATTGGCACAGGGATCATTGTAAAACCCTCATAGATACAATAACTTATCAGGATTTTAACAGGTTCTTCATAGTCTACAACCAGTCATGATCCAAGAATAACAAACCAACCCTCTCCCGGATACCACCTCCATATACCTTGTTTTAACATTCTTTTTGCCTATCTTCCAGCACCTAGACGAGCACACTGCGCTGCGGGCGAGCCAAGCTAAGCTTCGGATGTGGCCCTACGCGCAAGCTCTTTTATTCAAGGTGGAGTTGCCGTCGTTTAAACCTCCTTTCCTCCGGAAACACTCCCACATGCCGAAACGGATACCACAAGACGACTAGGGACATTCTCTGGCATCGCCCAATCAGCTTCGGCTGGTTTCTTGATTGACATGTCAAAAACAGACTTCGAGAAGGGGCCATGATGTGTACCCGAATCTGAGCCACATCGTCATGGGCAGTGCCGATCACGTTTAAGCCCGATCGGTATAAATGTCCACGACCGTAGGCTCCGCTCAATTCATCACACTGGACTGAGCCACAACTAGTCCAGTATATTGATGTCCATGCCCTGTCTTGCTCCGGGGTGGCGTCAAAGAAGCGGTTTTGATATCTCCTCCCACTTGGACGACGTGGTCATGCCGTGGATGCGACAGCTTCAATAAACCTTTCAGAACTTTTGCTCCGACAACCAGCTTGTCGGATTGTCACATTGGCACCTCTGAGACTCCAGAAACTCAACCTTGCGTGAGCCGTCATCTTGTGGTTTGACACATTTCAACGTCTGACAGTTATTGAAGCAAGCACAACCTCTCAAAAACCGGCTCTGATGCGATCTAATATTAATTAGTACATGGTTTCTTAGTACATGGTTTCAACTTCTCCCTGGAACTACTGTGGCCCAACAAACTGTCAATCATGATCACTTTCCATTCCCCATCCGTCTTACAACTCTGTCTGTTAAATGTTCTTGCGCGTCTTTGGCGAACAAGCACCCAATTATGGCAATAGCCCCGAACCCTAGACTTGCTAGATATACAGTCTCGAAAGCCTTTGTGTACGCGCCGGGCAATACTTTCGTGACGGCAGCCTTCACAGCGCTGGTCAAGCCAGGGAAAGCTGCCAGTTTTCCTGCCACTGCTGCTTTGATAAGGCCTGGGAGTTGACTCTCGGGCAGCCCCGCGGCGACAGCCGGACCGCTTATGGCCGCGGGAATCTCGGTAGCGAGGCGGTTGGATAGGATAGTGGTATAGACAGCAACGGCGATGGACCCCCCAGCAGAGCGGATCGACGCCAAGAGACCCGACGCGAGCCCGATATCTGACGGCTTGCAGAATAACGGAGCCAGAGCGAGAGATGCCAGTTCAATAAAGCCGACGAAAAAAGGCCCCAGTATTGTTAAGGCGATTCCGGCATTCAGCGTTTCGGGGGTCAAGGACGCGAGAGCGCCAACGAAGCCAACCATGGCAAATGTCGAGAATATTATCCAATATCGGGCATTTCCTCCCCATCTGATGATTACTCCCGCGCAAATTTGGCCCAGTGCTGTCGCACTGCCCACAGTCGTCTGCCAAAGGGTGAGTTGATGAACAGGTTACAGGTACGTGCATTGTTGGAAGATCCGCTTACCGAAAGCCAGCCAGCGTATGTAATGTCCGTTGTGTAGAGCGCCTGAACCTGCTGCGGCCAGAGGAGGACGGCGGAGTAGTAAAACATCTATCGAACTTTTAGCGAAGGCGGACGAAGGCCGATGCCGGGTTTACCTACGGTTGCAACTGTCGCGCAGCAGACCAGCGACATAAAGCCCCGGTTGGCGAAGAACTTGACCGGAATAGCAGGATATTTGAGGTCCGCGAACGCTTCCCAGCAGAAAAGTGCCGCCAGGAGGGCGATTCCGATGACCAAAGTCGAGATTGTGGCAGCCGAGTCCCAGGGGAACATCACTCCTCCCCAAGAAACACCCAGCAAAAGGAGGGTGAGCCCTACCGTCCAAAGGAAGATCCCAATATCTTTCCACATATCAGCATTATAATAGGTAAGTCAGTGGGGAGTTGACTCACAGTCAAGTTCCTTGAGTAATTCACGTTTGGTCTTTCGGTCATGAAGAAGGTCGAACGTGGGTGGATGATAAAACAGATAGAGTAGAACAATGGCGAGGCCGACAACAATGATGTTGATGTAGAAGCACCATCTCCAGCTCAAGTTGGGGTTTTCGACAAACTTCCGTGCTGGTAGATATTAACAAAGAATGGCACTTTTGTCCGTGTAGCAGATGCTTACCGATGAAAGGACCAAAGGTCGGAATAGGGGCGTTGGTCAGAAATATGAGAGACAAGACATTGGGACGGTGCTTATTGGGAACCAATTCTCCGATGGCAACGTTAAAGCTGAGCTGAACCGTCTCACCCAGACCATACACGGCGGCGCCAACGATGAGAGTCTCGACATTCTTTGCGACAGCACAGATAATGATACCGAGGATGGCGACGATGTTACCGCCAATGAAGAACCAGCGTCTGCCGAAAAGGTCTGACAAGCGGCCAAGGATCGTATACGTGAAAGACAACGATAGTGTTCTCGCGATGTTTACCCAGGATATGTACGGGCTCGGGCCTAATAGCCGGAATTAGCTTCTAGGCATTCGGGGTAAGGATTGCGAATTCTCATACCAATATCGGCATTGATAAACGTCAGTACGTTGGTTGGCAGTATCAGAAAGATGTAAGCTGATATCGCCGAGAGGCAGAACCCCTATCATGGTGTCAGCCACTGGACGAGAAAATCGCATCAAATTTAACTGACCGCCATGGCACCCAAGAACTGGGGGGAGAAGTAGTATCCAGGAGGCAGATCGTCTCCCAGCGCATCCGAACAGATGGAGGAGGCGTCATCTCGGTTGATCGTCAGGTCGAGATTGCGATACCTGTCTATCAACTCCCCATCATGCTCGTAGTAGGACTCAGACTTCGTGGTGTCCATGATGAATAGTTAGGAGACTGATACGCTGGAGCCGGCCCGCACAGTATCAGTTGTTCGATGAAGAGGATCGAGTTTGTCGAACCGCCATGAAGAGGTGTGCGCCCTTGAACGAGGCCGTGCTCGAGTCTTGTACACCTTCAGGGTAGCGTGTCGATCTGCAAAAAAATCAAAAGAAAAAAAAAGACGAACATGGAAGAATGTATGGGGAGCAATATAAAATGATAGATGACAAGCAGCGCTAAGATGAACCGCAGGGCACAGAGCTTGTGTTCGGCCCGCCGCCACTTCCTCCCTAGCCATTCCTGATTAGCCGTAGCGTGCATGCGCAAGCCAGGTCTTCCCCGGAGAGCTCGAACCTCTCCGAAACTCATTGATGGAATCGGTTCAGGCGACGAGGGGCCTCTCTCTGAGCTGTCCTGCGCGGTCCGGCAGGGAAGAACACTGGACGAGTTGAGCACCTCGAGCATTTGAGGTGGGTGTCCGCTGGTCGCACATGTTTTGCAGGGGTGGCAGAGCTAAGAGCTCAGTGTTAGATCATGGGATTGGTCGAGACTTGGGGAATATGGTGTGGTCAAGAGTTCCCCGGCCTTTGAAACCATATCCCGAGCTGGTCCTGGAAACCGTCTCATCTGGAAACCGCTACTTCTCAATGTACGCTACTTCATGTACTCGGAGCAACAATAGAAGCATTCGTATGTCATGCCAACTCACATGAGCTTCGTCGACTGAGTCGCCAAGGCCGGTGGCCTGCTAGGACTATCAGCTTGTTCGCCACGAAGGACTGCGTGTGGGTTGGGCAGAGCATGAAGATAGACATAGAAGTGGGTGGTCTGGGTTGCCAATATAGGATCCGATAACCTTTATGCTGGTGACCTTGTTTTTGGAATCATACTGTTACAGTCGACTGCCCTTCCACTTGGGTTCTCGTTTCTCGAAAAACGCCTTGAGACCCTCGATGATGTTCTCGCCCTTCTGCAGCTCCGCAAACTCGTTTTCCAAAGTCCGCTCGACCGCCCCCTCTACCGATGCCGTCTCCCAGCTCTGTCTCAAACCTGCTCTGGTGCAGATGATGGCGTCTGGGGAATTGGCTGCAATCATTTTCGCATAACGCACCGCCTCATCAACAACGTTCTCCTTGGGCACCACCTTGTTCACAACCCCCCATTCTGCCATCTCTTGTGCCGAAACATTCCGCCCCGTTAGTGCAAACTCACTTGCTCTTTGGAGACCGATTGTCCGTATGAGCCGCGGCAGAGCGCCGCCGATAGCCGCGATGCCTCTCTTGACCTCCGGAAGTCCGAAATATGCATCCTCTGCAGCTACGACGATGTCGCAATTGACAACGAACTCGCACCCGCCGCCCATCGCGAGGCCGTTGACGGCCGCAATGACGGGCTTCTTTCCTAGTCGCCGGCTCAGGGGTTTGAAGGCGGGAGCGTTGCCCATACGTTTACTCGGGTCGGCGTTGGCCGCCATGCTGCCGCTCCACTCCTTCAGATCTGCCCCGGCCGAGAACGCCCGTCCTGTCCCGGTGATGACTGCAACGCTGAGATTTGGCTCTTGATCGAACCACTTCCATACCGAGTCCATCTCCCATTGTGCCGCTGTGGACATGGCATTGAGGTCCTTTGGTCGGTCCATTCTCACAAGAAGAACACGCGGTGCCGGATAGGAGAGTTTGAGAAATTCCGGTGTCGCCGGTGGTGGCGTCTGCTTTGGCGAGGATGCCATCACGAATAATGGAATTGCTGGGGTGTCCGTAAACGTGACCCGACAAGGTTTGGTGTAAAGATCTTGCAGATTTGTGCGGTAAGTCACGGTATCACACTGTTGGCAGCTCGTAGGGAGAGTGTAGGGAAGTGTAATAAGGCTCACGTCCGCATGGCACGCATGCTGGCCCTGCGCTTGATGGTGACTGCTGTATGTTTTTTTCAAGCCAATGATTCGTACTTTAATGCGCCTGTCCAATCACATTTCCCTCAACACGTTTCCAGAGTTCCAGTGATGGAGGAATGTGAAGCACGGAAAACGTGGGTTCCGTCCCCCCGCAGCCTCTCTGGAAATACAATTCCGCATGGCGCGTTCAAGTGGGCATGGAAATCACTAAGCGGAAGTGTTCATGCTCGTTCGAAACCTGCCACTGTGCATTGGCCAGGATAACCAATGACGGCGCGCATTAGGCATAAGCCCAACCCAGTTGGAAATGTTCGTTGGTCAATCTGGTGAGAGTAGTGGCTGGAAATGCTACCGCCCCTACACCATATATGGCTGATACCCAAAGCTGTGCGGGATTCGTGGGGTCTAATAGACGATCCAAGCAACTGACAACGGCCGCATTCATCTACAGCAATGGCCACTCCCAATATCAGAAACTTGGTTCCTTGACGGATGGCAACCCTGTATCCCGCTCTCGCCGGCGCGTTGCCTCGATGCCTGATGCTTATCGGCAACCACCGAACGATGGGCTTGGTTCTGACCGGGTGAGCGATGTCAGCGGAGGAGGCGCACGGCTGGGGTCCAGTGAAGGATATTGTTTTGCAAGAGAAGCCTCTTGAAAGAACCCTCGACTAAGCGGATCAGATTACCACCTTGAGTCCCGACAGCGGTATCATCTCGAAACTAGCAAATCGGGAAGTGTGAGAGGCGGGCGACGATCCGCATCCCGGATTTGTGGGTGGAGGCGATGCTGAGAAGCAAGAACGCGACTGGAGACCTCGCAGTATAGCATGAAAAGAAAGACTCGCAATACTTCCCGTCCCATCTGTAGACGATCGATCGTTAACAGATCGCCTTTGGGCGTTCAAAGGCGGATCACGAAGATCAAGAAGCCCATCGGGATATAAATCTAGAGCTCACCAGGCTCCTCAATAACAACATTGCGCCGATGGTTTAGTGGTAAAATTCTCCGTTGCCATCCAGCAGCGTCGGGGAGCCGGGGGTTCGATTCCCCCTCGGCGCATCCAGCCTTTTGCTGATATGCTCGCTACAGTATCATGTTCGTCATGCTGGTGGAACTGTTTTGGCTGTCAATAGTAATGACTACAGAGCCATTGAAAACAGGCCGTGATACGACCTCATAAACAGCGTTAAGGATTAAGTTCCTTTGGCCAACCTGCTAGGCACATGTTAGTTTTGTTAGATGCAGTATTATTATCGCAAGCAGCCGTGAAAGGCTTGCTTTTGCTTAATTATAGTGTCTTCTCATAGCCATTCGACCTGGATGGATGTATGTTAACGATCAATTACAGAGCCACTGGATTTCAATGTCGTGCCATCTATCTATCATGCATGCAAAAACTTGCAGAACAACTCTTCCATCCTTGAAGACTTGTTAAAAAACATTATTGTCAACCCTTTCCTTGCTTGCTCTGGCCAACCCGCATTGGCGTCTCAAAGATGTCACCGGGGTAGACGACGTTCTTGAACCTGGCGCCATACGCCGTGAAGCGGCGGGGATTGCTGCAACCCATCGTTTGCAGCAGAGCATGTGCGACCATGCTGCAGGTGTCGAGTTCCTGGGGAATGGATCCCTTGAAGCCGGCGCGCTGGCAGAAGGCCTCGTCCACGCGGAGGGGGTTGTAACCGCCGCAGAGCCGGTACAAGAGCGCCGCCTCCTGGGTCGTCTTGGTGGTGTGGGGTAACGGACCTCTGGCCTCGTAATTTGTTTTTAGAGCTTCTGCCATTGACGACTTTCACTTTGGTGGCTGGTCTGAATTGTTGCTGGTTATTGCCAACAGTCCGGGGCTCAAAGGTTGCGTATACTGCTATGGTTGAAGTGAAGTCAGCTTTAGTAATTACTCTGTGTTTATGAGGTACTTTCTACAGAGTTAAACGATTGAGAGGTGACACAGGTCAGAGGTACTGCGTATCGACATTACATATGTACCGGGTGAACTGCACTAGATCGCTCACAGAGGTTTAAATAGATATTGTACATAAATTACTCTTGGAAGAATGGCAGATAAGTTCTGTTTGTACAAGGGCCTCAATTGTGATACAGTTTGCTTTTCTAATAATGACTACCTAAAGTAGAGATACAACGCCCTTACCGACTTGAAAGTAGTAGGCGAAGGGATAACAGACGCCTTAGGAAAGTCTCTATGTCGTATTAATAGAATCAAAGCATTGTCACCGAAGTCTTGAAGTGGAACTCTTAACTATTAAACATAGCACAAAGGTACCAAGTAAATTAGAGAAAAACGAGAGAATGACAAGACGTGGATTCTTTGATAATCCGTATAGGACTTCATCATTTGAGCGAATGCATTTGTGGAACGCAGGGCATGTTTCTTATGCTACAAATCCGACTAAGTTGTAGAACATTGTTCCTCTTCCTGGCCTGTAGATAGATGGGCGCGTTGGTCCCACTGACTTAGACGGCGTGGCAAGAGCTCTCGCTGGGGGTTGGGACCCGAAGTTCGCATTTCGCTCATCGGATACCCAGGAGTCTAGACGTTCATTGCTTGAACACCCGAAGCCGAGATCGCCGAGCGGTGAAAGACTCCATCTTCCGCGATGGAACAGACATGCGGAACTACATGGTGCACTCATTGTGTGATAGCGAATCCGTGGCAGGGTAGCAGCAATTCTCGATGCTGAACGCTGTCAAGCCTGCCTGGCCGACTTAACCCAAGGCCTGGCTTTTCAGCACCTCAAACTTGAGCTTCGCATCCGGACGAGCTGTATACGCTGAAGTCTCAGCTTGATGACCACCAAACAGACAGATGGCCAGCTTGGCTGTTGGCGGTGGCGGCAAACCGCCCCGATCTCCGCGGTGGGGAGACGGGCGTGCCGAAGGATCAGCACTCCGCGCTGGTCATAGTAAATCCCTCTCGTAACGTACGCTCCGCACTCAACCAGATGCCCGGCCAAGAGGCGGACGTGAGAGCATTGTGTTCCGTCCTCGTCTTCCCGTGCCACCAGGCTGCGGGGTCCATGCCATGGCTCGCATCGGTGCACCTCTGGTGCACGCATGATGCCCGCCGTTCTTGTGTAGGCGTTGACGGCAAGGAGATTGCTGCTCTGAGCTTGCGGATCAAACACGGCGCCCGGTACGGCAGCCTGCAGGGCGCACTGGTCCAAAAGTCAGAAATTCCCTCTTTAGGACAAAAAGATAATATAGATACGGTATGGTGTGTATTTAGGCCCACTTATAATCTCTATTAATAAGGTCTGATTGGTTTAGATATAATGCTTACATAACCTTACTACACCCCATAGGCCCATAAAAGGCTTAGCCCTGATCCTGGTCTTTTACAACTTCCGGCTTATTTCCGTAGGCCAGCGCCTGCCCACTGTTGCCAGCGCCTGCCCACTATTGCCAGCGCCTGCCCACTATTGCCAGCGCCTGCCCACTGTTGCCAGCGCCTGCCTACTGTTGCTAGCGCCTGCCTACTATTGCCAGCGTGCACCACTATTGCCAGCGTGCACCACTATTGCCAGCGCCTGCCCACTATTGCCAGCGCCTGCCCACTGTTGCCAGCGCCTGCCTACTGTTGCCAGCGCCTGCCCACTATTGCCAGCGTGCACCACTATTGCCAGCGTGCACCACTATTGCCAGCGCCTGCCCACTATTGCCAGCGCCTGCCCACTGTTGCCAGCGCCTGCCTACTGTTGCCAGCGCCTGCCCACTATTGCCAGCGTGCACCACTATTGCCAGCGTGCACCACTATTGCCAGCGCCTGCCCACTATTGCCAGCGCCTGCCCACTGTTGCCAGCGCCTGCCCACTATTGCCAGCGTGCACCACTATTGCCAGCGCCTGCCCACTATTGCCAGCGCCTGCCCACTGTTGCCAGCGCCTGCCTACTATTGCCAGTGTGCACCACTATTGCTAGCGTGCACTACTGTTGCTAGCGTGCACCACTGTTGCTAGCGCCTGCCCACTGTTGCCAGCGCCTGCCCACTGTTGCCAGTGTGCACCACTATTGCCAGCGCCTGCCCACTGTCGCCAGCGCCTGCCCACTGTTGCTAGCGCCTGCCCACTATTACCAGCGTGCACCACTATTACTAGCGTGCACCACTATTGCCAGCGCCTGCCCACTATTGCCAGCGCCTGCCCACTATTGCCAGCGCCTGCCTACTATTACTAGCGCCTACCTACTATTAAGAGTATACACTATATTTATTATTTCTTAATACTTATATTTATCTTAATAGAATTAAAGATTCTTAATTCTTATATTTATCTATTATTTATACTTAGAATTATATTCTCTCTAAGGAAAAAATTTAGACTTTGCCACTAGCCCGTACACTTTAAGCGAGCCAATCAAAGTAAAGTCCTAAGAGTTTTGCAAAGGGGTAGGTGTAGCAACCCAAGTTGACTTTTGGACCAGTGCGCCCTGCAGGCTGCCGTAGCCCGGTTGGTCGAGAGGCATGACTCGCTCAACGGCATCGTTCTTACGGCTCAATCACGCTGTCGCCGCTCATCCATGTTACCTTGACACCACAGATGCCAATGCTTTTGAAATGTGCGTCTGTCCCCGCGGCCAAGCTCGAAGGGATCAATTTTGATACGTTTTGTTTTCCCAAGTGGCGCATTGCATCGTTGTGCCACCAGAACATTTGTTGGTTCGGATTGGTCGTCCAGGAGGGCTTGATACCGGCTAGAGAGCCGCCTTGCCCGCCCGCTCTGACCTTTGAAGGCGCAGGCACAGATGTAGTCTGAACTTCATTGGGCAATGTCTAGCTGAGTGGTATTACTATCTTCTCTTTGTTACTAGAGAGACCAACACCAACGCAATATACTACTCTTTACCGACGAAATTGCGGTTCTCAAGTCAAAGTCGAACTGTACTGACACTGCTGCCTCATCACACACTGAATGCAAGGATCATCGTGGGAAACGTGATCCACGACGACGGCGACGAAACCGCCCAGAGGGCGACAAGAAAACAAACGTGTCCTCGATCTCATGAGAAGTGCCTGCGCTCACCCTTCCAGCTACCCTCGGTGGCAATGTGAGGCTTCCGTCACTCGACCGCACTACCACCTGTCATGCAGATGTCGTACCACCCTCTACGGATGATGGCCGCCTTGCGATGAGTATGTCCAATAAGCTGCCACACCCTTGTTACACGACTGGGCGTGAGTAAAGCCGACTCACCCCCGAGTCGATCCATATCAACTGCAGCTAGCAATGGCCATACCGCCATGCAACTGCCGTGCTTCCTTTCATTTCCAGCATCCCGCGATAACCAAAAGACGACCAAGTCGGCCATGCTTTGAGTCGAGGAACCGAAACAGGGAATGCAGTGCACCCGCCGGCTGTCGCAACCATGAAAATATACACATCACGGCCCATCGATATACCTCGAGATCTGAACCTCACCAAGCTGCTTCACACTAGTGTGGCCCCATTGCCAGAGTCTCTAGTCATCGCCGCGGACAGTCTTACGAACCGGAATATTAGCCTCGGCGAGCTCAGGGATCGCGCAGGGAGAATTGCAAAGGGGCTGAAGGACGTACTAGCCCCCCCGGACCAGGCTCGTTGGGCTATCGCGCTGCCAAACAGCGTGGAGTTCCTTGAACTGTTCCACGCGATATTATGGACAGGCGGAGTCGTGTGCCCCATAAACCATGCACTCAAAGTCCCGGAAATTGGCCATGGGCTCGCTGTCTCGAGACCGCACTTTGTGGTAGCGTACGGCCCGACAATGGCCGCTGTCCAAGAGGCTGTGGACGTGGCTACGGACGACCTCCGCTCCCAAGATATAATCTGGAAGCGACCGCTGATAATGTCGATCGTGGAGCCATGTCGAGGTGCGAAGCATATACCAGATGACTTTATGGCTTCGACTAGGCTGCCCATTCCTCACTGGCCCGATACTTCTGTGCGCCTCGCATCGATTCATCTCTCTTCCGGGACGACCGGAAAACCAAAGGGGGCTGAGCTCACGCATTTCAACTTCGTTTCCAACGTCATGCAGCTCGTTGCTCTGGACAGCGGTCGCCGAATGTTCAACCCGTCATCACGAACGGTCGCCTTCACGCCGTGGGCTCACATCGCCATGACGACGGCGCCCGTCTTCCTCGGACCGTACACGGGGATGTTTCACCATGCCATGCCGCAGTACAACATCGAAGAACTTGGACGGCTCGTCGAGTCCACGCAAGCTACGGTGTTCCAAGGCGTTCCCAGCGTGATGCTGGCCTTCGCTAACTCTGATATAACGGAGCGCTACGATTTCTCCAAGGCGCAAACTATCATCGCCGGTGGAGCGCCGCTGAAGCCAGAACAGCTTTCAAGATTGCTGGGGCGGGCTCCGTGGAGACTTCTGCGGGCGTACGGCATGACGGAGGCCGCGGGTTACGTGGCTTATCAAGAGTATGACGAGGATGTCCCGGATGGATGTACCGGTAAGCTGTTGCCCGGCATCGAAGCCACTCTGAAGAGAGAGGGAACGATGGATGATGCACCACCTGGCGGTCCAGGAGAGCTGTGGCTGCGCGGGCCCAACATCACACCCGGATACGCCTTCGACCCTGGAGCGAAGCGAGCCGCGTTCCCCCTGGAAGGCTGGTATAATACTGGAGATGTATGTCGCATAGACGAGCATGGGCGCGTGTGGGTCATCGGCCGGACAAAGGAGCTGATCAAGTATCAAGGCTTCCAGGTCAGTCCCATCGAGTTGGAGCAGATCGTCAATTCGCACCCCCATGTCCAGGAGGCGGGGGTTGGACCACTATGGAATGAGAGCCAACTGACGGAGGTGCCTGCCGCATGGGTTGTGTTGAAAAATGATGGGAGGGCGGCCAGGGAAGAAGTCATTGCCAAGCTGAGAGACATCCAACGAGCTGTGGATGAGCAGGTTAGTGGTTACAAGAAGCTCAGAGGTGGCGTCTGGGCCGTCGACAAGATCCCGAGGAACGCAACTGGTAAGATTCTTAGGCGAGAGTTGGTCAAGAAGATTAATGGCTTGTGTTCATTGGGGCAGTCCGGAGGAGTATCCGCGAAGCTCTGAGTATGTCAAGGGAGGAAGAGATTGGTTGGATCTTCAACGTTAGTCCGCTGCCAAGGACCTAGACGTTGCAATATATCTCAGAAATAACTTATCACATTAATATAGGTAGCTCTTACAAGTTTACAAGTAACGGTAATTTATCCCACCATTGTTAAAACTTGAACATTAAGCTTAACAGCCACCCCAAGCGGCCGCACTTGCGCGAACTCCGAAGCCATTGTGCCCAGAAACTCCATAAAGCCAACGCCCATAAGGTGGAGGGCGCCAAGCGTGAGCAAGGCAGCACGCGGAATGGTCCGTATGGAGGTCGACGGTGGTGCCTATAACGTTTATACTATCTCAGTCAACTGACCAGTCGGTGCCAGTAGATGGAAGTTGGCGACCTGGGCTACGGCCAAGCCGACTGAGCCCCCAAGTCTCCCAAAGACTATTCATGATTGGCTTCCCGGGGAAGCTCTGGGGGACATTGGCCACTTCAACATCGTGCCATTAAGCGCGCCAAGTGGCGATGCGGATGGGTAGTTGAGAGGTTTGGATGTATTTCATCTGTTTTGATTCATCATATGTAGTCGTATAGTCCGTTCCTTCATTCGTGGGACCGATCATCGCCGGAAGGTCGTTACCAAGCGGATCGCCCTCATGCCCGATCGCGGTGTCTCTTCGTCGCCGGGCACGTGTTTGCATTACCCAAAAGCCCTTTCTTTGCTGTCAACCGCCATCACTTCCTCTCGCGTTCCTGTCTACGGAGCTCGTCCTGAAAAACATTCCTCCCCGGAGGCTCGCCTAGCGGAGGGCTTGTCGGCCCTAGCATGATATCCGCGCTACCCTTTTGCCCATACATGCCGCGGGTGTGGCCCGGGACGTAGGCGGGATTGCGCTGTTCTGCGGCGGCCGCAGCGGCGGCATGGCGCCTGTGACGTCTGATGTAGAGCCACAGCATGACGGTGGCAATGGCGAGGGAGATGAAGATGACGGGTAGGAGAATGGGGAGGAGGTCGGGCCTCGAGCTGGATGTGTCGGTACCGAGTGCAGCTTGTAGCGTGAAGACGGGTCCGGTTTTGTTCATCTCCCTGCCTGTCAAGGGGTCGCTGTAGACGAGGAAGATGGTCATGTTGTTGGATTTTCGCCCCTCGAGGTCTTTGACGCGCGGGGTCCAGGGAAGCCAGCCATCGCCACCGGTAAGGTTCGTCACAGAGAAGGCGGGTGCGCTGTCGGTGACGCCGTTATCAACGTCGAAGCCGATAATCACAATGGGCGTGGCGGGATCTGCGAAAAAGGTCGTGTCCCAAGTAACTTTTTGATGTCAGACATTGTTTGGATACGATATATATATGATATAAGCAGGGCCAACACGGTCCCGCGACTCAGACACCAGGCGGGAGAGATTTAAGCTTACTGTAGTACGTTGATTCCACGTGCAGAGTGTTACCCCGTCTTGGGAAACAGAACGGCGAGTCATTGCCCACTCTGTTATTGCAGACCGGGAAAACACCACCGTAACCAAGCTCGTTGCTGGCTTTTGGCGGCGGTGGCGCGCCAGTGCTCGTCGTGAGTCCGCCGGTGGTCGCGGTGACGGTGTAGACGGACCCGGTCAACGAGTACGGCGGCGGGCTAACGGTTGTGAGTGCACCGTTGCTGGTGACGACGGAGGGCGTGATGGTTCGGGCGCGGCCGCTGGAGTCGATGGTGATCCAGTCGTTGACGGGGATGTCACCTTGCCGGGGCTGGACGGCGGCGGATGTTATCGATGCAAGGAGGAGGGTTGTCGCCGCGAAGGCAGATAACCATGTCCGCTGAATTGTTCCGAGCATTGTTCTGAGCGTCTTGCGAGTGGTGATGCTTCATGTGTCCGGGGGGCATAGACGTTGCCGGTAATAAGGCATGGGAATAGTCTTATTCCCTTTTCCAAAGCAACCCGTCGTCGTATTAATTAATCCTCCGTCTCGATCGTCTCGATGGGATGAGAGGAATTTCCAAAAAGGGGAACCCTCTATAGAAGCCCGGGAAACAAAATGAAACGAAAAAAAATAAAAACGAGGTCTTCGAAAGACGAGCCGACAAGGGCCGGGGTTAACAGAGAAAAAAAAAAATGACCTGATTGATGGTGGACCACTCTCACTCACGACCTACAGCTCGGCGTCCCGTACCTTGCTAAACCTCAGATACCAATGAGCAGCACCGGGCAAGGGAGCAAAAGGAGAAAAGAAACCCGGAAGAATCGGGTGTGTGCCGGCTGGTCTCGCGACGCGTTATACAAGCATGAGATGGAAGGGCATCGATAGCAACAAACGAGCAAGACGGAGAAAGTTGAGAGAATATCCGTCCGAGTCCAGATTTTCGGGCTTTCAACGTCTTTGCGAACAAGGCGTCCGTCGCGCAAGATGAAAATATGGTCTTTTGGTGATGATGGTGACCTGGGCGGCGTTGGCAGCAACAGCAGCAGCAGCAGCAGCAGCAGCAGCTCAGCTGTTGGGTGGCTGGCAAAGAAGCTTCAAAGCCTTTGGGGAGAGACTCCAAGGGAAACGGAAGACGGACAGAGCAGGACGAACTCGAGGCCAGGCCAGTGGGAAAAAGGAGGAAAACAAGTGGAACAGCCCGTCTTCTTGTGCTCCGCATGTCCCGCTCTCCAGCGCCTTTGGCGAGGCGCGGCGCTCTCGTCGGCACCAATGAGGAGAATGCTGGGCATGAGGGAGCATGCTTGGCAAGAGACAATCGCGGGCATGGCACGGCAGCGTGGCAAGCAGTTGATGATGGGCGGAGAACGCCAAGGAAGTAAGTGATAGGGTGAGGGCATGAGCCAAGATGAGGACTCACACACACGCACGAAACTTTGCAGGAGGACGAGTTCGCGTCGGAGAGCGACTGGCAACATTCGTGTCTCGGCAGGGCTCCAGACTTTTTGCCAGCTCACCCCAAGGAAACCCAGAGCGCCCCTGTTGATGCGGCATTGGCGTGCTGGGCGCGTGTCTCACGGCACACGTACACCGGCTACTATTATGTATGTACGGTATGTATTTGTCGGTGGTAGGCCTTGGATAGTCTGTGTGCACGCGGACCTCTTGACTCCCTCCCTTGTTTGACCTTGCTAGCCTCTCTCTATTAGGATTGATTGACGGGAACACAGTCGGTTCGTTCGGTCTTGGCCCGGAAGCTCGTCCCATCAGCCCAGGCATGTTCTTCATGTGGAAAGAGAATGCAACTGTAGGAAATGGACACCAATTTTGACGTCTGACAGATAGGCTACCGACACATCCATCCATATATACATGGTACGTACAGCGCATCAGCGAAAGGGCAGCAGACAAACGCAGATGAAAATACAGGTACGTTGCTACTCTCGCACGCGCACAGCACTCCTGGCGTGCCATGTATGGTGGTGGTGTGCCCTCCCAGCCCTGACACTGGACTGAACCTTTCTGAAGCGAAGGCTGTACGAGCCAAGGAATGGGGGATTTGCCAAAGGTCAGTAGGGGCGATACGACTCAGGGCTGACAGGGAACATGGTGATAAGGGGGCCGGCCAAGGCCTCGGGTTCATGCGGGGTGACCATCGAGCAAGTCAGCAGCACCAATTGTGAGCCCCAGCTCTGCGTATTCGGCGGACCTGGTCACTCACTCGAGAGATCGTGGTTGTTGCGGTAGTCCGACGCCATTCTCGCCGCTGCTGGGAGCGTAGAAGGCCGGCTTCTCTCGTGCCCGCGTTGCTGCACTCCTGCATCATGGCAGCAGACACGTTCAGACGCTGTGAGCCAGCACAGGATTACGAATGCTTGGTAGTCAGTCGGCTGGCTCTACAGAAGCGAGCTGGCCGCATCTCGATCCGGTTCACTGCGCCGTGTGCCTACGGCGTTTCGACGTACGATTTGGTGCCTGTAACAATCCGCTGGACGGGTTTGCTGTAGCGTACCTCGTGTAACACCAGATTAGTGTAGTCATGCCCGCTCCACAAGGGAAACAATGGTCCGAAGTGATGGGACGGTTGCGGCCGGGAAGCCAAAGGTCGGACGGAGAGGGGGTTTGGTTTGGTAAAGGACCCCCGCCGAGGCCTTGGCTTCCGATAACGAGTTCGCCCCCTTCTATGAATAGCCTGCTAGGACGATGCCAATGGAATTCTGTTCTTCTTGGCAGAAACCGTACGTAGGTATTGCGGCGTACACTGATGGTGCGAAGCCCCGGTCGTCGGGGACGAAAGTTTTCCGCTGGCCTGGCGCGGCCGGTTATGTCGATAAAAGAAAAGAGGAGAAGAAAAACAACAAGAGGCGTTGGTTGATACGATACGATGCCAGCGTCTTTTCTGTCCCTCGTCCTCTGACTGCCTCCCATCGACTAGTACCAATGAAAGCTATACCGAGTCACCGAGTAACCGAATGTCCAGCAAATGCCTCATCCCCCAATGCAACCAGAGCCAAGCCCAGACACAGGCGCATGGCCGATTAGCGGTCGCGGAGCCACTGAGACTCCCTGAGCTGACTTGCCGATGCCGCAGCTGTACCTCTCGACTCGACACACTCATGAACATCACGCATTGCTGGCTCATCGTTCGAGACCACAAAATTGTTAGCTGGTCGAACCGCACTTGGTTCCTAGTGGCGTCCTGTAGAACTGTTTCCCGGCATCAGGAGCTCGGCAACTGACTGAAGATGCGGCGACAGAACTCGACTCGTCTCTTGGTCAACACGAAGAACCCACTAGGCCTGCCAAGGGCATCGAAACCCATTGTTTAAATAAAAGGTCTTGGGTGTTTTCCAAGAACCCTTTCGCCGTGGCATAATCATGAAACCTTGACGAACTTTATACACTGTAGTTTGGTATAGAATGGTTTGCCTTGGCGAGCCCGAGCCTGGCTTGGCGTTCAGTCGGTGGCTTGGGCATCCAGTTCGTCCTTACACCGCGATTCATGTGATCGATCGATCCATCTAGACGGACTCCAAGGGGGAGGCTCTCCCAACCGTCGCCCTGCCTCGTCTCGCCATTATTGGAGGATGGATAACCCTCCTGTGTCCACCGGCGGGCGCTGCAGCTAAGGTTATCTTGCATGTTTATTCCCCTACATCAACCATAAACCGACCGGCATCAGCATGCCCTTGACGTGCGAGGGAAATGCAGTCCTTCCCACTAGTGCTGTGCTGTAACCGCCGTCCCATTCCCGCTCACAGGTTCCGGCTCGGACCAGTCGCCGCCCAGGCAACATGCCGCCGCCACGTCCGGTTCTGGGGGATGCACCAAGCACAGTAGCATCTATCCACGACTGCAGTCAGCTCAAGCTCCCCGTCTTTGCTTCTGGCGGAGTCTCCCATGGCGCTGGACTCTCCGGCCCTGCCCCCGACAGTCCCCGACAGTGAGCTCTCGTCCATCCTCGAAGTAGGTTTCTCGGTTCCAGTACCCTGGCTTGGGTTTACTGCTCACCATGTCCTCATTGTTTGCCGTCTTGGATTCGGGTGGTAGCCAGCTAGTCTCTCAAACGCAGCTGGCGGCGGGAAAAGCAATGCGAATGCATCGGACCCGACGCAAAGGGATTGAACATGGGCAGATACGGTGCCGTCTGCCCATTTAAGCCGTCCCATTAATGCAGCCGTTTCACGCAGTCTCTCCCGCACATCCGTTTAACGGCCTACGATCGATAAAGCCCACCATCATTCGTCGGCTCATGGGCCATTCTGCCCCTCCCCACCGGCTTACCCGCCGTCCCCCGACTGCGCTAGAGATGCTCCAGAATCCCAAAGAGGGACAGAGGATTGATTGCCCCTCGCCTCCATCTCGGCCAGTCGCCACACGCGAGAAGGGATACAGGGCCCGCTTGCACATTGGAGCATGTCTCTCTCATGTCCAAGTGGGGTTGGCACAGCTGCTTTGAAGGCCGACCTATGCTTCTCTACCCGTCCCGCTGGGAGGCTTCCTGTTGTCCGCTTCGAAGCTTGCCACGACCCTCTACTTCACCTTGTCACTGAGCTTTGAAACTGCTGTTCTGTTCTGTCCGGCGGCTACATAATAGGAAACGCAGCCTCCAAGGTGAAAGTGGTGTCGTCGTTGTCGTCGTCATCCGCTCAAGTATTCAGCCCAATTAGTCTCAGTATGAAGGGGTTTAGAAACCTCGCTCTTGCGGGAGCAGCCGCCACGGCGGTTCTCGCACAGGAATGTGTCAACGTCCTCACACCCAGCTACAACGCCCCCCAGGTCGCCCCGGGCTGGCAAGCACAGCTCGTGGCGACGGGCTACAAGAAGCCGCGCACGATTCACGTCGACAGCAAGGGCGCGCTGCTCGTGCTCGACGCCGCCGTTGGCGTCTACCACGTGACGTTCAAGGATAATGGCGGAACCTGTCTCACGGTCATGGAGAGCAGAATCTTGGTCAACAACACCCGTGTAAGAAGTGTCCCTTGGCGCATCGCATCCCGGCTGTATAGCTAACAATAACACCGCCAGCTGACCCACGGCATGGCACTCTCCGAGGACAGCAAGACTTTGTACGCCTCCTCGGTGGACCAGGTCCTCGCCTGGGCCTACGACGCTGAGACGGGCACCGTCAACGCCGAGCCCGCCGTGGTCATTGATAACATGGCCAATAACGACCAGACCACCCGCACGTTGGTCATGTCCAAGGCCTCCCGCGACCGGCTGGTCGTCTCCCGCGGCGTCGACGAGAACTTTGACATTGACGCCCTCGATGCGTCCACCGGTCATGCCCAGGTCAAGGCTTTCGACCTAAGTAAGTCCGGCAACGACCCTTTCGACTTCAATACGGACGGCAAGCTCCTCGGCTGGGGCATCCGTAACGCCGTTGCCGTCGCTGAGGACCCCGTCACCGGCAACGTCTGGGCCATGGACAACTCCATCGACGATATGACGCGCAATGGCGTCGACATCCACGACAACAATCCCGGCGATGAGCTGAACCTTCTCGGTGCCGTTGCCGACGAGGCCGAGCCGGGAAACTACGGCTACCCTCGGTGTTTCGCCGTCTGGGACACCATCATCCCACTCAACGACTCGCTCAAGGTCGGCGACCAGTTCTCCATGGAGCAGAACAGCACCATGAACGACACCCGCTGTCACAGCGAATACGTCGCGCCGCGCTTGACCTTTCAGTCGCACACCTCACCAGTCTTTCTCAAGTTCAGCAACGATGGCTCGCAGGCCTTTATGTCGTTCCGCGGCAGCTGTAAGTAGCCTCCTCTTCTTCCGTTCTTTCGACGTCGTTCCAGCTAGCTGACCGTGACCCCAGTCAACCGTCCCGACCCCGTCGGCTACGCCCTGATGGCCGTCGAGTTCTCCAACGGCGAGCCCGTCGCCCGCAGCGACTCGACCGACGCCCTCAGGAGTATCATGTTCAATAAGGACCTGAACGCGTGCCCTGGCCAGTGCTTCCGTCCCGTCGGCCTGGCGTGGGACGCCCAGAACCGCCTGTTCATGACATCCGACTCGACCGGCGAGATCTACGTCCTGCGCCAGAACGACACCATGCCCACGTCGACGACCCCTGGTACCATCGTCACCGGCACCGCCAAGCCTGGTGTCGCCAACAGCCTTGGCCCTTCGCTTGGACTTGGTCTCGCTGCATTGGTTGGCGCATGCTTGTTGACTTTCTAAGGTGCTGCGAGCGTATGTTGTTACGGGGGATCGTGATAAAAAGATGGTCGGATACCCGATCTAAAATGAATGAATGAATGATATGATATGATATGATATGAATTAGGCTTAAGAAATATGCCGCAGTACGAGAGATAACTTAACAATAAATGTAAATGACCTGCATATGACCTGGTATGTCCTGGCTCTCGTTAAACTTCTGAATGTTAGGGATATCTTACAGCCTGCGGCCCAAAGAACCAGAACCACAACGTGCTGATTGAGAGCTTGTTGGCCGCTGGCTCCACGCGGAACATTTCAGATACCCAGGCTCTCGAGAGTACACGTACCACTAAGATATCATAAAACAATCCTGGCTCCGTTCAAAGGTCTCCAGTAACGACAAAATGCAGAATGATTAGGTGAGGCTACCGATTAGTATGTGTTTAGTAACGCCAAGGTAGCAATGAGCAGGTCTGTCTTTGTCAGTTACTCGGTCTAAATTGCCACCAAAAGCTGATGCTGCAGCGCAAAAGGATGGGACGCTTGTCATGGCTGTTTCTGAAGAGTACGTTATGACGAGACACGTACGGTTCGACTCGGTTTCAGAGACCGTAATGCTAATTGTCGCCATTTTCCCTAATGGTGCTCAAAGTCTTTGACAACTATCAGGCAGACTCCCATGTATTGCAAGCTCAGAACTGGCTGGGCTAACACAGAAGTCCGAGCTAGATTAGAGTCGGGGTTTGAACATCATCCACATTGGTGTACAAACGATGGCTACGTACGATGGCAACAATGCGTATGTTGTTGTCGTGGGAACGAAATCCTCGATGGATTCGGTGCTTAGGTAAGTACTAATCAACTCTGGGGTATCGATCTATACCGGTGTTCCGACTCTGATGGGGAGAAAAGGAGCGGTAATTCAGTAGTCACTTAAGCGCCCGAGTGTGCGTGGCTGGTCAGATTTCGTCTACTTGTGCTTTTTCGGTCCCTGCTCGGCCGAATAATCTCTCTCCCTCGACAAACATCGTTTCACCATGTCCATAATCTCATGGGATCAGTCTCAACTCCCGTCACCTTTCTGAAGAGGGGATAATCTAAAAATACGCCAGAAGACTGTTCAAGGCAGCTCCCGCTTATCCTGGTCGTGATCTCCGGTGTTCATCTCACAAGCATATGCCTATATCACTACCACCATGAGAACAAAGTTGCTCCAATGCTATTGTCAATTTGAAGAATACGGACTTCAACTCTGGGGATCGTTGCAATCTCCATTACAGGAGCGGCCCCCGAGACCAGTCTCGAAGCTCCAAGTTTCCAAAATGCGTACAAGAGAAACCAAAGCTCTATCTCGCTTTTGATTCATTTAAGCTGATCTTAGATCTTTCATCGAGCAGATAGCAAAGTCGTCGTGGCATTGAAAAGACAGATGAGGATAGACGAGGATGAGGTATATCACAGAAACGTTGGGACAGTCTTAAAAAGACAAATGAGATGTATTTAAAGAGCCAAATGGCTGAAGCCTCACTGAAGAGGGAGAAGTTTTGGTATCAGAGATATAAAGAAAAGTCGTTCATCGTACTTCTCGACCAGACTTGTGTGGCCAAGGGGGATTTTTCCGTGACATTATTTCGTTTTCCATTGTTTTTTGTTCGTTTAGTTTCGTTTCGTAACGTCAAGTCGTTTTAGTCATGTAGTAAGGCAGCTCCAGACTTGGGAGCAACCGGCTCGGGACTTGCTTGGTGCATACATCTTGGTACACTAAGCACACCCTGACGTAGGGGCTTGGGTTGTGTCGGAGGTCGTTTGGGTCGATTCAACACGGATTTTGAAGTCTCGTGTCGGCGGTTTGGCAAAATGAACAAACCGCCACCGAGGTTATTTGGTTCGGATGTTCTGCAGGTGCAAGTGCAGGCTGGCGAAACTGATGGGCAACTCCATGAGCGAGCTCATCATGCTCGGGGTGCGGCATGAAGCTGGGATCTCGATGGCAAAAGCCTCGAAAGCAGATCGGGCGCCTGTTAATTAACGGATCATTAGTTGCTGGTTCGAGATTGGGAGAGTCATCCAGGGCAACATACCTATGCCGTGCAAGCTGGTCGCCTCAACATTATTGACCTCAGCGTTCGGTTCCCTAACGTGCGAGCTCTCTGCTTGGGCTGCAACAGTCGTCAGAATACATGGAGCAACCGACCAGACGAAGGGTGACTCACTCTCAGCAACGTCGGTCCCGTTTTCGAATTCGAACGACCAAGTGTTCTCCGGAGCCAACACGATGTCGGCGGGGCAGCCGGCGACGGCGGCATCATGCGACCCGGCCGAGGCGCCGAGAAGCAGTGCCAGCAGCACCGACAGCAGGCCTAACAGCCTCTGCCATGAAGGCGAGGCCTGGGCCATGTTGTGGGGGGTTGTTTGAGGGGTGGTGATCGAGGGGGGCCTCGAAAGAGGATGGGTTCCAAGAGAGAAACTTTCTCAAGGGCTGCGGACACGAACACGTCTTTAATAGACGGTGTCGACAACCCGGCCAACGGCGGCCCAATCCGGGCTTGTCAAAGGAGCGGTGGGTGTGGTCGGTTGCTCAGCCAGTCGGGGTTTGTTGCCTTATTTTCACGATCCCCTGCAAAAGTATCATCGGCGAAGATGTCTATTTCGTTGAAGACCGGCCAGTATGGGACTAGTGTGCACTGCATCTGACTTGTCCATGCACTTGTGGGCTGGGTTCCTCGTGGTTTTCTGGCGGTAAGCTTCGCGTGGTTCGTCTCAAGACAATCCTAAGAGCTGGGCACCATGGGTCGTTTGTTGAGGATCCGCTACAAGTCTTTCGCGACGAACCAGATCTCGTCGAGAGCGACACCAAGGGGGTTGGGCGATGATGGACAGTGGGGACACATAACCACACCGCAAGACTGCAAGAGAAGATGCCCCACCGTCAGATGGATTATCTACTGGACGCACCAGGGTAGACGCAAGAGTCTTGGAGGGACGGGCCTGTTCGCGCCCATCCATCCTCCTCCTTGTTTGCCGTGATGCGGATGGTTACCCAGCTGTAGCTGTGAGCCGTTGGTGCACAGAAGTGGCTGCTCAGATTGCATGCGCAACGTGTTGTGCACGCGAGAGAGATATGGAGCATAACACAGGAGCAGATATCAAACGATTTGACAAGATGTCATCTAACCATTTGTTATTTCTACGCCTAGAAGTTGCTTTTCAACAGGAGCAAGACATTCTTGTCGTCGTATATGCTTTGATGATCGTACTTGAGTTTCTGCGCAAATCCAGCTTTATTCGGGTGTATTACACAGATTTTTTCTTTCCTTTCTTTCTTTTGGCATCACTGAGTCAGAAAGCAGAGTCTCGGCACTTTCCGCTGCCGACGAGCGACGAAGCTACCTCCCTTGCCCAGATCGGTGCCTAGACAGCCCAGGCAACTCAGCACTGTATCTTAATAATACGGTTTGACGATTGATTAAAGGCAGTGGCGATGAGCATTGCTTCAGCGCAGAGTATCACAGGATGCCTACAGTCCATGTATCAATGAGCGCTTGCGGCTACAGCAAGGTCAACGGTCGTGGTGCTCAGGTAAAATAGTAAGAAACGAGGTGTTCTTATTGGTTTCGTGAAAGGCAGACGCCTGCATGTAATGTACCAGCCAGCTACACCAAGCGGCTTTTGAATTTATACAAAGAAAGCTCCCGGTGGGAACAATGAGGAAAAATCTTCATCACGAACAATCATCTAAGCACCCTGCAAAGCTGTTTGCTGGACTAATTGGCCCATGTTGAACGCAAAGGCCGACAAATATCTTATCGTCGATATCGCTTAAGCAGAGCGAGCCGGCTTGGCCTTGGGGGCGCCACCGGGACGCTGATGGAAGCCGCCGGTGGGCTGAGCAACACCGGGGATGGTACCACTGTGGTGCTTGTGCCCACCCTTATGCTTGCGGGGGGGGAAGCCGGGTGGCGCGGGAGTTGCTTCAGCCCGAGCAGCAGGGCCGGCGGCGTCCTTGGGAGACTTGCGGGTGTGGACGCGGAAGCCGGAGTGGTGACCGAAGCCGCCAGAAGGGTGAGCAGCGCCAGGAGCCTGGGGGGGAAATCCCGGGAAGCCTTCACCGGGTGGGCCTGTGGGCTTCGGGCGGCCAGGGCCGGCAGGAAAACCGGTAGGAAAACCGGTAGGAAAACCGGTAGGAAAACCAGTAGGAAAACCGGTAGGAAAACCAGTAGGAAAACCAGTAGGAAACTTGCCATCGGTGGGCTTGGGGCCGCCGGGACCGATAGGGAAACCGGTGGGAAACTTGCTATCCGCGGCCTCGGGGCCGCCAGGGAAGTTGGCATCGCGTTGAGCGAAAGCGCCAGCCGAACAGGCGGCGAGGAGGGTTGCGGCGATAACGTTGGCCTTCATTTTGAATCGGAATTGGGAAATGGGTCGAGAGGAACTGTTTGTCGGATTGAATGGAACGTAAGAAATGGTTCAATGAAAGAGGTTTCGGAGAATGAATGACAAGCCCGGCGTCGAAGGACGAAAGAGAAGACTAGCTTCAGAGTAGAATGGAAGTGATGGAGATTGAATGAATTGCAATGGAGTGAGAATGAAGCAAACAGTCTTTGAGAGGAGGAAACCGACGACTTATATCGATTTAGCCGTCGTAGTCGACGCCTATCAACCTGGGCTCATTGAGCTTCCGCGATGGCGTTAACCAGGCCAAATTCTAAGTGGGAGATCGACATAGGACTAGGTGGATCGGCTCGGAATAGCGAGCCATGAGCTTTCCGCAGCTCAAGAGCCATGTTTGGTCCGGAACGAGCTGCCACTATTCGGTTTGTCTGCGGCTCAGTTAGAGCCTGGAGAGTTGGTGGTCAGCCCCTCTAGCGCGTTTCGTTCGAGATAGAAGGGGCGGTACAATACATGGGTGTCAAAACGTTGTCAATATCCAACCGGTGGATTCTCAGGAATAAACAGGCTGCGCAAGCATTACGACTGCGTACGTAGCCCGGGGCCGGTGATGAGTTCCAGTTGAGCCGATAGTGTGGATTGCAGATGCGGGTGTTGGGAATAGTGTCGACGGGCTGCTCCGTACATAGTAAAGAACATCTAGACCCGGCAAAAAGGAATAGCCTCCAGTGATCCCCGCGAGAGCTGAGACCATCATAACCATGCGTTTCGAGGATAAAGTGATATGTATGGTCTCCCCACTATTTCCTTGTTTATTCCCCGGCGACGGGGGTTTGCTGTATATTAGAACTGTCGCAAGGGCCGCGGTACGTTATTACTCACCCTGAAGATCGCTCCATATTTGCTTTTGTTATCAGACCTGACATATTCGATAGATTCCATCTTTAGTGCCGTCCTTACCAACAAGGTGAGAGGCCATGGCCTATGTGTTGCGCGTCATCGAGCGATGGCACGTCGCGTCTAAACGAACCCAGGGAGCATGCCTGCATTCTGAACAGGCTTGGTATTAATGAATGTTTGGTCGGGTCAGAGTTGTGAACATAGACATCGCCATTTCGGAAACAGAAACGCATCGCCAGATGAAGCCTGACCCGCCAGTTTGATCAACCGTGCTTCCGACGATGATCCCCTCTTAATTAAACGTTACTTTGTCACCCCACTGCTTGTTCATCTATTGCCGGCTCCGTCGCATCACCAGGTGGGAGCCAACCAGCGATGACTTTCGCACCGGCCTGGGGAGCGGGCGCCGCAGCTGCAAAAGTGTGGACTGGTCCACGTCATTCATGCCTGCCATTTGAAAGTGTGGGAGCAGGGCGCGGCCTGTATTTTCGGATTTCGTGATCTACCTCTAAGAAACCTTTGAGATCCATGCACTGCCTCTCCTGCGCAATGTTCTCGTAAGGTTCGTTCTCAATCTATGCAGTCGCAGATCCGGTATGCAATCCTGAGCATGAAGGCCAAGAGAGGTCAGCAGGCTGAGCTTGTTACAGTACAATTCTTGCACATATAGTTTGGGATATACAGCGTATAGGTGGCTTGTTCAGCCGTTTTTTTCTGTTTCTTCTTTTTTTCAGTCAGACACGGGCACACTGCCCCCCCTTCCCCCCCGTACCTGTACCCTGCCAGCTGTGCTGATTACTGTCTATATCCAGCCTTATCATCGATTGGAGGGAACCACCAGTGACGAGGGCCAGAAACACGATTCGTTTGTGCTTCTGGGACAGCTGTCGTGGGGACTGAGGGTCAAGCTGTACAAGGGGTGCCCTGTCAACTCGTCTTGGACATAGTGTTGGTTCAGTCCAGAACTCGGCAGTGGAAATGTTCCCCATCTGATCCAAGTGCTCAATGACGTCTTGGTATTATGACGGCTTTCAAAGATATGTTTCCAACAATTACAGCCTTCCACCAACGTCCTTTCAAACTCTCGTTCTTCGCTTCATGCCAGGCTGAGTCCGACAGCCTCGGGAAATATCCATGGGCCTGGCCGTAATCAAACCTCAGAACGGGCCACCTAGCACGCTGAGGACTTGCTTGGCAATCCAAGAGTGTGCTTGAGTTGTAGGGCTGCGGAGACGTCAGAGATAAAGCCAGAAGACAATTAGGATGTAACACGATTAAAGGGTATCACGGCACGTACTGATACTCGTCCCAGTAGACCATACTCGCAGCGTCTTCGCATAGCGTCACGTTTGGTGTCTCTCCATACGCTCCTTGCAAACAACTGCCGTACTTTCCTAGAGGGTGGAAACCGTACGTCCGAGGTGCAGCGTAGTATTCAAACTCTTCAAAAAGCGGCCGAAGATCTACATTGACAGCTGCAAACCGTGGGCGACGTAGCAGGTCTCCCAAAAGATTGGTAAAACTCCGCAGTTCCTCCTTTGCTATAGTGTCCACATAGAAACCATAGGGAAGTTTTGATAGGTCCGGAGGTGAAATTGTAAGAACTTCGGCTGTATCATACGCAGCCTTCAGCTGTGTTCCTGCCTGGAGGAGAGCTTGGTAAGTCTGCGAAGCACTTATGTTGGGATTGAACAGGATGTCGTTGGCCCCAGCAAACAAAACAAACAACGGCGAGGCCAAGGCGATTGAGTCCAAGTCCGTGAAGGCCTGGCCTTGTGGCGTCGCCTTGCCGAGAAAGGTGGCGACTTGACCGTCAACTGAAGGCACCGCAATCGTTCCGCCCGCCCCGGTGTATCCTTGGACTAAACTGTTGGACGTAGTGGCGCCTCCCACTGCGTAGTCGTAAAGTGGGATCGACAAGTTTCCGGCCACATACTCGGGCCAGACGATGCCGTCGGAAAAGCGGCCTTTGTAGCTGAAGCCGGAGAGAGTCAGTCCGAGCAGTCGCCGATGTAACTGAAGATTTCACTGACTATGAGTCTGTAGGCCATGTAGAGTTTGATACGCGAGCCGATCCATTGCCTAAGTGTGAAATACGTTTACTTTTTCAGTCTTTTCCGAAGCATTTGATCGCTAGACACTCACCGTTGTCACTGAAAGAATCGCCGAATACCACGATGGAGGAGAACGTTAGTGGGGTATCCCTGTATTGCAACTGCAATTTCGTTGCATGTGCCGTCGCCGACAGGGCAATCAGGATCCTATACGTGCATATCATGGCTGGCGTTATGATTTTGAGGTGCCGCTAGATATTATGCTGTTAGCCTTCCTCGATGTCGAAGCCAAGAACGTTGAGGTCGGCAGCGCCGGATTGTGATGGTCAGATATGACGGTCCTTCCTCGTGTCTGACAACTAGATTGCTAAGCATGCTTCTTGGCGCTTTATGGGCCGTAAAATTCCGAGGGTGAGAGCTCTCTGCAGACAGCACAGTCAGCAATTCATTGGCCCGTTTTACTAACTCGAAGGGTGCATCTTTAGGATCTTAGAACTCAAGACACGTTTACAACTGGGCAAGGTCATTAAAAGCTTGGAATCTTCTTTAATGATCTGGGAATTCCTAACGCATGGTTGGTCAGTTGATGTACCCCAGTCGTGCCTCATTCAGTGGCCGACCCAGCCATGTCAGGATCACTAAATCTCCAATACTCGGCATTCAACCTTGAGGGTTTTGGTGCCGTAGGGGCTAATGTAATGGTTGCAAGTACCCAAAGCTGCATGACATGCATGCGAGGTGTCAAATGACCTTTGTATGTTAGTATACTTGATTTCAGAGCTTAGTCTTTTCAATACAAGAGCAGTATGACATTCACCAAGTTAATAATGGGTAATTCCCAAAAGCATTGAGATACACTAGTCCTATGTTCTGGCCCATTAGTCTAACAACTAAACAGGCAAGAAACATTTATAGTAATTAGCTAGTAACGTTAGTAGGCCCATAGTACCTAGTGCTTTAACGTGTGGCCTTCTAGGGTTGTCTTCAAGGCGTTTTAGTTTCCAGATATACACGCAGCCGTTAAAGTAATGGTCGGCATAGGTTCTAGGTGCTAGGTAGGAGCAAGCCATCCAAGATTGAGTCTGTCTCGCAGTTTCCTACACAACTTGAGTATTGTAAGCCCTGATGGTCTAGCGGTATGATTCTCCCTTAGGGTATTCATGATACCAAAATCTGGGAGAGGTCCCAGGTTCGATCCCTGGTTAGGGCCCTATCATTTTGGCCATCTTCCAAATTATGCATACACTCATGATGGTAATGAGTTCCGTATAAATGGAACCTTGTACAACACAACACGTCTTGGTGTTTGTTCTTTTGTTGGCTTGTACTTTTGGAGGTTAGAATAGAGCGCTAGTAACTTTTTCTTGAATTTCCACATCTCTCCCCACATGCTGGGTTCTAGCACACGACTGCAAACCATCCCTAGAGGACTTTAACATATTCATTAAACCTATCCTTAATTTCTTTGGAAATACCTTAGATGCTATGGTTGACAGTGGCCCTCCCCTTCAAGCCGCGCAAGATTTTCCGCAATATCTCTAAATCTGCATCCCTATAATGATACTGTCTTAACAATAGCTTGTGTATCTCCTCTACAACTATTGGCCGAGCTGTCTCCATTAGGCTGTCTCGGACTCTCGGCAGGGTTTGGTGCAACATGCATGCTGCTGAGGAGTAAAACGAACATTTCTGATAGTCACCAGAAGCTTTGATAGGCCGTATGGGTAGGCGTACCCACCTTTGTTCATTGGAGCATATGCAGTCATCACTTAGTGTAGTTCGTTTTGACCCATGTAATCAGCCATACCACCCTTCCCATCACCGCTAAGCTAGGGGCTGGAATATGCACCCAAGTACGGGCAAGGTACTCAGTAGCTGTTCAATACCCGAGCGATCTACAATTCACGCAGGGGGTGATCACCCTATCCGAGAGACAGCGTCGATTCGTATACCTACTGGTGAAGTTATAAACAAGCGCGAACACCAGAACATTAACCTGACCGCTCGACTTGGAAATCCCTCATCACACACTGCTATCCAACAAACCCATCGAAA